TACACAACTCGTTCTGCCCAACTGTGGCTTCCCCCTAGCGGTGGTTAACCCCCCCCGGGGGGGGGGGCGGGGGGGCCGCGCCCCCCCCCCCCCCCCCCCCGGCAACTGTTTTGCCATTCAGTTCCTTTCACCTGGCCTGCAATTTGCACAGCCTTTGACCGACTTCCCAGATGCTCCCGTGTGTTCAAGACATGGAAAGCTACGGGGGCCCAGCATTGCCGGCAGCCATCCCCGCCCCTGATCGATACCGATCGCCGCCCCAGACGCGCCCGCGACTCGGCACCCGCAAGCTCTAAACCCCAGCTACAAACCCCAGGGTAATCAACAGCTGCCCGGAATAATACAGGACCCAGACGCCATGCTGCATCCACGCGCGATGCGGCGACGCGCCCGCGACGAGGAACCTCTCCGCCGCGAGGATGGCGTCCGACACCGCGAACAGGACCGCCCCTACGACGACGCGATCATCGTCGCCGTCATCCACAGCCGCCGCCGCCGCCGCCGCTGAGAGGACCATGGCGACCACGGCGGCGGAGTAGACCAGCACGGGCAGGCGCAGCGCCCCGCCGACGCGGGGCATCAGCAGGCCGACCACGGCGGGGGCCAGCAGCACCACGGCGACGACCGCGTAAGCGGAGCCGCGCCCACCTGCTAGCAGCTGCAGTAGCCCGCCGCGGCCGTCGCCCGGCGCCGCCAAGAAGAGCGCGATGTACAGCGCGTGCGCGGCCAGGAAGCAGGCGAGGCCGCCGAGGAAGGCCGGCTCGCCGTCGTCGAACGCGAGGACGGCGTCGCCGGCGGCGCCGAGGGCGAGGGCGCCGGTGAGGAGGACGGGGCCGCCGCGCAGGGCGGACAGCGCCGAGAGGAGGGCCGTCGAGGCGGTCTTGGCGGCTGTGCGGGGGGCGCTGGGCGGGGAGCGCGCTTGGATGCCGTAGAGGACCGCCGCGCCGAGGGAGAGGGCTAGCGCGGCGGTGGGTGGGGTGGGGGTGTTGGAGGGCATTGTGGAGGGGGAGGAAGGAGGAAGGTTGGATGCTGTTGATGCTGTGGTTCGTCGCTGGGGGGCACTAATCCTTATCGCGATCGGTCAATCACATGCTGATTAGGTGGGCAAGGGTAGGCCTAGGTAATTGTGTGTGCTTGCCGAACATCTCCACATTCCTTGCCCAGCTTTCCTCTGCACCATTTTAGGCTTAGGGACTCCCACCACTGTGGTAAGTTGTTCCCTGCTAGCTGTATGCAGCCCCATCGGAACCGAATCCGAAGCCTACGTGTCCGGCCTCAACGGCGCTGTTGTCCCGGCGCCGTGCGACCTGCATCGCCCGTGCGATCCCTAGGATGCCTAGAAAGATAAGAGTAACGTTGTCGTCGTCGTCGCGGCTTGACATGTTGCCTATCCTTTTTGTATCTAATATCATCCCAATAGATTTGCATCTAGAGCTACCTTACCTTAGCTAACGATAACCATAACCAGACTGACTGGCAAGCAACAGCCAGCCCGCAAAGTGTATGCAGACACCCTGTTTAGGCATTGGGCCGCCATGCACCATGTGACCAGGCAGTCTTGTGCGGGGAATTCATCAGGCGCGCCTACCTCAGGATGGTGCATCCAACTCACCATCCTGGAACCCTCAAGCAGCAATTCGAGTCGCATCCTTCAAGCGTCTCCACTCGGTGCACAGTTACTCATGAGTGCATCATTTCCCTGGGAATTCCATGGGCTGGAGGAGTCCCGTTTCGAAGCCTACGCGAAACTCCTACGACTGAGAAATGGCGGACAGGTTGAAGAAGCTTCAGATTTCTCTGAAATGCCCGACGAGCAGATGGAGTTGGCTGAGCCGGACGACACCGACTCCGTCAATGTGAACACATTGTCTCAGTTCGACGACAACAGTTTGAAAAGAGCCATTCTCGACAGGTTATCCGAAATCGTTGCCAATGAGAAAGGAGGCGCCTACGTCTCATCGTCTTTAATGATTGAATGGCCGGATCGGGTCGACATACTCGTGGCAAGGAACAATGGGATCAAGGAAGGGGATCCAGTTCTCCACATGCTGGAAACTCTGGCGTCGAGCCTGCGAGACATCACCAGACTTGATCTCTCAGGTTTGTCACGCTTACCGTTTTCGCGACGCGGCGAGCTAATAACAGCGCATTTAGATCCCGTCGCCATTGAGACCAGGCAAAATCTCTGGACGTCATTAGTACGGTCATACAATCCCCGGCTACTCAACTACATGATTGAAGCCAAGCAGGCCTTGAAAAAGACTAGCTTGCGTGCGGCGGAGGAAGAGGCCCCAGCTTTACACGATCACCAGCCATCTCTTCTCTCGGACCTCGAGGAGTTTAGAGCCCTTGTAAATGACGTCGTGCGCTCATCGACGCAAGATGGCCTCGATCAAGCGGTACAGAGCGCTTACCGCATGTGTTTCCTTTACACCGAGCAAGACTTCGCAAAAATTACTGGCAATAATGCCAATACCAGGTCGTTGAGAAATGCGCTCGGTTTCCTAGGCCGGCTACGGACGTGTTTTGACACTTTGGTCAAAGGCGCAGAGAGGCTCTCCAACTTCCAAAGTCTCCGGATTCTCCCGGCGACAGGATTATCGACCAGCGGAAGCAGGTCGAAAAGGAGGAACCCAGCTGATAACTGGTCGGTGGGGAAGACCTTCTCGTCTCTGGGCCTCACACTGGACGACAAGACCGTGGCATCCGTCATCGGAACCGGGAGGGGGAAGGAATCCTGGACGAAGAACAGACTACTTCAAAAGTTTGACAAGCTGAAGACGCCGGTTTCTGGCGTACACGCAGAAGTACAAGTTGTCCTGGCTGCGGCACGGCACGACTGTACAGGCGCGCTCGTATTCAAATATGTGGGCTGCAGCAAGCGCAGCTGCTTTCTATGCTCCAGGTTCGTCCAGAACTATGGGTCCTTCACGACGAGGGGATGTCACGGCAAACTATACAATCTCTGGACTGTGCCCGAATTTTCATGGAGTGGCGAGGAAGAACGTTTGAAACTAGCCAAGACTCTCAAACACGTCGAGAGAGCCATGAAGGATTCTATCCGGAATGGAAGGACCGGCGGGCTCGTCCCTACTCAGGAGTCCACCGTCGGAGGTTCCTCGATTGCAACCATAAGACGGCAATTTGGCACTCCGCACATGACATCACTCGTCTTGCAGCATCTTAGATCCCAGCGCGAAGCGGTGATGGCCGGCGCTAGCAAAGAAGGCGGCATTGAAAGTCCAGTGTGAGCCCGCACTCTTCGATCCAAAGCACTCGGATCCTGCTAACGGAGGTTTAGTCAGAAATTGCCGAGCGATGATGGATATGAAGCCAATCATGAACTACCTCTGCCCGAGCAGACCCAGAGTCAATATCCAAGAATGATGCCAACATCTGAACAGATACGTGGCCAATGCTATATTTGCGTGCGAGAGACCAGCCGCCGGTGTTCACTGTGCAACCTGGGTTGGTTTTGCAGCCAGGCGTGCCAAGACCAGATGTCCTTGCCTCACCTCGCGAAGTGTTCGGCTCGCTCGATAACGACGGCCGACATACTCTATGATGACGTTGTTAAAGACCAGATTCCCGAAGATCAGCAGACCCGTGAACACTTCGGGTTCTCTCGGTGCCGCCATTGGAGAGAGGAATCTCACCTCTTCGGCCTTTACCAAGGTCTCCTTCATCACCTCGGTATTAGTCCCATCCAGCTGAACGAATGGCAACGGAAAGGCGATCTTGTGAGCAAAATCATCGATGCATTTTCCAAAGTGCCCGAACAGAGACGTGGGGGTTACTTCCCGTGGTTCCTCCGAAATCAACGTGTTCTCGACCACTCAACACCGCCGCTTCAGCTGGACGGCAAAGACAATCCCTTGCAGCAAGCTGTCGATGCCGCAAGGTCCTACCTTGACCCGGAAGATCGCGACAAGGATTTCCGCCAATTCGAGCCTCCGGCGAAAAGCTATTGCTTCATATTCTACGCTATGGCCCTGGACAGCGCACACCCGAACCCAAATTGGGCGGAGCTTGATATGTGGTACGACTTCGGCTTCGCGGTAAGCACTAATGAAAGCTGCGAGAGTGGCATTGGGGCTCTCTATGGTAAGCTTGTCGGCGGCAACAAAATTGAAAGGGACTACGATCGAAGTCTCGGGTATGGATACCGGAGCGTGCCCGATTTGCCTACCTGCTCCTTTGACGAGTTCTGGCGGGCCTGGCAAAACGGCAGCCTTGCAAAGGTTTTCGACAAGTACGGCTTAGGTGACGCACTGGATGGGAATCCGGCACAAAGGCAGCACAGGATCGCGGCTCGTCACCTACGGGGATTTATTTCCGTCCCCATGGAGCGGCATGGGCTACGCCCATCGGTGTGGAGGCTTCAACACCTCCTTGCCCTGGGGGATAACGAACCGATGAGCAGCTTTCCCAAAATCGAAGCAGCTGCCCAGGAATATGGTTTCGCACGGCACCTGGACGCGAGGACAAGAATTGCTTTGCGGCAGTTTTACAGGCGGTTGCTCGATGAGGGTGATCCGCTCGATGTCCACGAGGCAAAGAATCGCAGTGAGCTGCTCGAGTACGCGGAGAGCTGTCTTGGAGACATTGACGATAGGGTACGAGATGTATTGCGAAAGCTCGGCCCTACAAGGTGAGAAGTTCATAAGGGGGCGAGTACGGCTAGAAGCCGATCGGTTTTAGTGTCTGGGATGTCTATGAGAACGCGAGGTATAACGGAGAAAATGAGGACCTATCGAGCTGATAACGGTGCTTTTACTCTATTTTCAAGCGTGACGGCCAATTGACTGTCGGCCATCGCAACCTTAACATAAAGGGCCTTGTGTGTCTAGGCCTCATGATGGAAAAGAGGCCAGGCATCAAAATCCGTGGGGAATGTTTCGGCTCGACGTCGGCGGTGCTTTCCCAATTGCCTATATAAACGACATTTGGGCGAGAAGATAGCACGTACGACCATACCCAGTGGAGAACTCGGGATCCCGTCCGCTCTCCCATAGATAAGCCACTGAGGGCCGGATCAGTAGTTGGGTCGGTGACGACCAGCGAATCCCCGGTGTTGTACGTTTTTTTTTTTTTTTGGCTGTTTCGTTTACCACCTAGCTATCTTCTACAAGAGAAACTTTGGTTCAGTCTCTAGCCCATTCAGCATTTCATGTTTTTTTACCTTCTCAAGTTTCACGCCACTCTGTACCAAGACACTCCCGTGAAGCTGGCAGAGGGATGCTCAGCCTGGAGGGCCGAACATGGAGAAGTTCATGACGAGAACTGTGAAGCCAATCTAAATGCCCTCCGGGGTGATAGTATTGTCCATCGCCGCGACGCATGATGGTATAGCTACTCTGTGAAAGCTATACCCTCTTCCGACGTGAAAAGGCGCTGTACTCCCTGCTTCGACGGCTGATACCGAAGCTCCCCAGGCTCAAGTCTGACACCCCTTCGACGCCACTCCTCATATTCGAGCACGCCAACAGTGTGGAACGGAATGTCCAGATCCCTAGCTACCCTGTTTGTCCATGCCATCTCCACCAGGGTATTAGTGCTGTCAGGCTGCCCCATAATCTCCCTTATGCGGTTGGATTTCTCCATCTCGCCCTCGAGATATCTCATGTGCCTCACCGGGTTGTACCGGCGCCGAGTCATAGTCGGCTTTAGCTTCTCGTAGCTGAGCTTGTGCCCGAGCCCGTCGTATACGGGCGGGCCGTTGGGTCCCTGCCAGAGGATTCTATCGTGGTGCTTGTAGATGTCTTTGGGCTTAAGATTGGGTGGGACCGTGGCACCCACGAAGTTGATCGAGCGCTCTATGTCTGTCTTCTTTGTCTTGGGCGGCTTCCAGGGTGTCGATGAGGATGTTCCGTCGATGTCGCCACTATCTGTTTGGGATGGTTTGGGAGGAGTGCTAGGTTTTTGACGCTTCCGCGCGGGCGTAGGACAGGTGGATTCATTGGATAGACGTTTTTGAGAAGGCATGTTTGGGACTAGAATGTTGTCAAAAGGTTGAAATATATTCTCAATTAACAAATGAAGGTGTAGCCAGGAGAGGAAACTCGCTCCCATTTTTATGTTGCGCTTTGGGGTCGTAGCTTATGATTTTGTTACAACCCGAATGGTAGATTAATAGGAAACGACCGCCCAAAGTTCACTGGTCCTGCGGAAAAGCCAAATGGGCTACCCTGAAATGCCCGACCCTGAAATGTGCGACCCTGATTTGAGTCCCCTCCAAACGGAACACCGCCAGCCTCCATGCCGCCTCCGTTAACGTTCCACGACCAAGATACTCCAGGGCCATCGAAACTGATGTTGATACGCTCCTTGTAGGAGGAAGAATTCTGGCTATCCTGCTGCTGCTCCGCCTCGGGTCTAGGTGTAGGCTCTTCTCGCCGTGGGACCTCTTCTGGAGGCGGAGATGGCGACTGCCGAGGAGGAGGGGGACTAGCCGCACGTTGTCGGGAAGAAGGTGCTGCAGCACGGGGCAGAAGGGGAACGCGGGGCGGAGGCGGGCTGGGGTCTCGGCGGCCAAAGTAATAGCTGTATTGACTGTACGAGGAACTGGCTGCCTCACTTCTGGCGCTGTATCTAGCGTCGGTGCGGTTGAAGTTGTTCGCGTACCGGCTTGTATAAGGAGTCTGGGCCTCGTTGGCATCCGAGACCTGCCTTGGCCGGACAACGAGCGCCGAAGATTGGGGGAATGGAGATTGGCCAGGGCGAGGGTTGCTCGAGTTTCCTCGCGAATTTCGGCCGGACGTTGAGCTGCTCATCGTATGAGAAGGGCTCCTAATAAACGGATTGAATAGATGAACTAGAAAGCTGTCGTGGAGAGATTGAGGCTGCGACCGAAGCGCTGTGTCGACTTGGGAGATGACAACGCGAGAATCGAAGGAATAAGAATAATTTCTTGGACTCCGCACCTTGGTGAAGAGGGAAATGCCATATACTTCAGGTGCAGCTGCGGCGTTACATATTTGGAGCATGTAAAGGTGGAATCGTACCAGGGGAGCTTGGAAGTGTATTGCCAGGCGTTTCATCCGTATAGAGTGGACTGATCAACGCACATCCCTCGTAGAAAATCGACCCAGTGCAGCGGATCTTAATCGACGACGCCCAAACTTTGTGACGAACAGCCCCTTGTGAAGTAGTGCCTTGCTTCAGGTTGGTAAATGTTTTTGCGATTGACCAGTCTTTGTCCCAGAACCATGATCTTGGTCGTAGATCCAGCACCTGAATGTTTTGAAACATAATTAGCCCGGGCCTATTCAAAATTACGGAATATTTTGCTGACCACCATCGGCAATCACGTCTTTCCTAATGCTATCAGCTACTATGTTGACAATGTAGTGTCAGAAAGCGGGCATTCGATTTCGGCGACGACAGCAAAAGCTCCCTGCTCGTATTCGGTGCAGTTGCTGGCGACGCATTCGGTCACGTACTTGCTGCTGACCCAGAGCGGTTGGTTGACGGTTTCCGGGAAGTATTCGCAAAAGGAGTTGCAACCGTGGCGGAGGGCGAAATCTGCCAGGGAGTAGAGTGAGCAAACGGACATCGCCAGCGGCAGTGTCCAGTGGCTTGTAATTACTCGTACTCGGACAGAGAACTGTGAAGCCAATCTGAATGTCCTCTGGGCATGTCACTACTCTGTAGCACTATACTACTTTCTGGGGAGTAATTACATGACCTTCTTCGTGATGAAGGAGACTAACGAGTGTTTGCTCAAAGTGAGAATACTGCAAAGTGTGGTTGTGATAGACGGTTGGGCTATGAACTCGAAATTCCTCGATTTCTTATGACTACAACGTAGATGTGTGGCTGTCACCCAATACACCTGGTTGTTGCTCTTTCCGTGAAACAGACCGCCATGACCAGTAGTGGCAGAATAAATTAAATATGAGGGCATCCCCACCCCCTATTTCATCCGTACCTACCAACGTGACTTGGCACCTGGCGTCGGCCTACCAAAAATTCTGTAAGAGCAGCCGGACCGTCACTATCGCCAGCATTGTCTGTCGCAGCGCTGTTGCCAGCGTCACTGTCACTGTTGCTGTTGCTATTACTATTGCTATTGCCATTACTATCGCCATTACTGTTACTATCTGCTATTGCTGTTATTACTAAGTATTGCTTAGGCTTCATCTAATGCAAATTTACTTTGGCATAGCATCTTTAATCTTTATTCTGCTAGCATTTACATGGCAGCTGTCAATTCTTTTGAGACTTCTATAGTATGCGCTTGAAAGTTAGTTAGTTTTAGTGGTAGTATAGATCCTTGTATGCTGAAAATTCCATACTGCGTAGCATCTCGCCTTGCCCAATCATACGCATCAGTCCACCATGGCTGCGATTGTGGCTGAGGATGCCTAGCAGTCTTTACTTCTTGGGCCTCTCACGAAACTCCATAGCTAAATCCTTCGTACTTTTTACCCCTTCTCGATCTGTTTTTCTTAGAGTTGACGTCGGGTCTACGGTGAGCCCGGACCGAACAAGTTTGTTGCCAAGCCGAGATCTCACTGGACTGGACGCCTTGCTGGTGTTACAGTGGCGGTTAAATTGAAAAACGACATGGTCCGAACCGAGATGAGCAGCAAAGTACGGGAATCCATGGAGCCTGAGGGAGGCAAGAGGCCTAGAACATATATATGCACCGAGGGAACAGGCGCTGCACGTATGGAAATAATCCCTACCCACCCCGAATCGCTTCTTTTCTGACAAATAAATCCTCACACCTCCGGGTTCAATTCTCCAATCTCCAATCCCAAAGAGACGATGCGACAGCCTGCATTGGGACCCACTCTTTTAGCCAGCCTGTGGGCAGCGGCGGCTGTGCACAGCGGCGCATCCTTCCCGGCGACGCTCGAGGTCGACCTGATCTTCCCGCGCATGAACGAGACGTACCCGCGCGTCTACCCGTTCCCCGTCGTCTTCGCCATCCAGGGCGCCTCGGCCGCCTGGCCGCACGAGCTCTCCTTCATCTGGGATGCCTTCGACGCCAACCGCACCACGCACGTCTCGGGAATGCTGCCGGATTTCTCAAAGGGTGGCAATGCCTCTTCTCCCGACTTGGCGATGGTGCCGTGGACCCAGGGCGATCTCCCCGAGGGGAACGACCCGCTGTATGTCATCGCCGGCATAGACCTGATCGCCAACTCGTCCTCGTCCGCCTTCTCCATGACCTGGGGCGCGCTCTTCCGCCGGAATTGCACCGCCAAAGGCGTCGAAACCAGCACGGGCGGCTCCAAGCCGGACATCGTCGGGTCCGTGCAATGGAGGATCGCCGACGACGCGCCGAAACTCAGCATCGTGCCGGCGGACGGGTCGTGTCCGCGACCCGAGGACACGCGGACGCGGACGCCGAACACGCTGGGCCTCGCAGGCGCTGCCGAGGGAGACGCCACGTGCATCGTGTTGGAGGACGGAGCAAGGCTGCGGCCGGAGCCGCAGCCGTGCGCGGTCAAGGCGTCGCCGGAGCTGGCGAGTAAGGTCACGCAGTCGATGTTGGCTACGTCGAGGTGCACCGGGGTGTCGTGGCCGGACGAGAAGCTGGTTGGCCGGTGCGAGATCAGCAGCAAGGATGACAAGTCGGGGTCGTCGAGGCCCGGCCCTGCGGTCGGGGTTGTGGTGCTGGGGGTGTTATCGTTTGCGGCAGGGTTTCTCGGCCTAGCTGTCTCTCCCGGGCGGGCATTCTAGTCCCCTCCTCCCTTTTGATTTTTTTGATTTTTTTTTTTTTTGGACGAATTTCTTTTTAGACTACCTGTGGCAAGTCTCTGCGTAGAACGGCAAGATAGCTATCGAAGTGGCTCTATTTGGGGAACAAAATGTTGATATATTTGGTCACTAATTAGTCTTCGGAATATGCCTCACGTTGTAACGATACCAACGACTTGAAACCGAGAAAGCTCAAGACGACAACAATATAGCGCAAGTCCATTCTCCTTTGCTCACCTGACCTCGCCTGTCACCTCCAGCCTAGTCCTCCAAAGTAAGCTTAAATCCAGGTTGCCGTTTTAACAAGCTCTTATCTGTATCCTCCACCGAAGTAAGCCCAAGTCCAGGTTTGCTTCCCGGTTTTACCAAGCCCTTATCTCTATCCTCCTCCGAAGTAACCTCAACTCCAGGTTTGCTTCGCAGTTTTAACGGGCCCATAGCTTTATCCTCCTGAGTGACAACGGCCATTTCTGTCAGGTGGGGGTGCTTCTCAATCATTTCGCGTGCGTCGGTAAATAGCAAAGCTGCTGTATCAACAATCATGCTACGCTTGCAATTCAAACGTAGGTATAGCATAATGAGGCCACTCAACGGCAAAAACAACGTGACGCCGAACCACGCAAAAAGTCTTGGAAACGACACGGATGCCTCTAGCCTCGCTTCAGCGGGCCGCGCGGTGAGTTGGCCGTCATCAGTGTACTCGAACGACGCATGAAAGGTTTCCCAACCAGCGAAGTAAGCGTGGCGGATCAGCGTCGCCGTGTAGTTGTCGAGGTTCTCCCAAGTCGGCAGCCGAGTTGCGTTCAAGACGGCAATTTCAGGCATCACGTCCTGCATGAGCCACAGTGCCTCCCTGGTCCAGATGGAAGGCTCGATGGCCGCGGAGATGTCCCCATCGTGACTGAGCGTTGTAGGATCAAACTCGACGGTCTGCGGGGACACGAAAGTGCTTTTGGGGGCTTTGACGACGCCGGCAGTGAAGTATACCGTGCCCCAGGTCAAACAGATTGCCGATTCGCCGGTACCACCAGAACCGAATGAGTTTTTCAATTTGCCTGCAAGGTAGAAAGGGCTTCCGAAAGTGCTGTTGTAAGCAATATTGCAGTCCACCTGGTCGTAGTAGAGTGGGCGGCTGAGATGGATGAGGACCGTCATGTTGCCCTCAAAATTTGGCCGCCTCGGGGAACGTAGCTGTGTCCAGCTCGGTGTCGTATGTAATACCCGAGTGCGGGTTCCAGTCAGGGTCCTCGCGGCTAAAAAGAACGGCGACTCCGAGATGCGTGTAGGAAAATGGCGGATCCTCTATCCGGCTCCCGATTATCGTGAAACGTGTACGCAATGTCTCTAATATCACCGGGAACTGGCCCATCCGGCCATGTGATGTTCTGGATCTGAAGACACGGAAGAATGGCGTCAAAGAGCGTCGAGTTCGTAGAGACGGAGGTGGGCATGACGCGCCGACAGGCGCCGCCCCCCAGCAGTGCTGACGTGCCGTTCTTGGACTGTTGAGAATCATCGACAGTCCACGCTAGACTTGCCATGCCGCGGGCTGCCCGGATGGCGTTCCTAATGTCCGCGTATTGATCGAGATACCAATATCAGAGTAGCGAGCTCGCAGAATCATAGCCGCTCCTGGCTTGTATCGACGGCGCGTAGTCCACTGCAAAGTTCCAGTCGACACTGCCAGAGAACAGAGGCCGAATTAAGCGTTGCGGGATGACGAGCAGCAGCACAAGCGTGACGAGCCATTCCCTCCCCTGTAGCCGCTTGCGCGGCGCGTAGCCCCCGAGAATCTGGGAAAGATGGTCCAGTCTTAATCCGTGGCGAGTCTCCAGAAGAATGAACACGCACCGCCAGGCGAGAATCCCGCTCCACATGGTGCCGACAATGTCGATGAGAGTCGTGGACGCCGAGAGCCAGGTTGTAACGTCAGAGTCTCGGAACACGTACCCTCCGCCGGGTTGGGCTCTCAACTGCCATTGGTAGGCGAGAGCCTTGTAACCGTTCACTTTCAAGGCTACAAGGCCGGTGACGGCCAGGCAGAGGGCGAAATGCCCGAACAAGGGTGCCCATATCCTGAAATGTTTGGTCTTCGGTTCATGACGTGCGGGCTGTGGTGGGCATCGCATGTTAGCTGCGACATCTGAAAGGCCGGACTAATTATTATCTGACCGTTGGGCTGGCCTGAGCCTCCCCCGTTTGTTGAGTCTTGTCTGTTTGCTGGCGGCTCATAGCGAAATCGCGGCTAATGTGGAAATCTTTATGTTGTGAGCTTGCAAACCGATCTATGAGCGGTGATGAGCAGAGAGAGATGCCACGCCAGATCTTTCGGGCGGCGCAGAAACAAATAGCTGGGATTTATTCTTGGGCCCCAATCTCCTACTCCCCGTCGTCCAATGTGGTCCGGCTGCCCAGTTGACATACCTATAATACAGACAAGACGTCCACGCAACCTGCAGCCTGCAGCTGAAAAAGTATTGTACTACCAAACATTCAATATTACGGTCTACTCAGAAAATATTCCGACCCTCAGCTACCATAGTAGACTCCAGCTTGTCCAGCCACTCGCTCAATATCACCAGTAAACTAGCCAATAAGAAACGAACAACACAATGCGGGCCAGGACGCCAAGTTGAGGAGGGTGCGGGAAGAACTGTGACAGCCTCGCCCTCCACCAAAAGAAATGTTGCACAGAGTAAATGATAACGCCATGGTAAAAGGAGGGTGTGCTCAGCCTCGGCTGTGGTATAGCACAAAACGTCTTACGGACATCTATTATCTACCCCTGTTCTCGGAAATCTCGGCACTCACCTGTGACCCACGCTGCAACGATGCTCTACCTGTCACACCGACGAAGAGGGGACGCGCGCGATCCTAGTGAAATACCCCGCAGGCCCGGTCTAGGACCCAATTCCAAGCAGAGCCTTCAGTGACGCACAGCCAAGGCGCGCTCACCGGTTATAGTTTTGGCCAATACAAACCTGGCCAGCAAAAAAAGAACATATCCGACATGGTCTTTCGAAACTTGGCATAATGTGTCTGTTTTGTCCCCCTCCCGACAGCTTTGGGGTGGCATTGAAGACATCGGTTTGGACGAGGCTAGGAATAAGGGAACACACATAGACCGGGGCTTTGATAGACTTCATGTCAAGAATCAAGCCCTTAGTGAACGACTAGACCGCGTGCTTGGTCATGATGTATGCCGCTTGTGTTGACATTCATTGAATTCCTCACGTAATGGCCAAGGTCACAGGGTTTTGTTTTTGTCGTATAAGGATTGCAGGACTGATTCTAAGCAAAGGTGTTACGCCCCGAAGGCCTGGGCTAATAGAATCCCGCGCACCCCACGCTCGAGGTCTGGGAAAACCTGGTGGCTGAGGCTACGACCCTGTCATGCTCGACGCCAAGACCTTGTGCAACAACGTCGGTTCGCTCGACTACGTGTCTCTCCAATCCGACCTTGTAGCGCCCGACTTTGAGCTGCCGCCGTGCTGGCTGGGATAGCCTGAGGCGGCACAACTATTTCCGCGGGGACGGACACGCTGAACAAGGAACGGAAGGCCGATGACTGGGGCGCCGTGATGCTCAAGCATATCGCTGAAGGGTAAGAGGAAGAGCGAGATCTTTATCTTTATGTGTCCAATTATGCAAGCAACTGCTAACCCCCCTTCTCCGCTCTTCAGATCTGTCTGGACACGGAGAGAGAAGGACAGAAAAAACGGTGCCAAGGCTATGGACCCGGGCAACTGTAAAAGCTTCGATAAACTGTACACGAAGGACAAAGAGCCAGTCGACGTTCGCCTTGTAGAATAGTGGTGTGTTACATGCAAAGACTTTACTCCCAAAGTCACGTAATTGTATCTTGCTCTTAATATATACTCGTATTAATAGCCGATGCCTTCCCAGACACATTCGTGCGAAAATGAGACTCCGTTCAGGAGGATTTCTTGGCGGTGCGGGTGGGGCCGGAGCAGGCTCCACTATTGTCAGCACAAATTCGGCATTAACAGCGAAGCAACTGATAAGACGGGATTAATTGCGGGCCTAGACTAGGTCTCCTCGGGAATATACAAATTTCCGAGCTGACGTGAAGTTCAAACGCCGAAATCTCAAAACATGAAGGCAAACGCCCTCACTCCACCACCTAAGCCCTTTTATGCCCTGATCGTCCACCCCATTGCAGGCTACAACAAACGCCCCTCCCCCTTAAATGAATACTTCTGCTTCTGGTAGCGAGCCACAGAGGGCAGGAGAAACCGGAAAACGTGCCCTCAAAGCCAACAAGGCATGCGTGCCCTGCCGTGCACGCAAGGTCAAGTGCGATGCCGCCGTGACTGGCCTCCCCTGCAGCAGCTGTACCAGCAGGCAGTGTGCCAAGGACTGTGTACTGCCGGTCCGTAAGGGTCGGATCAGGTTAGTTAATTTACTGATATGATGGTTCATGGTTCATTAAGTGCGTGCTAACATAGATGGGGCTCATAGGAAAGTAATACGTGTTTTACCGACTCCTAGACAGATTAGAGGCATCCCACAATCTTCCACTTCCGATCCCTTGGACTGCCAAAGCCCACGTCAGACTGAGCCAGATCTGCTCTACCTCAATATCCTAAACGACGCCGTGCAAGAAACTACAGAATCAAGTCATCATCACACCACTTCCAATACCCCCTGCCGTTCAAGGCCGGAAGACAATTTTACTCCGCGGAACTGTCTATGGACCAAGTTACCCCAATTGGACGACATTGACAATGAATATCTTGTCAAGAAGGGTGTCTTTGATCTACCTCCTCCGCGCCACTTGTGAGACAATCCTCCATCCTCCCTGCTCCATTTTCCTTGGGTCTTCACTTTACTCACAGACAAAAACAACAGAGATGCCCTCATCAAGACATACTTTGACCACGTCTACCCCTTTGCTCCCGTGATCAACAGAGCTGATTTCATTCGCGACTATCAATCCGGCAACTGCTCGTTGTTCCTGCTCCGCGTCATATTGACACCGGCCAGTCTCCATGCGCCAGCAGATGTGCTATCCGCCTGCGGCTTCGCTAGCCGCTCGGCTGCGCAAGATTCGTTCTTCTCCAAGGCCAAGCTGCTCCATGACTTTGCCGCCGAAGATGACCCGTTGTTGATGCTGCAGGGATCCATCATCTTGTGCACGGTGATTCTCGACCACCCCACCGACCGGGACTTTGGCTACTGGTTCCACAACGCGATCCGTCTTGCCACCAAGCTTGACTTACGCAATACGTGCGTTTCCTACTCCTAGACTGTGATACCTGTGACACCTGTGACACCTGTGACATGTATTGCAGGTACTAACTGCCTACGGACTCTCCGACAGGTGTATTCGAGAAGACAAACCCCGCAAACTCTTAGAGTCGTACAGAAGGATCTGGTGGACTCTCTACGTACGTCCCTCTTCTCGTCACCGTGTTCTGTTTTTCCTGCTTTATGCTTACTGTAGCTACGTAGTTTTTAGACATTTTCCACGTCTTTATCAATACCAAACGCTCGCGACTACTCGAAAACACCTCTGCGATCAAGCCTAGGACGGAAGATGATTGGGAAGCAGAGGATGCCTCTGGAATATCATCTGGCTTGCTATCGGCAGTCACGCCTCAGCAAAAGGCCTCGCCTGTTATCTACTGCGAATTGTCTCGAATATGTGCGTGTTGGTTTTATTCGATTCTTTGTTCTTATTCCTTTTCTTTTTATTTTCGATCTGTAACTGATACCACAAGCATGACTAACTCTATTTAGTCGGAGAGTCTTTGTCCATTGTGACAAACAAGCCACAGCAGGATCCTCGCCAAATGATGCACCCACTCGATGCATGGCGCAGTTCTCTCGCTGCCAAGATGCACGTGGGTGGGAATACTGGAACTGACGTGTACTATCTGAATATACAATCCATGAGCTACAGGTTTGAGTGCGTCTTGTGTCGTCTGATACGACGCTGTTGGCAGCAGTCCCAACATGCGGACTGGAGCGAGTGGGCCAAACAGCGGCTTCGGTCCGCTATTCTGGAGTTAGACACGATTGCCATGAGGGTGTTGGCGAGTGGTACCCTTCAGGACTTTCCCATATCTTTGTAGGTGCCGTCCATTTCTTCCCATTTTCCCATTTTTTCAGTCACTGACAATGGCCTTGTCAGCGTAACCACAATAACTGCGCTGCTTGCTCTACACATCGAATCGGCCCTCGATCCAGCCGAGACAGACCTCGTCCGTTCCATGGCTCGGATATCCATCAGCCAGACAATGCTTCTTCTCAACCAGGGAAAAGAAATACCCGCCCTGAAAAGAGCGCTACCGGTATTTGAGGAGATTCTTGCCAAGAAAAATCTGTACTTGGTTCCGCCCAACATTCTTGGTCAAGTACCTGCGCAGTCGCAGTCGCAGTCACAAGACAACAGCATGGCGGATGCGGATGCGGATGCGTATGCTTCGCCACACACACAGGTCAGCGTAGTTTCGTCTCAATTGGAGCAGTGTGAGAATAATCCGTCATTCGATGTGGATTTCCTAGGATTTGATTTCTTGGACGAGTGGCAGATTGGGCAACTGGATTTTACTGGTCAATATTGACATGGGTTTCCCAAGAACGGGCGGCATCGAGGCGCATGCATTATCTGGGGCGATGTTAACCATATGGGAATGAATCTATTAGCAAACAGAGCTTGGAAACTTTCCCGTCGTTCAGTTGCAATAATACAACCTGGGCCACTGCAGTAGCCATCTTGTTCGCTTTAGTCTAAGATGAGAAATATATAGCTAGGTAGCTCAAGTTCCAATTGACCTAGGTCTTCTATCTATAGGGAATTAAAAAGAAAATAAGAAAACAATAGTAAAAAGAAAGCAACCCATCTATACTATAATATTGTATCCACACTTTGCATACTTTCCACCCATCTCTAAAACTCCCACGCCGGCGCCCCACTACGTATTACAGAGGGGCAACAATACTCTCAGGACCAGCCTCCACTAAACAACCTATTCCGCCTCCCTCTCTGGCCCATTTGGGTCACCTCCAATCACGACGACGTGCCGACGACGCATCATCTCCAGCACCTTTGCTGCTTCGGAAGCATACTTGCACTTGGAGCGTATCTGCGGACCGTACTTGTGGAACAGAAACGGGAAAGGCAGGCACCCAAGCACCAGGAACGCAGGAATGGAGCTCGCCCATTGATTTCCGAGATTCTCGTACATTCGCGTGGTAAACAGCGGAAACGCGGTGCCGAACAAGGACCGAAGCACCGAGTTGGCCGCCAGCACAGAAGCAGCATAGACAACATCTGTACACAGGTGAGCATGTGCATTGTTGGGGAGGATCACGAAGCACGGATCAAAACGTACAAGAGTCGATCAGATAGCTCATCAGCGAGATGAAGACCATGACAAGTCCACACGCGAAAAACATGGCGCCGATAATGGGCACGATCCAGTGCACCGACGGATATGTCGTCCACGCAAACAGGAACAGACCAATCGGAAGGACAATAGAGCCTGCCATGGCCGTACCTAGTCTGGCTTCTGGCTCGACCGCGCGTCGCTCTGCCTCGGCCGCCGCGCACAGGCGCACGTAGCGCTTGTTGTCCACGCCGGCTGCCAGCGTGGCAAGACAGACACCAATGGCGACGCCGACAAACGGAAGTCCGGCGGTGCCCTGGCTCCAGCCTCGAGTAACCTGGAAGACGATGGGAAACCCGGCAAAGAACATGTACAGTGTGCCGTAGACGATGGAGATGTACAGCGACGTCAGCAAGACAATGGGTTCGCGGAACAGCAGGATCAAGGGGCGCGTAAGAGAGACCGAGAGCTCCTGCGAGAGTGTCTTGAGTGGCTGTCCCGCATCCAGCCGTGACACGTATACGCTTCCTGTCATCCGGGAGAGGGCCTTGGCTCGACATCGCAGAATGAACGGCGCGTATGTTTCGCGGGTGGCCAGCATCGTGGCAATCCACATCACACCGCCCAGTATGGCGACCAAACCGAGAATCCAGCGCCAGCCCTGGGATTCGTTAAGAAAACCACCGGCAATGGGCCCTGAAGAGAAAATTGATAAGAATCAGCAAGTGTACAAGGGCAACAATGGCAAAAATCGGTAACATGGAAGAAGGACAATCACCACCTACCAAGTGCAGGGCCCAGAAATGGAGCCGTGGCAAACAATCCCGTCGCCAGTCCGCGCTCCGCCTTGCTGAACATGTCGGCAACGACGCCCCCGGCATTCGTCATCGACGACGAACCAGCCGCGCTCGCAAGGAAGCGAAGAACCAGCAAGGCCGTGATGTTGGGCGCGCACGCCGCCGCCACGCTGAAGGCCGTGTACGCCGTGTACGAAACCACAAAGACGGACTTGCGCCCGTACATCTCCGACAGAGGCGCCCAGATCAGCGGGCCCAGGGCGAACCCCAGCACGAAGAGCGACAGGCCCAGCGTGGCCACCTCCTCGGACACGTCGAAGCGCTGCATGACGCCTTCGATGCCGCTGGCGTATGCCGAGCTGGCAAAGGTCACCGCGAACGTGGACAGGGACTGGAGAATGGCAGTGGCCCATTTTCGCCCCTTGGGAAAATTCATGGCGTCTTGGCGGTCGTTGTGCAGGTAGTCGACAATGTAGGGGTGGTCGTCTGTGCCGTTGCCGGCGTAACTCTGGTTGCAGACATCGTCGTCGAGGTGCGTGCGGAGGAGAAGAGATTGGATCCAGGACATGCGTCGGGAGGAGTCCTTGACTCGCTGGGGGACGTCGTCGTCGGAGACAGCGGGCTCGGGAAGGACAGCCATGATGAGAAGGATAGGGAAGGACAGGAAGACCTGTGTCGAGATTCAAGATGTGGACGGGAGGAAAACCAACGAGTTCTCATGCTTGGCTATCTTGTCACGGTGAGTAGAAAATCGTGCTTGTGGTTATATAAGTCACCTCGGAAGTTTGAATTCGGAGTTTCAGCCTGGCGATATTGGCGAGAAACAAAAGCCCGCGGCATTATCTACGGAATTATAAAATTTCTTCTCAGCATGACAAAGCCGGGTGATGCTTGCGGAATGCGACGTCAAAATACACGGTAAAATGAGATTCCATCATTTTGTAAGATTGTATCAGAGGACACCATCTCGTCTGTCGCATTGCGTCGTGTTCACTGCAGATGCGTCGTAAGCAAGAGACGTCGGAGTTAAAAGGAACTACAAAAAGTGGGTTGACTTGCTAAGAGTGCACGCGAAGTGCTCACGTGTAAACACAGTGGTGGAATTTTACACTTATGTACTTTCCCTGGTAAACTTGACGTAAAAGTACATGCTAAACCATTGAAAAATCGAACTTCTTCTCGCTTTTGCGCTTCTGTCGTTGGCGCAAGTATTGGTGATGGTGACTGAGGAGTAGTTGGCATGTCAGTTATCACCAAATTTAGTAGGCGGTAAGCCTTAGTTTGTTAATTTTAGTATCGCGGTATCGTGGCATTGAGTATTTAATCCTCAATCTCTAGCCCTCCTCATGGCGACTGAAACACGCCTCTCTCCCTGAGCTTTGTCTGTACTGCCTTCTACCATGGGAAGGCCTAAAAGTGCAGCCGAATCTACTCGGCTGGGTTGTGAGAGAAGCTCTGGGAAAGCGACCATCGTCAATGGAGAGCCGGTATTCAGAGTGTTGGAATGCGCTGTCCAAAGGAATTACGACAACATGCTGAATATTTGGCGCGTCTAAGTATCTGATCCTTCTTTATCAGATTTTACCCTGACCGACAATAAGATACAAAAAGCAACACCCGCAGGCCTCGGTGGATGACTTGGAGAGCCTGAAATATTTCGTCAGAAAAGTAGCCTACGCGATCGACGGCGAAGAAGGAATTCAGGCAGCCTGCTCGGAGACTGTTCGAAAATACTGGAACGCCTTTACAGCAGCGTGGCAGCGAGAACCTCCTTATCAGGACATACCGCGAGGAACTGCACAATCTGTCACACAGGTACAAAGCCTAGACCAACCAATAAATCAGAAGCATGTACATACACCTCACCGACAAATCAGAAACAATTCGTATTCGAGCAGTGATAGGCGCGGTGGGTGGGGCGGGGGCCGGGGTCGTCTCAGGCCAACATTGTTACTGCTCAACTTGACCTTGATATCTTTACGAAGGCGAAGAAGGACCTAGGGGGCTTTGAAGTTGGCATTTAAGAAGCTCCTCTCGCCGTATCCTCTGTCTAGCGTCCAGGTCGATCGAGTCGATAAAGGTCTTTTCCCGACGTCTCAGCTCGCTTGTGAGAGGATAGGGACGCGCTGGCGTCGTGTTGCGGCTCGGTGTTGCGGGCCTAAGGGCAACGTCGGATGGCGGCGCCAGACTCTCTGCGCCGTGTCCCGACATCATTCCGGTCAGCAACTAGACTTGCCGCGATATATGTGATTTGTTTTTTACGGGGAGAGGTGAAAAAGGAGTTGAAAGCTGAGGCGCGTTTAAGGTCAGGCAACAAACTTCTGGGGTCAATTACGGGCGCTCCGTGCGTCTCATGTCCGTGCGTCCGAAACTCCTTTCCAAACCTCAGTAAGACTTGGAAGTTTACTATGAGGGCTCCGATTTCGCACATAGCTATACCGAATTGGCAATTGGAAAAGCGAATTAGGAGGGGGTTCCGAGATTCCGCACATGGTGCAGTGGGAAAGTTCAGAAGCCAATACATCCCGCCAGCGTACCGAGTTAGTCTCAGCGAGTGTGCATCGGCAGTTTAAAGCCATACCGGAACATTCCGAACTCGAAGAACAGTCAGTGCTCTGGGTTGGACGAGTGGCCTTTGCAACCATCTCCCCGTTGCCCAACTCTGTAGGAGCCTTGTTCTAGGGCCTGCTATCACTTGTATGGGTATTATTCTGGCACCGGGTGGCGCGAAACCAGCAACAGTACGGACATATGCTCGGCGCGGCTTGATGGCAAGGCGAACAAACACTGAAAGAACCAGGTATAGCTCCATGAGGCCCTGACTTACCTCGCCCCCTCTGCAATTTTTCGGGCCCGTCGAATCGAATGATTAGAGACGTGAAAATATCGGTTCGGATGCGCTATGTCGTGCTCGCGCCGCGCATCTAACCAGCTTTCCGAAGGCCTGCACAAGCGCTCTCAGCTGAAGCTGGTTGACGTAGGACGAGGTGCGCCAAGTACTCCCGCTCCTCTTTCGGTCCGACCATCCAATGGTACTCAACCACGATGACCTATATTTCCTATGCAGTGTGGATGCATCTAGTCAGTCAGGTGCGGTCGGTCAGGGTCATAGTTGGTCGGTCAGGGTCACAGCTGGTGGTCAGCCAGGGTCACACCAGGAACGCCGGTCTGGAGCCATTGTGCCGCGCCCACCTATCGCTGCGGCACAATCGTACCTTGTTGCGACACTGGTTACCTGTATAAAAGATAACAGATTTTCAGGCGTTCTTATGGCTGTGGTGCTCACCAGTGCCAGGTGAACATAGACGGGTGGTAACCGTTGGTGCAGGCATATGGCAGGATTCGCGGCGGGAAGTCACACATGGGCAATTCATAGAATAAAGTCCACATCATGGCTGTCATCTTTAAGCAAAGCGATTAAGTGCTGAGCAATGCTTGGGTTGCGAAAAGCGGAGAGCTTTGCTTTTGTTATGCACCTAGAGTAACTAAAACGTCTGATTGGTAGATTTCGCAATTTGCACATATGTTGACATACTTCGTACTTCCAAAAGCCCCACCAAAGATTAAGCAGAAATCCATATTTACAACTTTGGCCGCCGATTCTCCCCTCTTGTCCTCCCCAAAGGAATGTGCGGCGCTGTAAGCCTGCAGCGCTGCGAGCCTGTAGCGCTTACCGCGCCGCACATTCCTTTGGGGAGGATACAGCCCCAAGATGAGAAAAGAAAAAGTTACTTAATCAATTACCTACCTAATCAACCCTCCCGCGAAGAGCTCCCTGTCGCTTTACGTTTTCTTTCTCGGGAGTGCCTCCACGCACGGCCCAATTATTTCCGAGTTACACTCTCTCGCGTCTTACTTTCAGACCTCTATCACACCAAGCATGCTGCGTGCAGACCCTTCCACCGGCAGCTGCTTTTCGGAGTTCAAACCTGGGCCGGGGATTGTAAAACCTCCAAGAAGAGAACGACCCCATCAGCTGGCGTGCGACCGGTGCAAGGGCCAGAAGCTGCGGTGCATACGATCCCCAAACCTTAGGGCTCCTTGCGAGAGGTGTCAGAAAGCGGGTGCAACATGCATCATCGATTTATCGGTGCGCATGGGCAGGCCCAAGAGAGCAGACAAGGACCAGCGGGGAAGCACAGCTAGCTCCAACCCACCCCAACCAACACGCTCACCAACTTTGCCCAGTACATCTCACACGGCCGCTGGGGGCTTCACCCCGAACGGCGACACTTGGTCGGGGCATGACCTCGACGACACGCCTGATCCAACGCTGCAAGGCGTGCAGTACCTGGAGTTCTTTGACATTGCTCTCCAGGATGCCACCCCCGAGGATGAGTCGTTGGATAGGCCAGCAGAGCACTATCTCGACCCAACCTTGGATCTGTCCTTGGCCCAATCCATCCCAACTCTCATCACTCTCACCGACGAAGGCACGGCAGTCGATACGGCAACAGTCAATGCTTACAGCCGCTTCCCGCCGATGCGCCAGGACTCAACTCAGGAGTTGTCGAACCTGAATCTGGAACTGTACCGACAGTTGGGCGTCGTGGGGTCGATGGCAAGCAAGGATGCGAACATCCACCCGGGCTTGGCTACACCACCGGGCGGGACCCATACCTCTCTCTCCGACGCCGTGGTCTTCATGATGCACGGCCTGCAGACATACCACCGGCTCCTGGTCGAGATTCTCGGGTTTACGGGGCCGACCCACGACGCCATGCACTGCTCGCACGACCACCCCAAGCCGAGCACTACCAGCCTGCTGAGCCCGGCCGATGGGATGGACAGCGAGGATCCGAGGGGCCCCGTGTCCGAGGCGGCAACAAGTCGGCAGCCGCGACTAGCAAGCCAGTCCGACGGCAGTTCCGAGTTAACCGTGGCTCATGACCCGTCTCACGGTGCCAGTGCCCTTCTTGACATGCCCACGAGTCTTCTGTTGCTTTCCTGCCACGCCAATCTCATCTACTTTTGTCGAGACGCCTTCGCCGCCATCCGGGCCGCGTTGCTCGCCACACGTCGCCCCATCACCCTCTTCTCAATCTCGTTCCTTCACACGGATGAGGTGTCGATACCACAGGACCCAGATTTGCAGATCATCGTTCTCACCCAGGCTGTGATTCGGCTGATAGAGAGGATTGGACGCTTGCTCGGCTACCCGGATGACTGGGAGGACGATTCTGGCCACGAGAGATGCGAGCCCAACTTGAGGTCTCACAACAATGCGATCCCCCCCGAGCTCCTCGATCTCGTGCTGAGACGGGCGGCAAGCGGGGAAGGGCCGCTAGATAGGGTAGGGATTAGAGAACTGAGGGAAGAGATTCGCAGGCTTTATGAGCTTGTTTACAGGCCAGTCTAAGGGGATCGACGTGCGATATTGTCAAGCGAACCTGGCCAGCAGGCAGCTTCTCCAATTGGCAGTAGAATCAAACGATATACTGTACAATTTTATCATCTCATCCCCTTAGCAGCCACAGGTCTAAAGTTGCTCCAAAACGTGCCGGTCAGGCATGGCTCATGGCACATGGCTCATGGCACATGGCCCAAGGCGACGGGACATCTCAAGACACGCTCCAATCACTGCACGAGAAGTATTGCACTGATACTGTACAAGCTAAGGTAGGTACATACCACGTATTAAACTTTGGCTGCCAAGGGAATAATCGGAGAGTCGAGACGCGGGGGGTAGAAATACGGGTCTGAACTATGAGTAGATTTTACCACAGACAAGACCAATAGACATGCAGATCCCTCTCCCCTTTTTCAAGCCCTTTTTCTTTTTGAGACCCTATAATGTTTACTGGTCTTCTTGTTTGCAAGTTGAAGACCTCTCTTGTGTGAGATTTTGATCAGATCATCTTTCTGGGGGCCAAAACTTAAAAGGATGTTCCGGATCTTCTTGATCTTCGGGCTTGGGAGACGGAATCATGGGCCGAGTTGTCACTGCCACGCCGCCCAGGCGTCTTCGGGGCGGCTTACTGCATGTCCAAACGGCTGACTGTGACTCCACCTGTGCATGTTGCTCCAAGACAATTCAATGGTCCGACTTGCTGCCCCCACAGTCGGGACTTTTTGTTCAACCCGGGCCCAGACCTCCAAAGGCGGAACATCCCGCATTCAATCGCGCCACATGGGTACGGAGTGGGAGGTGATCGTGCCACATAGATACGGAGTAGGAGCTGTATGGCACAATCATCATCCACGATATTTCAAGGTGCACTGCATGTACTCTTGGAAGCGGTAGGGCCAAGGTACCTAGGTACGAACCAAAACAACAAGGAACCCCTTTGATAATGACCAGAGCCGTCTACCGTTCAAAGGTCACTTCATCCCAAAGCATGTCAACCTTGTAAACTCGGGCGATATTACCTACCTACCTACCTGCCTACCTACCTACCTCCCAACCATGGCCCTCGCCGCAAGTTCCATCCGGCTTCTCCGCCTCAGCCCGGCGCTCTGCTCCTCCATGGTTCTCATGTTCGCCCTCGACGAGCATCTGATCTTCGGAACCTGGGTCACGCCCCCCATCCGCACACTGGCAAACTCCACCCTGCCCGCCTGGTGGACCAGGGGCGGCCATCGCTGGCGCTGGGTCCTGATCATATTCTACCCCGCCAACTACATTCTGGGCATTCTCAACCTGCTCGTCCCTGCGGATCAACAACCTGTCTCGACAACGTGGTACCGATGGGGTCTGTTTTTCAGCATTGCACACATGTTCTTTGTTCCGATGGCTCTGCGCCGGATAGCAGCTATCGAGAACGGCGTTCCGAAGGGGAATGTTGTCAGTTCGATGGAGGCTTGGCTCAGGATGAATTGGGTTCGGGCGTTGATTACGGACTTGCCGGCTTGGCTGTGCTTTATCATCGCCGCGCTGGAGGCACTGTGATGGATGATTATGATAATCAGGAGGACGAGGAGGAGGGCGAGGAGGAGGTGATGGTGGTGGTGGAGGAGGAGGAGGAGGAGAAGGAGCGGTGCTGCGAATGGATTGGATGCCGAGTGTGAGCTCATAGATGACCGTAATCACGACGAAAGAGACGACAGAGTAGCTGATGTAGCGATGACAGGCTAGGAGACGTTGATTTATCACCAAGATGCCTGATGGGAATACCAAGGTAATTACATGAGCGTGGCTGTGATTTACCAGGCCCGCTCACCTAGGCCCGAGCATCACACAGCACATAATTATCCCAGTGCCCCGGTCATAGACCTCACCAAGGACATTGTCTATGCCAGATACAGCGCACTGCCGATCAACCCGAACAGAATGAGGTGGGGGATCGGGCTCTCCCCCAACTTTAAGTCCGAGTAAAACCCAATGCAGCACCCGCCAACAGCAATCTTCAGCCCGAGCGTCCGGTAGCTCGGTATCACGAGGAAGACGGCGAACAGTAGATTGAGGCTGATGAAGAAAGCCCTCAGCGTCGAGTCCGAGACGCCCGCCCACCGGAAGAGGACCCTGTTGTGCTGCGGCAGCTTCTCCGCGAGGTTTCTGGAGAAGCCCGGCGTGAACCTGTCGGTCATGTGGGCTTGGATGCAGAGGACGTTGAAGCCGAGCAGCACCATGCCCAAGACGTCACTCACGCGCGCCGACATGGTTTCGAGAGGGAAGTGCGAGACGCTCCTGGGAAGGACGGTTAGGACTCTGAACACACTGCCCCAGGGAAACTGGTGTCATTGCCCGATGGAACTTACCGTGGCTGAAGCAGGTAGGCAAGGTACTCTTGTCTCTATCTCTATGGGCCCGAAGAAATGTTGATTTTTGTCCGAGAGATGACCTCGCTGGGCCGACCAGTTGGTGGGCGATGATAGTTGAAAAGGGATGGCTGCGGGGACTATCTTCGATGCATATTTTCAGGGACTAGGTATTATAGAATTGAATGTGGGTCAGACGGATGGTTAGCCCACCGCTTCTAATATTTCTTGAGGCATGACTTCGGCTCTTTCCACCTCCTCCTGAAGCTGACGTGCTTTAGCGACTATTAATAAGTCCCGAGTTCGGGGGTTCGGCTGCCATAATGGATAGAAAAAGTCCCGATGTTACTTGATGAGGGCGTGATCTGGACTCAGCTTCTTCGCCCGACAATCTTCCGTTCCGAATACTCTCGTCTGCTCGTGCTCATGCTTCTGCTGGAAGCCGACATGGAAGACAGGGTATGGAAGTTTCGGTGAGGCGTTTGGGTGCTCGTTACTAGTTGGATGAGGATTTGTACGTTAATAGTTGAGTAGAAAGGAGACAATCGAGTAATTGCCCCGACGGTCGTGAAGTATGGAAATAGACATGTGTCTTAATTGTTGATATCATCATTGTCTTGTCCTTCTGTACGGTTGTACGGTCGCGTCTTCTCCACTGGGCTGTGAGCATCAAGTTTCAACACCAAGTTTCAGACTGATTATACCACCATCTCTCATCCACCATGACCGCCCATCACACCGCTCCGCCTGGCAAGGGAGAGCCCATCGCCGTCGTTGGCAGCGGCATGCGCTTCCCGGGCTCTTCGAGCAGCCCATCCAAGCTCTGGGGGTTTCTGCTCAAGCCGCGCGATGTGCTCAAGCGCATTCCGGAGACTCGCTTCAATGTCGACAATTACTACCATCCGGAGCCGACCCATCACGCAACCTCACATGTCAAGGAGTCGTATTTCCTCGACGAAGACCACCGCCACTTCGACGCGGGCTTCTTCAACATCAAACCCGTCGAGGTGGCCGCCATCGACCCCCAGCAGCGTCTGCTGATGGAGGTGGTGTACGAGTCGCTTGAGGCGGCGGGAATCCCGCTCGAATCTTTGGCAGGTTCTCGTACCGGAGTCTACGTCGGACTCATGTGTGCCGACTACCTCGACCATCTGAATAGCGACATCGATACTGTGCCAACCTATTCTCCGACGGGAACCGCCCGGAGCATCGTGTCGAATCGCATTTCCTACTTCTTTGACTGGCATGGACCCTGTATGACTATCGATACCGCTTGTTCTTCCAGCCTAGTCGCAGTCCACCAGGCAGTCCAGCTGCTGCGAAGCGGCGACTCAGATGTGGCTGTCGCGGCGGGAACCAACATGATCCTGGGCCCTGGGCAGTACATTGCCGAGAGCTCGCTGCACATGCTGTCGGCGGATAGCCGGTCTCGCATGTGGGATGCCGACGCGGCCGGGTACGCGCGCGGCGAGGGAGTCGCTGCGGTGATCTTGAAGCGTCTCAGCACTGCGCTCGCAGACGGAGACAAGGTCGAGTGCATCATTCGAGAGACTGGAGTCAACCAGGATGGTCGGACCAAGGGGATCACTATGCCGAGCGTCACCGCACAAGCCCAGCTCATCGAGGAGACGTACACAAAGGCCGGGCTGGATCTAAGGGACCCCAGTCAGCGCTGCCAGTACTTTGAAGCGCACGGAACTGGAACTCCGGCAGGTGATCCCAAGGAGGCTGAGGCTATCAGCAAAGCCTTCTTTCGGCCCGGCGACAGGGTGTCCCCCCACGGCGACCCGCTCTACGTCGGCTCCATCAAGACCGTCATCGGTCATACCGAGGGCACAGCGGGTCTTGCTGGCCTTCTCAAAGCCTCTCTCGCAGTTCAACACGGCGTCATCCCGCCCAACCTGCTCTTCAACAAGCTTCATCCCAACATCGCGCCATTCTACACCAATCTGGAGATCGCAACGAGCCCCAAGCCATGGCCGGCCCTTGCGGATGGCGTTCCACGCCGTGCGAGCATCAACAGTTTCGGTTTTGGAGGCACGAACTCGCATGTAATTGTCGAAAACTTTGTGCCCCCCACCTCCTCACGGGACCACAAGCTTGTTCCTGCTCCGCAGTTCGCGCCGTTCAACTTCTCAGCTGCTTCTGGAACTGCCCTGAGAGGGGTCCTGTCCAACTACTCGGGATACCTTGCATCTCACCCGGATCTCGATCTCGGTGATCTCGCCTACACATTGTATGCTCGGAGATCTTACCACGCCGTTCGGGCCAGCATCCCGGCGGGGTCGGCGGCCGACCTCCGGGCCAAGATTGACAACCTCCTGGCGGCACAGTCGGAGCAAAACAGTGGCTCCAGCCTCGGCACTCGCTCAAAAGAGCTCTCGCGCCCAATCCGCATCCTGGGCGTGTTCACCGGCCAGGGCGCACAGTGGCCCACCATGGGCAGAGCCTTGATGAAGAGCCCATATGTCAGAAAGATGGTCGAGGACCTCGATCGGGAGCTCCAGCGTCTGCCCAAGCCAGAGCGCCCCGACTGGACGCTTGTGGAACAGCTCACCTGCGATGCTTCCAAGTCTCGCGTCGCCGAAGCCGCGTACGCGCAGCCTCTCAGTACCACGATCCAGATCGTCCTGTGTGATCTCCTCCGCAGCGCAGGCGTCAGCTTCCAGGCGATTGTCGGCCACTCATCCGGGGAGCTTGCCGCAGCTTACGCCAAGGGCTACATCACCCGAGTAGAGGCGGTCAAGGTCGCCTACTACCGGGGCTACTATTCGACCCTCTGCACGTCCGACAAGCCTGGGGCCATGATGGCCGCCGGGGCATCTCCAGAGGACGCCAACGAGCTCTGCGACCTGCCCATGTTCAAGGGTCGTCTGTGTGTAGGCGCGTATAACTCGCCCACGGGCGTCACTCTTTCGGGTGACAGCGACGCCATCGAGCAGGCGAGGGAGATCCTCCAAGATGAGGGCAAGTTTGCAAGAGTCGTCAAGGTCGACAAGGCATATCACTCGCCGCACATGAAGCCAGTGGCAGGCGCGTTCCTCAACGCACTCAGGGGCTGCAAGATCCAGCCTCGACACGCGACGGGGGATGGAGACGCTGTGTGGCACTCCAGCACCTACGAGGACACGGAAATGCGCGGCAACATGGAGGGGGATGGCGATCTCTCCGGGCCGTACTGGGTGAACAACCTGCTCCGGCCCGTGCTCTTTTCTCAGGCCGTCCAGGCTGCCGCTGCTGCACACGGCCCATTCGACATGGCCATCGAGATCGGTCCCCATGCGGCACTCAAGGGGCCCGTCCTAGAGACGCTTCGGGGGAGCAGCGACGGGGAGGCGGTGCCCTATGTGGGCCTGTTGCACCGTGGAAAGGACGACGTCGATGCGTTCTGCAGTGCTCTTGGCGACCTCTGGTCCCGGTTTTCTCCCGCGACAGTCGACTTCCGCACGGTGGACTTGACGGCATCCGGCGCGCACAGCCGGGGCCTCCTCAAAGACCTCCCCACATACCACTGGGACCATGAGAGGCTCTACTGGCACGAGTCTCGCACGTCCAGAGCCAAGGCCATCGCCAACAACCCCCCGCATCCACTGCTCGGCACGAGGACGACAGATGTCACCGAGGACGAGATTCGCTGGAAGAACCTGCTCAAGCTGAGCGAGATGCCATGGGTCCGCGGCCACCAGCTTCAGGGACAGGTCGTCTATCCGGCAACAGCCTACATTGCCACCGCGGTAGAGGCCGCCAGGCGCCTGGTGCCCGACGACAAGAAGATCGCCGTGATCGAGATCCAGGACTTTAGCATCGGGAAACCGCTCGTCTTTGGAGACAACGATGCTGGCGTTGAGACTCTCTTTACGCTGCATGGCATAGCCAAGGAGGGCGACAGCAGCTATCTCGCCTCTTTCTCCTATCACGCATCCACCAAGGTCGAGGCGGAACGCCTGTCTACCCATGCGACCGGGAAACTCCGAGTCACGACGGGCGAAACGCATGCGCGATGGCTGCCATCCCGAAACGACGATCCTCCCAACCTCTCAGCCGTTCCAGAGGACCTGTTCTACTCCCTTCTGGAGCCCATTGGCTACGGTTATAGCGGACAATTCCGGACGCTCTCTTCGCTTCGGAGGAAGCTCGACTACTCGTCTTCGATGATCGCGGTGCCTCCACAGGATGACGAGCCGGTGCAGATGCTGCTCCACCCGGCCCTGCTGGACACGGCGCTACAGGGCATATTCTTGGCCTACTGCTTCCCGGGCGATGGCAGTCTCGAACAGCTGCACGTCCCCACCGGAATCAAGAGCTTCCGCGTCAACGTCGGGCTCTGCGAGCAGAATCTCCAGCCCGAGAGCAGCGTGACGTCCTGCGCGCACCTGACCGAGAACCCTCTGACCTCGAAGCAACTCCAGGGCGACGTCGACATCTACACCCATGACGGAGCCGGCCTGGTCCAGATGGAGGGCGTTCAGGTCGTCGTCTTTGCCGAGACCACGGCGGATGCGGACAGGAAGTTTTTCACCGAGCACAGGTGGGCGCTACTCAACCCGAACTGCGAGGTGGCCATGGGCGGCTACAGGGCCACCACCGATGACTACGAGTTTGCCGAGGCCATGGAGAGGATTGTCATCGATTACATGCGGCGCATCACCGCCCTCTTCCCGAAGAGCGTCCGAGAGACCATGAACCTCGAGTGGCACTTCAAGTGTCTCTTTGAATCCTACGAGGACGTCATTGCCACCACTGGGACGAGACAGCATTCCCAGAGGAAGTGGCTGTCTGATACCCCTGAGGACATCGCGGCCTTGAAAGCCAAGTAAGCCCCGTCCTTCCCTCGTCCCACGACGGACCTTCCCTTCCATTGCTTTCTCTCTCTCTCTCTCTCTCTCTCTCTCTCTCTCTCGCCTCTCCATTCTGCGTCACCAGGGATGCTGACTGTCACACAGATTCGCGGACAAGACAGAGCTCCAGCTCGCCCTCGCAGTGGGTGACAATATTCCGGCTGTCCTCAGGGGCGAGACGACGATTCTCGAGCACATGACCAAGGATGGTCTGCTGAATCGCTTCTACGAGGTCGGCCTGGGCTTGCGAGAGTTCAGCACCTTCCTCGCCCGGACCGTGAAGCAGCTCGTGCATCGGCACCCTCGCATGAAGATGCTCGAGATTGGCGCGGGCACCGGCGGGGCTACCAAGCTCATCATGAGCGAGATTGGCCGTTCGTTCGACTCGTATACCTTCACCGACATCTCGACGAGCTTCTTCGAGACCGCCCAGGAAGTCTTCCACGCCCTCGGCGACAAGATGATCTTCAAGCCGCTGGACTGTGAGAAGGACGTCCTGGCACAGGGATACGAAGAACACTCGTACGACCTGGTGGTCGCCTCGCTGGTCCTCCACGCGACTACCAATCTCCGCCGGACCCTGACCAATGCCCGCCGGCTCTTGAAGCCGGGGGGCTACCTGGTCATGCAGGAAGTCACCAACAACCACTTGACGCGAACCGGGTTTCTGATGTCTGCAACCCCGGGCTGGTGGCTCGGAAAGGATGACGGGAGGAAGCTGTCGCCGTGCGTGTCGGAGCTCGAGTGGCACAAGCTGCTCCTCGAGTGCGGCTTCTCGGGCGTCGACACGGCCACCCCCCAACTCGACCCCTTGCCCTTCACTCTGAGCATCATGGCCACGCAAGCCGTCGACGACCGCTTCATGTCGCTCCGCGAGCCACTCTCGGCGCCCGCCATCCAGGCAGTCGGCGAGGAATTGGACTTGGTGCTCATCGGCGGCCAGAAACTGGGAACGAGCCGGCTCATCAGCCAAATCGTTCGGCTGATCCGGCCGTTCGGAGTGAAGTATAGCGTCTTCACGACGCTCGGAGACATGGTTGCTGCCAAGACGTCGCCTAGCAGCGCGATCCTATGCCTGACGGAGCTGGACGAGCCCATCTTCCGTGACCTCTCGGAACAGACGCTCAAGGGGATGCAGCGGCTGTTCGAGACGCACGGAACCCTCCTCTGGATCACGCAGGGGTGCAGGCTCGAGGAGCCGTACATGAACATGTCGGTCGGCCTCATCCGGACGGTACTGCTGGAGAACCCCGACCTGGTCGCCCAAGTCCTCGACCTGGACAGCGGCACCAAGCCCGATGCGCGACAGCTTCTGGAATCGCTCCTCCGCCTGCGCTACGGCGCCATGTGGGAGAAGGACGGCAGCATCGACAAGATATTGTGGACACAGGAGCAGGAGCTCGCCATCGAGAACGGGGAGCTCATGGTTTCTCGCGTCTATCACGACAGTGCCTCCAACGACCGGTACAACGCGTCCAGGCGAACAATATACGAGACCATAGACCCGCAGACTACCCCGCTCAACCTCTCGCTCGGTTCTTCCAAGCCGGCTCTCGTTCATAATGCCTCACTTCGAGCCAGAATGTCCAGCTCGCAAGCTGCGGCCGAAGATGATTTGGACGTTGTGATCAAGGTCAGCCACTCGCTCTTGACGCCCGTGCTCGCAACGCCTCTCCAGCCGCCGTCCTACCTAGTCCTGGGTACCAGCGTGGCAACGACAAAGTCCGTGGTAGCCATTGCGTCTAACAACGGCTCGTACGCATTGGTCGATCCGGAGAACGTGGTCGAGGTCCAAGTGCCTGCGGGCAGCGAGTCCAGATTCCTAGCCCAGCTGGATAATCTGCTGCGTGTCGACAACATGCTGTCCGTCTGCCCGAGGGACTCGACGGTGCTCTTCCACGAGCCCTCCCGCGAAATGGCATCCAGCATTGTCGAGGCTGCGTCCCTCCTGGACGTGACCGTCTTCTTCAGCACCTCGTCTGCACCAGCCACGGACGGCCCGTGGATCGCAATGAGCCCCTACGCTCATAAGAGAGAGATCCGGCATTTGCTGCCCCCCGGCGTCACTGTGTTTATCAATGCCTCCGAGGATGCCCACAACAGGCGGCTGGGAGCAATGATAGCCTCCTCCCTGCCCGACTCGTGCCTTCGGACGACACCCGCGGGGATACAGGAGCTACAGCACGCTCGAAATCTCATCGTCGCCACGCCGCCGCCAAGCACGAGGCTCAACAGCGCGGTGCAGTGGGCATTGAAAAACACGGCCCTTTCCGGGGACTCGGGTTCCCTGCCGTCCATCAAGTTGGACAAGCTGGTCGGTGGATCCGAAGTCGACGCGGTAGTCGCACCGGCCATCTTGGACTGGAGCAGCAGCGGCTCTCCGGCAACAGTTCCCGTACAGGTTTCCACCGTCGACGGCCTCGTCGGCTTCCAGAGCGACAAGACATACGTCATGTTTGGGCTGACGAGCGACTTGGCGCAGTCCACCTGCATCTGGATGGCGTCTCACGGAGCGCGATACATTGTGCTCACAAGCCGCAACCCAAAGGTGGATGCCAAGTGGTTGGACCTCATGACAGAGGCTGGGGTGAGGGTGGAAGTCTTTGCAAAGTGAGTTTTTTCCCGGACCAAAGAAAAAAAAATAAGAGCATATTATATCTACAGTAAACTGACACGGTGTGAATGAAAAAGCGATATCACCGACAAGGGAGCTCTTTGTTCACTCGTGGACCACATACGCCAGACCTTCCCGCCCATTGCGGGCGTCGCCCACGGCGCCATGGTTCTCGACGACGTCGCGTTTGCCGAGATGCCGCTCGACAAGATGACCAAGGTCTTGGGGCCCAAAGTCGACGGAGCCATCTACCTAGACGAGATCTTCCGTGCAGACGCGCTGGATTTCTTTGTCTTTTTCTCCTCGGCCGTGACCATCGCCGGAAACCGTGGACAGGCCGCCTACAGCGCCGCCAACTCGTTCATGACGGCGCTGGCCAACAAGCGGCGCAGCCAAGGACTGGCCGCGTCGGTTCTCCACATCGGCGCCGTCATGGGCGTGGGATACATCAACCGCGGAAAGTTCATAGGAGCCGTACACGAGGCCTCCCGCAAGGTCGGGTTCCTGCTACTCTCCGAGAGAGAGTTTCACCTCTGCTTTGGCGAGGCCGTCCTGGCGTCCCACCCGCTGTCTGGGCGGAATCCCGAGATCATGACGGCATTGAGGACGTCGGGGATGGACGAGATCACGATCCGCTGGCCCAAGTTCCCCCGCTTCTCACACTGCCTGCAGGGCGATTACGGAGGCGGCGACAAGAAGGCGACCAAGAGAGCGGCTGAAGTGTCTCTCAAAAACCGACTGGCCGAGGCCGCCACGGAGGACGAGGCTCACGATATTGTGCAAGGTGAGAGAGCGTATCTGCCCTGGCGGGCACTCTAGAACATAACTGACCTTGTATAGACGCCCTTATCCGTAAGCTCCGTGTCATGCTTCAGATTCCAGCCGACATGGAGGCGTCCCAGGTCCTGGCATCGAGAATCGACGATCTCGGTGTCGACTCCTTGGTCGCTGTGGAGATCCGCTCCTGGTTCCTCAAGGAGCTCGAGACCGAAATCCCCGTGTTCAAGATCTTGTCTGGCGGCCTGGTCGGAGAGCTGCTCGAGCACGCCGTGACGAACATGCCTTCTCGCCAGATGCCCGGTCCAAACGGCCCCTCGGCGCCGAGTCCCGAAGCAGCGAAGTCCGATCCGACTCCGCAGGTGATCCCGGATACTGCTCCTTCGTCGGAAACCCCACCACAGACCAGCGAGAACTCGTCCCGCCCAAGTGACTCGGGCGACGAGCAGGACAAGCGGGAGGTCTCGTCTGCCACCTCTGCCTCCGTGGCAGACTCCAAAGATGTCTCCACACCGTCCTTCGACAAGGTTCTGCCGATATCCCCTGGCCAATCCCGGTTCTGGTTCCAGAAGCACCTGATGGACGACCAGACCATGGCAAACAGTACCATATGTCTCATGATCAACGGCACTGTCAGGCTCGGCAGTCTCGAGAGCGCAGTCCAGAAGGTGGCGGCGCGCCATGAATCTTTCCGGACCTCGTTCTTCGTGGACGAGAACCAGAGGGCCGTGCAGGCCATCTCGGAAACGTCGCATCTGCGCCTAGAGACGGCGCCCCTCGCCGACGAATCACGCGTGGCACACGAATTCGAAAGCCTCAAGAACCACGTCTACGGCATCGAAGACGGCGAATGCATGCGCATCATCCTCCTCGTCCTGTCGCCGACCAAGAGCTATCTCCTTGTCGGGGCCCATCACATCATCATGGACGGCATCAGCTTGGAGGTCCTCCTGGACGACCTGCAGAAAGCCTACAACGGTCAAGACCTTGTCACCAAACCGGCATACCAGTACTCGGCCTACTCCGAGAAGCTGCGCGAAGACTTGGCATCGGGCGCCATGCAGGGGGAGATTGAGTACTGGAAGACGGAATTCGCGGAGCCGCCTTCGCCACTCCCTCTGCTCCCATTCTCGGCGGCGACGAAGCGCACCCCTCTCGCGGCGTACGCGCACAACTCGGTGAGCCGTGCCATCGGCTCCCAGCTCGCGAGGCAGATCCAGGACGCGTGTGGCAACCAGAAGGCCAACGTGTTTCACTTCCACCTGGGCGTGCTGCAAGTACTCCTGTTCAAGATCTTCGGCGACAGCGACGTCTGCATCGGCATGGCCGACGCCAACCGCTGGGACGACCGAGTCGCCGGGAGCATCGGCATGTATTTGAACCTGCTGCCGCTCAGGTTCCGTCTGGACAGCCAGCAGTCGTTCGAGGAGGTGCTCAAGGACACGCGCAAGAAAGCCTATCTTGCAATGTCCAACTCGAGACTGCCATTCGATATGCTGCTCGACCACGTGAGCTGCGAGAGGTCGACGGCCATCAGTCCCCTTTTCCAGGCATTCATCAACTACCGCCAGGGCGTCAGCGAGAAGCGACGGTTCGACAATGCCGACTTGGAAGTCAAGGAGATGGAGCTTCCGAAATCCGGCTATGACATATCCCTGGACATCATCGAGAACCCGGGAGGCGAAACTCGCGTCACTTTCATGGTTCAGCGGAGCCTGTACTCTGACAGCGATGCATCTCGGTTGCTGGACATGTACTTCGCCCTACTGGTCGACTTGTCTCGGTCTTGCAAGCAGCAGCTCCAGCAGGTGTCGTTGTTCTCAAGCCAGGATGTCAGCAATGCAATCCAGCTTGGGAAGGGTAAGGTCCCCCAAATCTTCCAAGACACCTATCTACGTCTATGACCTCAGCCCAGATCCTGATGAAGTAACTCACCTTACTCACACAATGTTGCAGGCCCCAGCATGCTTTCCTCGTGGCCCGAGACTCTGGTGCACCGCGTCGACGAGATGATTGCCAAGCACCCGAACGAGGCCTCGCTCAGGGACTGCAACGGCAAATCGTGGACATACCAACAGCTCGATAAACAGGTCGAAATGATCTCGTCCGCGCTTCTCAGGGCAAACACGAAGCCAGGATCGGTCGTGGCGGTCTTCCAGGAGCCGTCTCCCCACTTTGCGTTTTCCCTGCTTGCCATCCTGCGGGTCGGCGCCGTCGTCGCGCCCCTGGACTGCAACATCCCACCAGCGAGGCTCCGCGTCATGATTCAAGAGTCCAATTGCTCTGCGCTGCTCGCCAACACCACGACGGCTGCCAAGACCGGAGATCTAGGGCTCTCACCATCATATGTCACCATTTTGGATGTTCTCCGTCTCCAGGACGACGGAACACCAGTCCGCCGTCCAGTTCCCGCCCGAGCAAGCGACCCTGCGGCGGTCCTCTTCACCAGTGGCACCTCGGGAATCCCGAAGGGCGTGGTCTTATCCCACGGTAGCTTGCGCAACCACGTAGAGGCGCTGGTGCATACGCATGGATTCGGACGCGAGACGGTCTTGCAGCAGAGCTCCGTGGGCTTTGACATGTCTCTGAACCAGACTTTCATGGCCCTGGCTAACGGGGGAACGCTCGTCATTGTTCCCGAGGCCTTCCGCAAAGACCCCATTGCGGTGGCCAAGATGGTGCTGGAAGAAAACATCACCTACACCAGCGCAACCCCGTCCGAATATCTGGCCTGGCTCCGGCATGGCGCCACCAGCCTCTCCAAGAGCACGCACTGGACATTTGCCACGGCCGGTGGTGAGAAGTTCCCACCAGAGCTGCTGCAGGGCTTCCGCCAGCTCGGCGGCGGCTTCGGACGCGAGTTCCGCTTCTTCAACGCCTACGGCCCGACTGAGTGCTCCATGTCTTCGAGCGAGCTGGACCTCAGCCGAGGAGACCACCATGGCCCACATATTCCAGCCGGCAGGACCCTGCCAAACTACGGTGTCTACATCATGGACCAGAACCTCAGCATCCTACCCGTCGGGTGGTCCGGGGAAGTCTGCATTGCCGGCGCAGGTGTGGCTATGGACTATATCAACAATGCCGAGGAGTCACGAAAGAAGTTCCTGACGGACCCTCTGCCATCGTCAGTGGCTATTCAACACGGGTGGACCAGGATGTACCGAACTGGTGATAAGGGCGTCCTCCGGCCGGATGGGACCTTGGAGATCATCGGTCGCATGGAGGGGGACACGCAGATCAAGCTCAGAGGTCTGCGCATCGAACTGCAGGATATCGAGCAGTCCATCCTGGATGCAGCCAAGGGACGGGTCAAGATGGTGGTGGTCACGCCTCGTGGAGAACCAGCCCTCCTCATTGCGCATGCGGCCATGTCGCTCCTAGACGACGCCTCGGCGGAGAACGAGGTAGATTTCCTCCGCAAGCTCGCCGCCTCGCTGCCCCTGCCGCAGTACATGCGCCCCGCGGCCATCATTCCCGTCCGCTCGATGCCGCTAACTGCATCAGGCAAAATCGACAGGAGGGCCCTCCAGAGACTTGCCGTTCCCAGCATATCGCGGGAACCCGAATCGACAGGAGAGCTGACAGAGACGGAGTCAAAACTGGCTCAGGTCTGGCGAAACACGCTGCCACGACAGGTGCAGGAGGTGCACCGCATCGACGCCGCTTCCGACTTTTTCCATGTCGGGGGCAACTCGTTGCTGCTTATCGAGCTGCGACAGCTCATCAACCAGAGATTCCAAGCCAGCCTCCCCCTGATAAAGCTGTTTGAGAACAGCACACTGGGCACCATGGCAGCGATGATCCAGGATCTCTCGTCAGGTGCTGCCGACACCGCGATCGACTGGGAGGCCGAAACGGCGATCCCCAACGACCTTCTCGAAACCCGCACACAACAAATGCCAGCAGTAGAAGTGCAAAACCACACGTCTCCCAAAACCGTGGTGATCAGCGGCGCGACAGGCCTCCTGGGCAGCTCCCTGCTCCGACTCCTAGTCCAATCCCCCGACGTCAGCAAGATACACTGCATCGCCATCCGCGACACCAGCAAGCTGGCCGAGTTTGCGACCTCTTCCCCCAAGGTCGTGCTGCACAAGGGCGATCTCTCCCTCCCGCGCTGCGGGCTATCGGAAGACGAGACGGAGTCCATCTCGGGCTCGGCAGACGCCATCATCCACAACGGCGCCGACGTCTCCTTCCTCAAGACGTACCGCTCCCTCAAGACCGCCAACCTCTCCTCCACCAAGGAGCTCGTGCGGCTCGCGGCCGCCCGCCGCATCCCGTTCCACTTCGTGTCGACCGCCACGGCGGGCAAGTTCAACAAGTCCGAGACCCTGGCCCCGGGGTCGCTCATGCCCTTCCCGCCGCCCGTCCAGACCGGCGGCGGCGGCGGGCTCGCCGACGGCTACGCGGCGTCCAAGTGGGCCAGCGAGGTGTTCCTGGAGAAGGCGAGCCGGCAGCTCGGCCTGCGCGTCTTCATCCACCGGCCGTCGGCCATCATGGGCGCCGAGGCGGGCGACGACGTCCTGTCCAGCGTCCTCGAGTACGGGTCCCTCATCGGGGCGCTCCCGGACTCGAGCCGCTGGACCGGCTACGTGGATCTCGTGTCTCTCGAGAACGCCGCCGCCGGCATCGGCCGCTCAGTCCTGCAGGTGCCGGGAGTCGCCGACGCCCGCGTCGAGTACCTGCACCATGCCGGCGACCAGGTCATCCCGGTGAAGAGTATCCGGGACCTGCTGCACCGCGAGGGCGGGGGTGCTGACCTGGAGTCGCTGCCCATGGGCGAGTGGGTGGACGGCGCTGTGCGGAGTGGCATGAATCCGCTGGTAGGCGAGTTTCTGCGCAACGCGGACGAGAGTGGTGGCCTGCTGATCGGACAGAAGCTGTTGTTGCGCAAGGAGGACTAGGTAGGTACCGAGGTACCTAGAGGGAGGCATCGGTTTGGAGTGCTTCACTTGTTGTATGTTCGATGGCGCAGGGTTGGTAGATAGATAGACCTAGTTTTGTTAACTTGGGCGTTTTGGTACCTGCGAGGATCTTTTGTCACTTATTTTCACGCGCATGCGAAAGTAGCTACCTATGATGTGACTCATGTCCCGTCTACGGTCCCGTGCGGAAATACATGCAAGGCCTGACGCTCCAGAGAGGGTTAAGTAAGGGGACTGGGCATAGGTCTCAGTTGACAGAAACGGTATTTTCCCAATAATCGAGGCATTATCTCCCGACATCAGTAGGTAATGAGAAACCTGCTTCATGCCATGGTTTATTATCAATACTGTTGGGAAACCCTATTTGCTTCCCGGCGCACTCTTCCGATCAATGCCAAAATGCTTGTCTAGAAATTGGAAGCTCTTCTGCGCCAACAGGGGCCAGGCTCCAACCTTGGCTGTCAACCCGCCGTCTGCTTCCTCCGTCGGGACCCAGAGTTCCTTGTTGCTCTCCGGCACCATGGTGAGCAACTTGTGGATCTTGAGCGCCCCAGCCTCTGCCGAAGAGTACATCTCGCGACCGGCACCGGGACCCGTGAGAAACACGGGGCAGGTGATCCTGTCCAAGACCTTCCCGTCCTTCTTGGTATCCAGGGAGAAGTCCTTGAAGCGTCGCAGCATGGCAGAAAACGTCTCGACGCCCGTGCTGCTGGTGCCCAGGGCCAATTCCCATCGAGTCAGGAAGTCTATCCTGCCCGCCAGACCCGAGGACCAGTTGAAGAAGCCGTCGGTGATCCAGCCCCTCTCCCACAGGCTGACGTAGAACTGGGGAAGGCGGGTCATGGCCAGCTCATACATGCTGAAGAACGGGTCGATGGACACGCATGCCTTGACGCGGGCGTCGGTGGCGGCGCGGAGGGCAAAGTATCCCCCGGTGGCTGCGCCCGCCACGGCGATCCTGTCCAGATCCAGCTGCAGCTCTGACGACCGAGACAAATTCTCGACAAAGGCCAGCACCTTGTCCGCAACAACCTCGAATTCAGGCCGCAGAGGGACTCCCGACTTCTTCAGCAGCAGGCCCTGGCCGGGGCCCTCCAGGCAGAGGATGGCGTAGCCCACCTGCGGCCCCGAGTGGCCGAACAGGAAGTGCAGCTCCTCCTTTGTCGAATCGGCGCCGCCAAAGTATAAGAGGAGCGGTATCTTGCCGGGCAGTCGTGCATGCTGGGGAGGGAGATACAAGTAGCCGGGCATGCTAAAGCCGTTTTCGTAAGGGATTTCCACCAACACGACCGCGCCGTCCATGAAAGACGTTGCGCGCACGAAGGCCGCGACCGACCTCTCGGACAAGGGCACGACCCTCGGATCGTCGTTGAAGAACAGGTATGACGCGGCCCGGAAATAGTTGGCCGCGCGAAGGTATGCGTTCTTTGCCAGCGGCTTCAGGCCAGCCCTCGCGGCCTCCTCGGCGATCGCCTCGGCCCGCTCTCCCTGTTCCTTCCAGGCGTCGTGCCACGACTCGGGATCGCTCTTCTTGATCTTGCCCACGGCGGTCAGGAATTCGCAGGCATCGCAGCCGCCGGCCGGCGTGCTGCCGAGGAGCCGGGTCAGCTCGAAATTGAACATGAACGAGTCGAAGAATTTGAACATGGTGGAACAAGATGCGCCGAAGCGATGCTCACGATGTCGAGGCTCGCCAGTTGGCGCTTCAAGCTCTCGTGGGAGAAATAAGTTAGATACCGATGCAGGTGACTGTCAGCCTGATCAAAGCATCGATTGGTACAGTCCCCAAGCGGACAAACTGGTGCATGTCGCGTAATCGACACGTCCGAATCCTGCCTTTTTTCAAATGTCCCGATTGGGAGCCGAGTCCGCGGTGCGTCGGCCGCCACAGCGTCAGACGGGAGTCGGGACTTTTCGACCGGCACTTAACATCTCGGCTCAACTTTCTTCAATTTGTTTCCACATTTTGTGCGGGTTGACGGTGTTTCGAGTCTAGCTCCTACCCTCTCTTTGGCTCTTATTATGTTTCTTGTCGTATCGGCATCGCGGCTCCATTCTGCCTATCCCGCCGAGCCGGTCTGAGCACAACAGGCCACCTAGATATCCTTTACATTGTCCACACTGCGATCGATTTGCGCCTGATTCAAGATGGCTACCCCGTTAGATGTCTCAATGCAGGATCTTACGGGCTCTTGGACACTGGTAAACGACCCCACACGGGCAATACAAAGTTTCTCCCAAACCGTTTGACAGACAGTAACCATTTCCAGAGTAAAACTCTTTCCGACCCGTTTGACCGAGTCTTCGCCATCCAGGGCATTCCATGGATACTTCGAAAGGTTGTCAGCATCGCCACGTTGTCATTGAAGGCGACCCAGCAGGTTGACGAATCCGGAACAAAGACACTGGTCTTCACCCAGGCCGCGTCCATCGCCATCGCTGGGCTCAGCGAGGAGAATGAAGTGCGCGTGCTGGATTGGCGAGAGGAATTCCATTCGTCGGCTCTGTTCGGCACCAGCTCTCACCGGTCCCGCCTGGTAAATCTATCGGCTGCTACCGGCCACGACGGGAAGCCCTTGCACTCGTTCCTGAGCCAAGGCTTTCTAGACGAAGGGGAACCCGGAGGTGACAACAACTTGTATGATCTTGTCGTCCATCAGACCAACGGCTGGGTCATGGAACAGATATGGGGATTTGGTATGTTGAACGATGAGAGATGGCTTATGAGAACCATGGTCGTCAGGAAAGGCAACGAGGTGGCCACTGCCAGAGCCATTTATGACTGGAAGGGAAAAGAGGATGGCCAATAACGAGGGGTTACTCTGTGTACCTACCTAGTTTAAAAACAGATACTCTTGGTAGTTATCAGCAAACATCAACCTTCCTTTTCCACGAGCGTACCATGATGCCCAAGAGTCATAAGAGATGGGTTACCTTGGTTACCTCCATCCACGGATGTTCATCATTTGCGCAGTTTCTTTGCATGTAATATATGACGCAGGAAATCAAGGAGGTGTCGGGTGGGACAAGATACCAAGGTACTGCCCGAGATCATCTATCCTCAGCGACCAGAGCAGACCTGACACCTTGGCAAGAACAATACTATGTATGTATGACATCTGGAGACGGCAAAGCCTTACAGAAATACTATGATCTATCACCTCGCCCGAAAATAGAGTAATGCCACTTGTACCCAGCGATGACTCGTCCGTCCTCCTTCGATGGTGGTGCTTCCTGCGCTTACCGCCGAGCACTTACTTTCCTCCATCACTTTAAGGCGCCATCCCAGCTATTTAGAAGAACCAGCTGACAAACTCGAGAGCGTAGTCTTTCCCAGGGCCCAAGAACCCGACGCCAAATATCAGCCAGGTGACCCACTGCGAGACGTATTCGGGGAAGAGGGTCTGCTCTGTCTGGCCCCGCCCTTCGTACTGAAGGCCGCCAACCTCGCCGCCAACAACGCGGTCTGCGAACCCGCTCAGGCCGTCCCCGTTGCCGACACCCATCTCGTATTGTACCAGGATGTGCTCCAGCTCGAACCGCCACTTCTTGTCCCGGGACGGCGAGACAAACTCCAAGGTGTTGCCCGTGTTCTTGTCGGCAAACCTCCCCGAGATGCCGGCGTCAAAGTTGGCGGTGATGCGGGCGTAGTCGTCCGTGTCGGATACGTTTCCGACGCGCGTGCCGACCAGGAGCTGGCCGTGGTAGAATAGGTGACCCGAGTAGAACACGGTGCCCCAGTTCTTCCTGGAAGTCAGTTGCCAGTAGGTAAAGGTGTAGGGCCCCGCCCAGGCCCGGATGGCTTTCCAGCCCTCGGTGATGCCGAGCCAACCGTCACTGGCCCAGAGGCGGGTAGAGCCACCCCTGCCGCGGAAGCCCAGCCTCCTGCCCCCCGACACGACGGCGTCCACCTCTATCTCGCCGCTGACCACGGGGACGCTGTAATAGAGCCCGGGCGAGAGTTCGGTCACGCCGGGCTTGTCCCCGCCCTCGGGGTCCCAGAGCGAGCCGTCGGCGTGGACGGGGGGCGTGGTGGCCGACAGCTTGTAGGTGCCGTTGACCCTCCACGAGTCGAACTCGAGCTTGATGTGCTTCAGGTCCTTGGTGGCGTGGAACGAGTACGACTTGTCGGAGCTGTTCCAGATGCCGGCCGTGTAGGTGGGGCAGTCGATGACGATGGACTCATCGACGTAGTCGAGCTCCCGGACCGACGTGCCGTCGGCGAGATTCATGTAGACTTCCATGCGCAGATTTCCCTTGCCGAAGAAGTGGTACGAATAGTCCCGGGAGAATGACGTTAGAAACAAGGACAGGCCGTTGTGAGAGAGGCCGTCGAATTCCCACTGCTCCCAGTTGGTCCTGTTGATCAAGGGCGTGATCTTGGGCGAGTTGATGTGAGCGTCTGCCGCCGTGGAAAACGTGCTGGGGCCTTCGAGGATATCGAAGGCCTTGCTCCTGCTGATTGTACACGAATCGTCATCCCAGTTCGTCGTAAAATCGTAATCGGTAGGAAATGGTTGGGAACCAATGGGAACCTGATACAGGTTTGCGGCGCCAAGGGAGGAGAAGAGCGCCGCCACAAGGGCAAACGTCTTGGACATGGTTCCGCCAAACACTTTGGACATGGTTCCAGACGGATGGGGCAAACGTCGAGCTACTTACTAGCCACTGTCCAGAGAAATGAACGGGGCAGAGAAACGTCCGCTCCTGCTCCCTTTCCCTCTCCCCTAGACCTGACTGACCCTTATACAGCGCGGACCTGGACATGCAAGGTGGACATGCAAGGTAGTTCGCCTCCCTGCTTGGCACCAAATACAGAAAGTCCCGAGCTCCGGGAAAAGTCCCGACTGCCCGACTTCAAGCTCCTGATTCCCCAAGCACAACCAGCAATTGCCGCTCTGGGGGCCATTTCTGCCCGAGGCGAAAGAGACGTGTGAAAAGCAGAGAGTTGCAGCTGGGCCGCGATACCAACCTGGCAGGGTCGTCATGAAAAGTTTGTGCCCTCCCTCCGAGCACCACAACATGGCGACAGCGACTCTCCCAGCGCTTCCATCATCGCGGCAGGCCATCGTGCAGTCGGCCAACCCCGGGTCCTTTGAGCTGTGCACCACTCTACCCATGCCGGACGTCTCGCCCGACCATGTCCTCATCAAGGTGACCGCAGTGGCGGTGAACCACTGCGACTACAAAATGCCGGCGCGCGTCCCCTGTCCTGGCACGGCCAACGGCTGCGACTTTGCCGGCACCGTCGTGCGCCTCGGCGAGTCCGTAGCTCGCACGCCGGGGGGGCTGCGGATTGGCGACCGCGTTGCCGGGGCCCAGATGGGGAACCAGCGACGCCAGCCCTGGTCGGGTGCCTTCACCGATTACATTGCTGAGAAGCCCGAGAACATGTGGCGCGTGCCCGAGCACCTCTCCTTGGAAGAAGCGGCTTCGATAGGCTGTGCCGTGACTAGCAGCGTGGGGATGGCGCTCTGGTGGGTGATGAAGCTGCCCGGGACGCCCGAGAAGCCCACCGCGGACCCCAAGTTCTTTCTTGTCTATGGGGGCTCCACTGCCAGCGGTACCCTTGCCATCCAATTACTGAAGCTGTGAGTGGCGTGTGACTCTCCCTTTTCCCTCTCGCTCGTGAGTGCATGATGATTGATCTGGTGTGCGTTCCTCAGGTCGGGCTACCGAGTCGTCACGACCTGCTCCCCAAAGAACTTCAAGCTTGTCGAAGAGTACGGTGCCGAGAAGGCGTTTGATTATCGCTCGCCGACGTGTGGCGAGGACATACGGGCATACACCAAGAACACGCTGGAAAACGCGCTGGACATCATCACGGAAGCGCGAACCATCCGCCACTGCTACGCGGCCATCGGGCGTGGTGGCGGCAGATACGTTGGCTTCGAGCTCCTGCCCGAGGACCTGATGGCCACGATGCGGAAGGCCGTCAAGGCTGAGTGGGTCATGGGGCTCGAGGTGACCGGGGTGGAATTGGAACTACCGGGAGGGTATTATCGCAAGGAAAACCCCGAGCTGCACGCCTGGCTTCATGGGTGGATCAGACGCTTCTCCGCCTTGTACGAGACGGGAAGATTAAAACCACATCCCATACAGGTGAATCAGGGCGGACTGGCAAAGGTGATTGATGGCATCGGCGCTTTGTCGCGCAAGGAGGTCTCGGCCCAGAAGCTGGTGTATCCCCTGTCCGACTAGGTAGGTCATCTCTAATCGAGTTTGGGGCAAGTTCAAACACCAGCGATGGTCAAGTCAAGGTGCGCTGAGGAAGGCAACCTGAAGCCAAAACCAGTGAGAGATAGATAGCATCATACCTAGCAACAACACCCAGCTGTTGAGTTCCCAGTGCTTGCATCGGGAAATCAAGGTAGTAGGTACCTATCGGTAGGTAAGATGGAGAGCGGCTCGGTAATTTTGCTGATTGGCTGTGGCGACAAACCCTCCGCGGGGGTTTTCTTTTTCTGGCATGCGGGGCGCGGCAACTTTGAACCCCAACCCACCTGGCTCTAGTCCGATCCTCGCGGCGAGTCCCACCTCGAGCCATCACGAATGGATACCAACATGTTCAAGCCGGCAGTCAGGCGTTCTGCCTGCGACCAGTGCAGAGCGAGGCGAGTGCAGTGCCTTCGCGCCCAAAACAGCACGGCGCCGTGCGCCCGCTGCTCCCACATCGGTGCTCGATGCGTGATAAGCGCCCCCGGCCATCCCGGACGACCGCGCAAGCCGCGTCTCGTCGACGGCAGCACCCCGCCGCCTAGAGGCCCCGCGCCGAGCCCCGCTGACGTCTCCTCGCCCGGGCGGTATCGCACGTCGTCGTCGACATTGCGAGACGCGAACTATATCGAGGTCCATGCCCCTGCCACTGCCATGGCGGGGGAGCCCGCGTCGGCCGGCGCGCCTGCAAGATCGTGCAGGACGACAGACAGACACACGTCGTGGGACCGGCTGGATGGCATCGCAGAGTCGGACCTCGCGGCTTCCAAGTCCACCGTGCATCCGCCAAGGGACCCGTTGGCTCACGGGCCACAGGCAGCAGACTTCTGGGCAACGCCGGGCGACAGCTCCGCTTACTCTTACTCCCCATCGACCGAGCAAAGCCCTGCGCCGGGCGAAGACATCCTCGCACTGGTGGATCAGCTGAGCAATCCATCACAACTTCAGGGGCTACTGAGTGCGGATGATGAGCTCAGCGCGATGCTCCACATGGACCGGGACTACTCTAGCACTGCGCTCGACATGGATGTTGATCCGCTCCTCCTTGATCCGTGGAAGGGCGGCGTGCTCCCCCCGACTCCCCTACCACAATTCCCAAGCCCGGCAAGCTCGCTGATGCGGTTCCGAGAGGAAATGGACCAGCGAATTACGACCATGGACGCATACTACTCGGACCCCCTCGAAGTTGTGCAGGGCTGCAAAGAGGAGGGCGCGGGCCGGGAGCCCGAGAATCCGGCTGCGGTCCTCCTTACGTGCAGCAAAGAGTTCATCGACATCATCCAGAGCTTGACGCCGGCTGTTCGGACGCACAAGCAGAGCGAGGATGCGCTTAGCACGGAGATGGTGCTCCTGGCTTTGTCGAGCTACCTATCCTTGATGAGGCTCTTCGACGCCATGTTCCACACCATCCACAAATTCATCTCCCAGATGCCGCCGGACTCGTTCAAGTCCGTCAAGGTCAAGTCGGTGCTCCGCATCGGCGGCATCTCTTCGCTCCAGGATATGCCGCTCAAGACATACGCCACGGGCATCCTCGATGCCATCCAGGGCCAGGTGCGGACTCTGGAGCGCTGCATGGGGATTCCGACCGAATACTGTCTCTCGGGCGAGGCGGCTGCTGCCTCACCCGCGGCGGCCGCCCCGGGGATATTGTCCCGTGCGGATCGAGCATTGTTGTTTTCGGCTGTTTTGGCACAGGAGGATGTCAAGTCACGACAGGGAAGCAAGTCGTACGTAGAGTCGATACGAGCCAGCATCCAGGAGTCGATGAGATTTCTCGATGACTAGGTAGAATTATTAAGATGTCTATCACAAACCATACCATGGCGATGTGCCCAGAAGCAAGAGAGAAGAACCCTTTCTATTAAAATACACTCGCCAATCGCCAGTTCCCGCCGCCCCTCTACTGTATGTTACCCTTCTCGACTGTGGAAAAGCCCGTGTCTTGAGCGATATCACGACGCGGCCGCTGGGACCTCCTTCTCTGTTGTGCTCCTAGCCTCCTCCTCCTCGGCAGGCATGTCCTCCTTCTCCACCATGCCAAATTCGGTGTTGTTTTCCTTCCTGAGCGGTATCTCCTTCATCAAGGCAGCAGCGATGAGGCCCAGCGCGCCGAAGCCAATGGCAACCTGCCAGGACCGCTGGAGTGCGCCGGTTTGCACGGCGACCACCTCGGCGCGCGTCTGTGCCGAGAGCGAGTCGAGAAAGTGGGGTTCGGCGGACGCGTACGCCCCGCCGGCTACGAAGTCGGCGGCCACTGTTGCGTTGCTGCTGATAGCGCCCGCGGCGGCCAGCTGCGCGGCCCGGTTGGTGTAGACGGCGCCGCCGACGGCGACGCCCCACATGACGCCGAAGGTGCGGAAAAACGCCCACACGCTTGTCGCCACCGCCGTGTCCTTGTCCGTCAGCGGGGCCAGCAACGCCGGGAGCATGGCCGCCATGCCGAAGCCCGCGCCGAAGGACTCGACCACCTGGAAGCCCACCCAGACGCCCGTGTTCGAGTTCTCGTCTAGCATCGAGAAGAGGCCAAAGCCGACGGTGATCAAGGCGAAGGTGACCATGAGGATGGGCTTGTAGCGGCCGAACTTGGTAAGCAGCACGCCGCCCATCCCGGCGGCCGGGAGGAGTGCGAGGATCGTGGGAAGCAACATGATGCCGGAGCGGTAGGCGCTCTCGCCGAGAACGCCCTGGAAGTAGACCGGGAGAAAGTATGTGGCCCACAGGGTAACGATGCCGTGGAGAAAGGTGAGGATGAAGACGATCAGGGTGACGGAATGCTGAAAGAGGTAGGTGGGTACCATGGGATTTGGCACGAGGCGGGGATTGCCTTCAATCCAGACGAAGGTTCCCAGCGCGGCGAGACCGACGATAAGCGGAACGAGGACCTGGTAGGAAGACCACGGGTGGAGGCTACCCGCCCAGCTGAGGGCAATCAGCACAGGGATAACGCCGCCGATGAAGAGGACGTTGCCCAGCCAGTCGAGGCTCGATAGCTTGGTGGCCAGCGTCTGAGACTTGTTATACTTGACATTCAAGAAGGCAACTAGCAGCACTAGCGCGACGCCGCCAATGGGCAGAGCCATGTAGAAAGCCCAGCGCCAGGTGCTATAGCTGACGAGGAGTCCGCCAAAGAGAGGACCGAGGGCGGCCCCCAAAGCGACCATGCCAAACACGATGCCCATGTAGGTGCCCCTCTCGCGCAGTGGCACCAGGTCGCAGATGATGATCTCGCAGAGGACGCCGATGCCCGAAGCTCCAATCCCCTGAATCGCTCGGCCGCCGATCATCATGGCCATGTTGAAAGCTCTGTGCATTGCCCGGTCTCGTCAGCAAGACACCCGATTCTGGGCTAGTATGAGAAAGCAGCAACCCACCCGCCAGATAAACCGCTCCCAACCATGAAGGCTGCCGCAGAAAAGACCAGGGGCCACTTGCGGCCAAACAAGTTTGCGAGCTGGCCAAACAGGGGCAGAAGAGCAGTCCTACACAAATCAAATTCCAGAGGTGGTTAGATACGGCTGTGTCTCTCTCGCGAGAGGCGGGGAGGGGAGGCTTACATGGTCAAGAAGGTGGCGTTAGCAACCCATACGTAATTCTCGCCTCCGTTCAAATCGGCAACGATGGATGGCAGGATCGTCGAGGTGACGGTGGTTTCCAAAGACGTGAGGAGGCTGACGAGCGCGAGGACAAACAAGATGATCCAGAACCTCGGCCCCCGCTTGAACTGCGGAGGGCTTTCTTTTGTGGTCGCATCCGTGCCATCGACCGAAGTTTCTTTGGACTCGAGAGTCGAAGCAGACGCGTCTTGTTGTGTCATGGTGACTGAGAGGATGAGAGGATGAGAGGCTGTTGGCCTGAAGCGGGCGAGGGTCCAAGGAAAGGGAAATAGGGTTTCTCTTGCGAAAATTAGATTGAAATCACTTTCTCATCGGGGACTCATCTCATCTGAGATTCGGCGCGAGGAATTGTAAGTAAGATACCTTGGCTACCTATTTAAGGCCATCGGTACTGTGGCATGGGCGAAGGCCGCGGAGGGTTTCGTTGAATAAAAGTGGGTCCGACCTCGGAGGGTTTCTAGACTGAGGTGTGTACAATGGTACCACATATCGACGCAGGTACGGCATGGAAAGTCCCTTGAACGGAGGAGGCGCAGCACAGAAGAGCCCTCCTCATGTTTAGGCCGGCTATGTTGATTGACGTTCGTGTCAAATTTGCCACATAAAAAGGGTGGAGTTGTGCGAAAGACGTGTGGCTCACCCCGGGGATGCAGAGATAGACGTATTGGCCGGCACGAGGCTTCCACGGCCTTGATAGTCAAAAGAATCAATGCTCGATTTCTGCAGCACCATAGAGTGGGAGTGAAAGTCTGATGGGATGTCAGAGTGGGTGAAGAACCAGCCGTGGGTAAAGGGTTGGCAGGTTAAGCGCTTTTCCATAGAGATGTCTCTTTTCTCTTGGCATACAACAGCTAGTGGCCCAGATTCGTGTCCCAGATTCGTGTCTGAGGGAGGCCCAGAACTCGGCCCCGGCCCGGTTGGCAATTGCTAAGTTAAGATCTGCCTCTATCGCGGGAGACCATGAGCCGGACTATTTTTTTCTTTTGGAAGGGGGAGCAATGATCTGACTTAAGTCTCATCTATTTTTTTGAACTATAAAATCATCGTGGCTATGTTCTGTTCGCTTCAAATGTGCTTCTAAGCCCCATCAAACCAGACACCTTATAACGAGGCTTCGGCCCGCGCCTCAACGTTCAGTTATACTACTAAGCAACCGTCTTTATCGAGCAGTAGCCTCCCGTGTCAGTCAACACTTATTCGCAAACGCCTCTCAGAAGCCTTAGTATCAAAGTCGCTCTCCTAACGGGATCCAATGGTGGGAATGTTCCAGCCAACCCCTCTTACACAAGCTCTCTCGGCTATCAGCCGACTTGCCACCACCTGAAAATTCAACCCTTGACATAAGTTAATTGAATCAAGTTCAAATACAAGTAAGTCAAGTAAGTCAAGTAAGTCAAATACCTGTCCTTACTTACCTACTTGCCATATTATTTGGTAAGTAATGTAAGGGGTCTTGGTGTTGATCTTAGCCTTCGGCCAGGATTTTTTACCATTCCTAGGTTTCTCTATACACTATAGGTGCGTAATCCCTGCAACCTTATCTATACGACTGGTTGATGCTCCTTTGCTCCACTCCTGCCCAAAATCGCGCCTCTAGCCAAGTCTAATTCTCCTCTATTGCGTGCGCTTCCTAGGTTCCTGTGCGCAGCGGCTGCAGGTTATTTTAATCGATTTAACTTTAACCTTTGGCTCTGACACAATTCCATACGCCACTCTTGCCTATAATCACTTGCTTTACGGCATTTAAACCCTGGTCCTCTTGTACAGGGCTCATTCCGCGATAACCTAAAATGTTGAATCGGATAAATTAACTTCCTTGCTCTTCCTAATATGGTATAGTGTGATTACTCAGCTGGAGGCCGACAAATTAGACTTCCAAGTATCACGATATATATTTGACTTACTTGACCTCCGTTGCCTGAAATTGCAATTTCTCACCCGCTCATGCAAAATTACAAGATGGGCTCACTTAGGGCGCGCGACCGGCTGTCCGACTTGCCAGACGGGCTGCTGATGCTCATTTTTGAGGAGATATCCAAGCGCGACCTGTGCAATGTCTCGCACCTGAACAAAAGATGCCACGGCTTGGCAGACTCGATCCTCTATAGGACGGTGCTTTTCGAGTCGCCCGAGCATCACCTTATTTTCCGCGAGTCGCTCAGTCGACGATTGCGCCGTGGGTCGGCGATTCGCGACATCACTGTGAAACTCGACGATACCACCAGCCTAGACACTCTGGAGCTGTCACAGTTGGTGCTCGATGGATCGCGCTCCGATGTCGATGGCTTGTCGCGCGCCATTTCTACCATGTCAAACCTGGAGAACCTGGACATCTCGGTTCCTGGCAAGTTCTTGCGCGGTATCGGCACGCTGTTTAACGGCCCCTTCGACCTGGCCTGCCTGAAATCGTGCACGCTGTTCTACCAATGTCCCGACAACCAGTACTGGGATCTCCGCGACAATATCCACATCTTCGCCCACCCCACGCTCCAGAGTCTTGTCATCCGGAGGGCTAAACTGGATCATCGCGGATTCGACTTCATCGAGCAGCCGCACCAGACGGGACTGAAGAAGCTCCATCTGATCGAGTGCGACATCAACGACGACGCGCTTTATGATATCCTTGCGTTTCCGGAGTCCCTGCGCGAGTTCGTCATGGTCCAGACCCCGGAGCCGACCCCTGACCTGGAGGAGAGCTCTGACAATATCGGAGACTACATTCTTGCGTTGCGGTCAGCGAGCCACTCGATAGAGACGATTACCATCGATTTCCCCACCTTGACTGGCTTCAAAGCATTGCGCATGCGGGAGTTTGAAGCGCTCAAGACACTGCGTATCAACTGGGACTATCAGCTCTTTGGCAAATCATCCAAGAAACCGCGGTTGCACTCGGTGGGTATCCCGCCCGTGCTGGAGCGGTTGGAGTTCTTCAACGAGCTGGGTACGGATGAGGAAGTAACGGAGCTGCTGGAGTACACGATCCTCAATAAGAGCGTCATGGCTAGGAACCTGGAGAGGATTATTGTTCCCGAGGGTGATACTGGGAGGGTCCCCAAGGTGATTGTGGAGGCTTGCAAGGCCGCCGGTTTGCAGTTGGATGTTATTGGCGCTCTGGATGTGGATACAGATGACGAGGAGCAAGAGAGCAAGATCGACGCATAGACTAGATACGCATATACGCATGTACTAGAGACGCTAGACGCTAGATGATAATTAGATTCCACACATCACCTTTGCCTGTGATCCTCGACTTCGAGGGTCGTGCTCAACGGGCCGCCGGGCTCCAAGTTGTGGGCGAGGAGCTGCTATGACAGTTTTGGCTTCTTCTTCACGCCGTGGTTTGGATGGTCTGGGATGCTCTGGAAGGCGGATAGGCTGTGGTATGCCTTGAACATGGAGTGCCGCAGGTATTGCAAAGAGCACTGTGGTTCGGACGACATCTCCACCGCCAAGACGTCCGGATCGTACTACGAATCGGTCAGGGTGGAGGCTACGAAGCGCGGAAAGGAGGTTCTCGAGTTCAAGGCTGAGGATGGGCGGGAACCTCTGTCGATTCTTGGAGAAGGACGTGCCAGGTACACTATTCCCGCGATTGAACGAGAAGAAGACTTTTGCCGCCATCAAGGCTATCGCCATTGCGAAAGGTCTTCTATCATGAGCGGCGCTCTTTGGCCTGGGGTAGGCTACCTGGCAATACGGCCCGCTTCTCTATTACATGGTTTCTAATGCGGATCTAAGTTTGATTAGATCATGATTTGGACTCATTCTTGAGTTGTCGGGCAATCAGTGGCGAGGGGTGAGGGGAAGAGAGGGCCTAAAATGGGCAGTACATGTGGAGGATATCTATGAGATTTAAATCCCAGAATGACGCTATTCAGGAAGGAATTCAGGGGCTGAGTTGCATGCAATTACATTCCAAGGTGGCTGGTTACACAAGGTCAAGTTGTCCACGTCCAGCATGTTCAGTTCAACCAAAATAAAAGCTACCTAATTGGCCCTTTATTCGATATTGATCACCAGCTTCCCGAAGTGCTTCTTTGCCCACTGCGACGCAAAAAGTCATGTCAGCGTTTTCTCTCTCCAAAGCTCGCAGGGGCGGAAATAACTCACCATGTACTCATAAGCCTCCTTCGCCTGGCCCAGCTGGAAGATCTTCTCGTCGACGACGGGGTGGATGTCGTTGGCCTCGATGGCCTTGACCATGTCCTCCATCAGAGCCCTGGAGCCGACGTAGACGCCCCTGACGGTGCAGATCTTGTTGAGCACCTCCATCATGCTCGACTTCGGCTTCGCCCCGCCCAGGAAGCCGATGACGCAGATGATGCCGCCGAACTTGATCGCCGCCAGGCTGTGCTCCATCGTGTCCGCCCCGCCCACCTCGATGACGAAGTCCACCCCGACCCCGCCTGGCGTCAGCTTGCGCGCCGTCTCGCCCCAGTTGGCGTCCTCCCGGTAGTTGATCACGTGGTCCGCCCCGAGCTTCAACACCCTCTCGGCCTTCTCTGCCGACGATGTCGTGGCGATGACCCTCGCGCCTGCAGCCTTGGCGAACTGTAGAGACCCCCGTTGTCAGCATGCCAGATTCGAGGGGGAAAACTTTCCGGGCTCCTGATTTTACTTACCTGCAGGGCAAACATGCTGACGCCGCCGGTTCCCTGAACCAGAACCGTGTCTCCCGCCTTCACCGGCCTGAGGCCGTAGAGGGCGTTCCAGCTGGTAAGGGCGGCGCAGGACAGGGTGCTGGACTCGAGGGAGTTGAGGTTCGCCGGCGCCCGCACCAGCCCGTTCTCGTTGAACACGCCGTACTGGCGCAGGGTGCCGTCAAGCACGCCGCCGAGCCCGGTGCCCACGCTGTGGAAGTCGACCTCGCCGAACTGGTGGCCCTGGTTGAAGAGAGTGACCACCTTGTCGCCCTTCTTCCACCCCGTAACCCGCGGCCCGACGGCGGCGACCTCGCCGGCGCCGTCCGAGGCCGCAACCACGGGGAACTTGGTGGGGAACGGGTATTTGCCCTACGCAAGCGGTTAGTCGGTGTTGGAGCTAGCCAGGCGATGGGGGGGAACTTTTCGGCCCAGTCGTACCAATGGGATGATGAGGTCGCGGTAGTTGAGCGACGCGGCCTCAAGCTTGACCAGGACATCGTTGTCGCCCAGCTTGGGCAGCGGAACATCCTTGAGCTCCAGCCCGTCGAAGCCCCTATCCTTTCCAGTAACCACCCACTGCTTCACGGTTGTGTTTGAGGAAGCCATTGTGTAATTATCTAAGCTGGTCAATCCAGGGGTATGACGTTAGTGCTTGCTTGGGTAGATGTGAGTACAAAGTTTGATGGCAATTGAGTATGGCAGGCTTTTCGAGGAGGGGGAACTGAATCCATTTCAATGCTTGCTGTTCATCCTCAAGGGCCTTTAATAGGTCTTGGTATGCCTGTCACTTGCACGTCATTGACTAATCACAGAAAGGTTCCTGGTACTAGCGGGGGAATTGTTGTTCTTCCCCCTTCTACGTATGTACATCATGAGTAATAATTTACGATTTCCGGCCCCAATTGCTTGGTGCCAAGCGGTTATTATGGGCTTGTTGACAAATTGGATACAAATTCCCGGATTAATGTTTTGTTAGATACCTATACCCGGGCGTTTCCATAAGGCTTGGCGGAGGTGAATCAGGTGATTGGCTGATGTTTCGTTGCTACTCCATCGCATGACTGTGATGTAATGGCCAGGTTCAGCGCGAACATGTTTGCCACTGTCAGTGGCCCCCTCTGTGCTGATGTTTACATTCTTGCAGGTTGCATCACTGCGTACTGGATTATAATGGCTCTCGACGGACTGCCACATGAGGGATAGATTCCCCGCGGGAATATGTAGCTCAGTGCCGAGACTCGACGAGGAGCAACATGGCCAGGACGAGGAGCAGAGGTTACTACTGAAGCAGCAGATGTACGGGAGAAGAGGCGGGAAGCAGGTTGCATTGGCAGGTGTCATAGGTTGCAAGACAAGCTAGCTAGTCATCAACCCTTCATTGACATCCTGAACATCATCAAGTGGCACAAATCCGCTATTGTAAGAAGGGCGTTTGTTATATTAGGCAAAACAAACGGAATCATGGGAGCCTTGGGGAGGCCAGAGACGCAGGCGGTAATCGTATTTCGTCGTACGGAGCCTCGTTTCTCGTTTCATGCCTCCACCTCCAATTCGCCTCCATCGAACCCGTGCCCTCCCTTCGTCCCCAAGATTCCCCCGCGCCCGAATGCACAGCCCGCGCACAACCCACGAGCTGCCGTCGTCGTGGCGAATCGTTTACTTCAGCCTGTGAAACATCCGAGTCAGTATGAGTGAAGGGATCTGGCGGGATTTGAAGGCAGACGCACTTCTTCTTGGGGCGGAGCTGGTTGGTGTGGCCTGGGAGTAGACGTCAGTGAGCAATTCATGATACCAAGCAAGCTGCGCAGGTTATAATAAACCCGGGAAAGGAGACTTACCGCATTTCCTCTTTCTGCAGTTGCTACACGAAACAGGGAAAGTCAGTAAAACCGCCAAGATTATTGTCGCTGAGGTCTTCAACGGTCACTGCGCCAGAGCAAGGCAGTCGGTGTAGGTGCTCGTAGGTTCTTTGCTCCCAAGACAGACCGAAATGGGGGGGGAATAAGGCAGGTAGGATAGCTCGGGTAGTTGGACGTACGTGGCACGGGGAGGAAGCCGGGCATAACTGGCGAGCAATCTGTTAGCTGGGTGCCACAAGCTGCTGTGGGGGCGCGGAGGGAAACGGAGAGAGACGTACCACTTGCGACAGATCATCTTGTCGCAGTTGAACTTGGAGGCCAACTATCGCATTGTCAGTATTCCCAAGAGTTCGTGGCCGCGGGACGGAGGTGGTTGCGCGGGGCATTTTGCGCTGGGAGGTGGACGGACCGCCTTGAGGGATGGCTCAATCATCTAGAGAACGCGCCGGATGTCAGTTTTTGCGCAAGGGGCTCTGAGAAAGCAAACGAAGGGCTCTCGAAATGCTGGTGTCGGGTGAGCTCACCTTGTCTTGATTCCGTGACCGTGGTCGTGATTGCTGGTGGGAATCTTTTTGGACGTTGCGAAAGTATTTCCGAGTTAATTTTCGTGGGTTTGTACCTAGGTTAGCCCGATCAGCAGCCGACGGCACAATATTCTTCCGCGTTGGCACTTTCCAGATTCCACGAAGGCCCTGATCGCTTAGGTAAGCTACCCGCCACGATGCCCGACCCACCTGATGAGCCCCCCGATACCTAACTGAAAACCGCGAAATTTTTTGATAACGCCGGATTAGGTTGCACAGATTTCCGAGTCTTCCGCATTCTAATATCTCGAAGCGACAGGCTAGAAATGGGGTGCGGGCTTGCTAGACGTCGTTGCACTGATCTCTGCCGAATATCGTATTGTGTATATGTATTGTGCAGTACAATACATTCTGCCGGCGCAGCCTAGGCCTCCTCCCGCTCCTTGATCTTGGTGAACACCTCGACAAAATCCTGTGGATCCTGGGCGCCGTTGATCTCGTACTTGTCTTGGATGGTAAAGTTTGGCACCCCATGGATATTCTTGCGAACCGCCTGCTGCACCTCGGCATCGACCTCCTCGCCACCCTTCCCCGTCTCCAACCAGTCCTTCACCTCCTCCCCGTCCAGCCCGGCCTTCACGCCAACCCCAACCAGCGTCTCGTGGCTCGTGATGTCGCCCGTGCCCTCAAAATAGTCCCGGAACAGCTCCAGCACCACCCGGCTCTCCACCACCTCTCCCTTGGTTTTGCCCAGCTGGATCAGGCGGTGCGAGTCCCGCGTGTTCCCGAGCTTGCCCGCGAAGCTGAACTCGATGCCCTCCTGCCGGCCCATGCTCGTCAGTCGCTCCTGCATGGCGGGGACCCGCTCGGGCCCGAAGCGGTCCACGAGTCGCTCCATCATGGGGATGCCCTTCTTGGGCGACGTCGGGTCCAGGTAGAACGGGTGCCAGGACACGGTGAAGGTGTCGTCCCGGCCGCCCGGGTAGACCTTCCGGTACAGCTCAATGGCCTTGTCGAGCCTCTTCTTGCCGATGTAACACTGTTTTTTATTATTGTTTGTGAGTTCGCTCAAGTCTTCCTCGAGACCACTGAATCATGGGGTATCGCATACCCAGGGACACACGGTGTCCGAAACGATCTTGATTGTGAAGTTCGTCATCTTGACAAGTGGTATTTTTGTTTATTTAAATTTTGTATAGTTGGCACTCAGGGAAGTTTAATGTGACTTCATCGATTTGAAGATGCGGAGAGGGGAGGAGTGGGGATTGCCGTGGGGTACCTACTCAAAAGTATTTAACAGCGTGCCTGGCATGTTAAAATCAAACCTGGAATGTTCCCGAGGCCGATGATTTGGACGGGACAACCTATCACGCAATGCCGGGATGAAGCCTGCTTATCAATCAGCAATGTTCCTGTCTTCTGAGTCCACCTATTCTAGACCAAAATTAGACTACAACGTACCTAGTTTGTACCTTGTCATTATCTTTTCCTATTCGTTACTATGGTATTGTAAATAGATCCGCGTCGTTTATAACCATCCTGAAGTTTTCATTTTTATCCTTGCCTCCATTGTCTGGTTCATCCAAGTGCACACCCCCCCGGCAAGCATGCAGGTTGACGCCTGCCCAATGCCCATTTAGTTTGAGCTTGCGCATACCATGACATCGGAATTGAGAATTTAAGGTTGCTGAGATCCAGCTGACAGCGGGTATCGCCTGATTGTGATATTTTACTGAGTATTGCTTGGACCTCGTCCAACGCAAATTAAATGAATCAAATCAAAATACTTAGCAAGGTTAGAATATATGGTATAAGCAGAAGGTGGGCGTATATAGTAAGTAAGGTCAAAAAAGTGGTTATTCGTGATCTGGTTATTCAGGTGTCCAGCACCAACTGTAGGTGGTGGGAGTTCTCGAGGACCAAATAAAGTGGGGGCGTGGCACTTTACACCACACCTCTCTCTTTCTCTCTCTCGCCTCTCATAGATCTTTGTATGCTGAAAATTAGTGAGCTTTAGTGATAATCGTCAGGCCTAAAAATCGTCGGGGTGACTCTTTCGGGGCATGACAAAAGTAAATTCTGCCACCTGTGGCTGCATCGGATTTAAAACAGGGTTAGGGTTATACTAGTGCAAGGTCACGTGGGTGGGCGTCGATGGATGCCCTCCCAGCGCAGGCCAGTAAGTTTCAGCATATAACCCTGGACCCCACTAAATTTTAACGCAAGACACTTAATTCCAACGGAAGCCACTGAATTTCAGCGTGCCCCATTGAGCTCAGGCGAGCTCAGGAGAGCCCAGGTAAAAGCAGCGAGGGATCAGGAATCCGGCCGACAGTAGAAATGGTGAGCGTCTCGATTCGTCGCAAGTTATAGGCTGTAACGGGGGATCCAGATTGATTTTTATCTCTCTTTTCCTCTAATTGAAGGTTGGTTGGTATGAAAAACTGCCCCAAGGTTCGCGATACATTAGTGGACAATGAAACGGATGCTCGTTTTGATCGAATACGAGTTTCAGGCCCAGTGTTCAGGCCCGGTATGCAAGCATTAGACATGGCACCATAAGCCGATGCCCAACCCAATGGCTGCCCTCGCCTCGTAAACGGAGCCTTTCATTGGGCTCGCCGAATTCTGTTCGACGCCTTAGATCCATCCCACGAGGGCTCGCTCGGCAGCCATCACTCACCAGGCGACGGCTTCTCAAATCTCAAGTCCGTCTGCTTTGTCTCCCGGCTCACCCGATCGTACATCTCCCGCTGGAAGGCGCCGATTAGGGACGCTCGACCGCGACCTTGTCGGTTCCCGGAACTAACTGCATTCCGAAGACGCCGCACACGCCCGTTTTCCGGTTGATCCCACTGCAGCTTCTTAGCTGAAAGTGCCCAACTCACCATCTCAGTCAAGTGTGGGAGGACTAACCCCAATTTCGATACGCAGGTCATTGTAGAACGCCCGAGTCGCTGCTAAACCATGCTTTGGGAGCTCAATTTACTCGTCGAGTTCATCTTCTTTGCCCTTGGCACTGAACCCCCATTGCTCCTCGGTAGATGGTATCAAGCTGCATAGTCTGCACCAAAACAGCCCAATATAAAAGACGAATCTTGTCATTGAAGATTGCCTCTTTTGTGAGTGGGCCAGTGCAGCCCTGTGTAGTGGGTGTGCATAGTTTGCAACAGTTGTCGCCTGCATACGGTCTAATATCTACCCGAATATGCCTGTCCACCTTGGATTCACAGTGCCTGACCCATCAAACAGGAAAGCGTACCCCAAAAGACAAGCGGTGACATTGACAAGGAAGAACACTACCATGGCCTGTCCAACCATGTCCGTGGGAACACCCATTCTGCTTCCCATGGTCGTCTCGGAGATTGCTTCCAGCGCCTCGATTGATGACCACACGATAAAAATGGGAGCGCAACAGATGAGATGGGCAACTGCAACCACCTTGCTAAAGACACTCTTTGGATCAGAATTGACATAAGAAAATAACACTCGGTGCCCACAGCCTAGCATAACGAAAATTGGGCCAAAGCCAGAGTTTTGAAACATATTGAGTTCTCCCTTTTCAATGTTCCCAGACTGAGTGAGTGTGCCAACTTGGAAGACTGTATTAAGCATAGCGAAGCTGAAGAATTCCGCCGCACTGATGGACCAGAGACATAAAATAATGTATTGTACCACCAAGAAGTGAATCGCCTCCGCCAGACGTGGAAGCATCCACAAGATCCAGGATGCTAATCGGGATTTCCTGTAAGGCTTGTCGGCGAGAGTCGCTAGTTTAACCGGCTGATCTGCAGGAGTCGATGGTTGAATAGGATCCTCGTGTTTAGTCAAAAATGCTAAGGCGGAGAGGTTGACTGCTTCGCCAAATACCATGGCTAGGAAAAAGGCGAGAGCGACTGCTTTTGAAATGGGCACCCCTTTCATAGCAACCAGCTTAACGGTCTGGCATGGGACCACGCCTAGAAGAATCATGATCCACCTCACTATAGCCGTTTTCTCCACAGCTTTTTGATCTGGATCCAGGAGCCCATTGGGAAACCGGTCTGAGAGCTCGGCCTTGAACTGGTCTAGGAATCGCCGGTCTTGGATGCAGCGGTCGGCATAGCGGATGCAAAAGTGCAGCATGTCGGCAACGCAGATAATGGGCGATGACCGCAGCCAGAAGCTGTGTCGTAGGGGCATGTCCATCACGCGGCCAATAGGCTGCACCATGGCACCAAGCGCGAGCGGAACGAGTGCGAAGAAGGCGACTTGCCAGGTCACCTCCTCCGCCGCTGCAGCAGTGGGGTTCGGCTGTGAGTCGCTCATGGAAATTGCTTGCGAAGAAAGCGCCGAGAGGAGGGCTGGGCGAGAAACTGCTGGGGGTTGAAAAATAGGAGGAGGATATGATAGAGGATATGATAGAGGATATGATAGAGGATATGATAGAGGATATGATAGAGGATATGATAGAGGAGAAAAGTACTTGCGGGAAGGCAGAACTTGTAGAATTGTGATGTATTGGGCTCGAAGTTGCCAAGCCTACCACCCAAGCCACCCGTCCCCTGCCTGCTCAGCGAGCACAGCCTCGACCCTGCCACAGCCGCCCCTGTTTGGTCAACGGACCAAACATTTACAACCATGCTTTGGCGAATCAGACTGCGAGAATCTTCAAACGCGTGACCTTCCACAGAAGGCCGGAGTCTCTCTCTGGTGCCATTGCTCTGGCGGCATGATACCGGAACCCTCGTCCGGGACTGCTCCACATAAAATCTCGGCGCGCCGCTCAGTACCTTCCGTCCCGAATTGCCAAAATTTTTGGAGTCCCGTGCGGCACCTCCGTCTCCGTCCCCGTCTCCGTCCCGGGGGCAAACATGACGAGATTCGTCTTTTACACAGCCATAGGTTGAGAGTGCGGAGTACATCATCATTTATCTTACATGCCACACCACACCGCCTTTGGCTGTTGGTGCAACCTCAGTTGATCCAACCCCTCAGTTGAGGAACCTGATCCCATCAAGCTTCTTGCAAAGCATGATCTGGCCCACCACTGTCAACACGCGCTAATCTACTCTTGTTCACGATGTCTGTCACTGGCGAGCCATTGGGACAGAGTGCAGAGACTACGGATCAGTACCGTCCCCTCGACACCTCCAAGAGCGAGATCCGCTTGCTCTCGTTCGAGAATACTGCCAAACATACCCCAGTACGGCTCAATCTCCACTACGTATCCCTAAACGACTGGAAGCCCGAATATGTCACTTTTCGCGACCAGAATGCATCGACGAGTCGTTCTCAGCTCTCCGAAGCCTGGAGCGACCGGTTCGAATTCACGCTTGCTACGCCGCGGAGCGAGATCTACGACGCCGTTACAAGATTTACCTGGGGCGATTACACCTGCCTAAGCTACACATGGGGAGACTGCGCGGCCCAGAAAGCTACGATCTTCCTAGACGGCGTCGCCATCGCTGTGAATAAGAATCTAGTGGCGGCTCTGCGCGACCTACGGTCCGGCTACGAGTGCCAACTTGGCATAAAAGTCTGGGCGGACGCCCTTTGTATTAACCAGGCGGATGTTCTTGACCGGAATGCCCATATCTTGCGAGTGAAGGATATATTCGGTGGAGCTTTCTCAGTAACGGTCTGGACGAAGGAACACGACGACCTGGGGGCTCTCAGTCTTCACCTATCAGGCGAACGACTCACTCTTTGTGAAGTTGTTTTGCGAGAATATGGAAGGGAAGCCCTGGAAGAACTTCTCGGGGTCCGCGACCGCAATTGGGGGGCGGTGGAGGATAAGGATGAACAGCTTAGGGAATTGGTGGAAGATGTCGACGTCCTAGTGTTTGACCAGTATCACTGGGCAGATTCCGACGACGAGGATGACTACGGATTTGGTACGCTGCATTTACGCGATATAGTTCGTGTAGAGTTATGGCAGATGTTTCTGAAGAAATACTGGTCGCGGTTGTGGATTATCCAGGAGCTGGCGGTCAGTCCCAGCACATCAACGGTACACTGGGGAGGGTGTTGGTTCCAGCTGTCGACTCTGCAGGCCATAGGCGATATTCTTCTCGCCCATCCTGGGTCTGGAGACTTGGACTCAGGAAACTGGGAAGGGCTGAAGCTGAGATTGGACCTCTTGGCATTTATATCTACCTGGAGGACACTGGAGGCTACATCGGGTGTCACGGAATGCTCGTTGAACGATGCGTCCATCCGGGAGCTCAACTTGCTCGCGCAACATGCAGACTGCTCACTCCCGCAGGACAAAGTCTACGGTCTACTAGGGTTATTTCCGTCGTCCGTGTCAAGTGCCGTGGCGATCGATTACAGCCGAGAGACGGCAGTGGTCCTTGCTGAGTTTTGTTCTGTGGTCCCAGGCTGGAACTGTAATTAGGGTATCTACAATAAATAGTTCACCGTTCGCCGAGCAACAACACCTCTATTTCCTAAGCCTTTATCCACCCTGCGGGTAATTAAGCAATCGATGAACAAAAAAGAATGAACCAAAACAGAGCTGGGAAGGAAGAAGGAATAATAAGAAAGTAAAAGACAAAAGAAAAGAAAAAGAAAGGAAGAAAAGAAGAACAAGAAAAGGATAAGAAAAAGAAGGAAAAAAAGAAGGAAAAAAAAATGTGATCGAACACGGGATTGAACCGGGGACCTTCGCCGTGTTAAGGCGACGTCATGACCAACTAGACCATTCGACCGATTTATATTTTGATGGTACCTTTAATCGCACTCTAATAGGTAGGTCAAATGCTAGCTAGTTTCTGAACCTGTGGAGCACCCCAACCCCTGGGCTTTAATCCTTGGGTTCCAAGCATTCCTTGGCTACCAAGCTTTCCTTGGCTGCCTACCAAGCTTCTTTTATATCAACGTCTTGCTTCACCTCACAGTTTTCTCATTGACACACTACTGTTTAGGTATATACACCTAGGCTTCCGGCAGAGCAGAAGCACTTGCAACGGGGTACTTTTTCGTTTGCAGTTTGAGCCTTTCTGCTAATAAAAAGTCGCTTCCTCTGGTACACTCTTTCCTTCCTGTCCAAAACAAAACATCGTGAAACGAAACCCAGAGCCCTGACGGTTGTCGTGTTACAAAAGATAATTCTTCTTCTAGATGTCGCTGTTTTCATGTCATGGAAACGGCGGCTCTCCAGACAGGCTCATTGACCTTTCCAGCCTGCATTCCCCCCCGGTTTTGCCTTCTTCCTTCCACCAGTGACTCATGCCATACCTGTTGTGCTCGATGCTCGCTGAGGTTGAAGCATTATTTCCTCGTGGAATTCATCGTCCTGTTATGTCTTCTCGCACCCTCAATCGCGCCGTCCATATTTCATTTGTCACAGCTTTAGTTCTCGGTTACAGTCGAGGGGTATTATTCCCGGAAGAGGACCCGTGAGAGATTGTGCCGTCCAATGCGGCCGCCCGAACCGCTTTAATCTCCTTTAAGCCCGACTCCAACGCAATCTATACTGTTGGGGGCCAATGCTACATGCACCGAGGCACACACGAGCAGGGCTGCCACTATCCTCCTCCCTTTTTAGGCATGATCTTCAGGCAACCAGCCCCCTTCCTTGCGATAATCACCCGCCATTTTGGGCAGGCGGAAACTGAGAGGCGGTAGCTAGTACTGTACTATTAGAATCCAATGTTTTTATTAATATTGGGCATCTTATCCCCCACCTTTTCCCAGATCCAGGTCCAGGTCCTCCCTTCACATCTCGTTTCCCTTCCCTTCCCTTCCCCCACCAAGCCATCCCAGTGTCGCTCAAGTGACCCCATTTGGCCCTGGAGGAATTCAAAAAGAGGTGGCCTGTCATGCTGTTCCGCCATCTCACAATTGCCCTGGCCACTGGCCTGGCAATCGAAGCCGCCGCCACTCCTCTCTACGGGGAGAATGGGGACACCTTGGAGGGGCGCGGGGTGCCGTCGTCGCACGCGTTGCACGAGCGACAGCTGCCGCATTGGGCGACGACATGGCAGAAGCGAGACCGAGTCCCTTCATCTGCCGTGTTGCCCGTGCGAATTGGGCTCAAGCAGTCGAACTTGGACCAAGGGCGCAATATGTTGCTGGACATGTGAGCACATTATCCTTCTCGCCCCTACGTGGGAACTCGCGACATTAGAAGTTCGGGCAGCTCATTATTCGCAAGATCAACCCCGAAATCTGCCAACTACGGGAAGCACATGTCCGCCGAGGAAGTCATCGACTTCTTCGCGCCGCCCGGGTCCAGTGTCGATACCGTAACTGAGTGGCTCACGGAAGCCGGCATTGGCGCCGAGCGAATCTCACAGTCGATCAACAAGCAGGTAATTATAGTCTTGCGCGCGAATTGAATGGCGAAAACTCCCCTAATTGTAGGACACGGACTCGTGCTAACAGCGGCATATAACCGGCTAGTGGATCCAATTTGAAGCTACAGCTGCTGAAGTCGAGGACATCCTGTTCACTGAATACCACGTGTTCGAGCACCGGGATACGGGAACCAAGAACATTGCCTGTGACGAGTACCATATCCCCAGTCATGTCAGGGAGCATGTCGACTACATCACTCCTGGGATCAGACTCCGCGTAGATAAGGGAAAGTCGGCAAAGTTGAGAAGGAAGCGTGAAGCTGAAGCTCTGCAGAAGCGTGGCGTCGCGGCGATGAACACGGGCCTCGTCCCAATTCCCCAGGCCAAACTGCCAAACCTCCCACAACTCAACTCCAGCGTTTGTCACCAGTATGTCACCAATGAGTGCATTCGGAGTAAGTCCAACGAGGAAGGCGGCGTTGAGAAATCGACAGGATACAGTAGTTCTCTAACAATGAGTGGCCAGAACACTACCGGGTGCCCAAAGGTACCACAGCTGCCAAAGGTAACGAGCTAGGCATCTTTGAGTCTTTGAACGACCATTACAGCAAGGACGATCTCGATGTATTCTGGGCCAATCTATTCCCGTGAGTGGACAAAGTCAACCCCCGGCCATATTTGCGAGTCAAATATCTGACCCATTCCCTCCAGAGAGATTCCTCAGGGCACATACCCTATCGACAAGCTGATAGACGGCGCCATTGGCGCGGCGGAAACCCCCGAGGAAGTGGGCGCCGAGTCGGCCCTCGATTTTCAAGTGGCATGGCCCCTGATCTGGCCCCAGAACACGGTTCTCTTCCAGACGGACGATCAGTACATCGAAGTCAACCAGACCGACCCCGACACGCCGTACCTAGGCTTCTGGAACAGTACGTTTTGCCGCAGCTGGCAACCCCACAGACAGTCCGCAAAGAAACCAGCCACTAACCACACACCCCCATGAGCAGCCTTCTTCGACGCCCTCGACGGCAGCTACTGCACGTACTCGGCCCACGGCGAGACAGGCAACTGCGAGAAGGCCGAGTGCCTTGACCCGCAGTACCCAGACCCCAACCCAGGCGGCTACCAGGGCGAGCTGCAGTGCGGCGTGTACGAGCCCACCAACGTCATCTCCATCTCGTACGGCGGCGGCGAGGGCGACCTACCGGGCTACTACCTGCGGCGCCAGTGCGACGAGATCATGAAGCTCGGCCTGCAGGGCGTCACCGTCGTCATCAGCTCGGGCGACGACGGCGTAGGCTCGTACCCGGGCGACGCGGGCCTGCAGAACGGCTGCGCGGGCCCCAACGGCACCGTCTTCTACCCGGGGTCGGACGCCACCTGCCCGTTCGTCCTCGCCGTCGGGTCGACCCAGCTCGACGGCCCGCCCGGCACGGGCAACTTCTCCCGCACGTCGGCCTGCCGCCTGACCGAGGTGGCCACGACGCGGTTCCCGTCGGGAGGCGGGTTCTCCAACGTGTTCGACACGCCCGCGTACCAGAGGCGCGCCGTCGAGACGTACCTGGCCGACACAGCCCCCGGGCTCGCCTTCGAGGGATACTCCGGAGACCCGGGCACCAACTTTAGCGACGTCGGCGACGGCGTGTACCGCATCGGCGGGCGCGGGTACCCGGACGTGGCGGCGGTCGGGGACAGGTTCGTCGTGCGCGCCGGGGGCTCGTGGGGGACTATCGGGGGCACGTCGCTGTCTGCGCCCGTGTGGGCGGCGTTTCTGACGCTGGTCAACGAGGAGAGGATCGCGGCGGGGAAGGGGACGGTCGGGTTTATCAATCCCGTTCTGGTGAGTATCTTCTTCTTTTTTGTTGTCTTGTTTTTGCTCGCGGCGGGAGCTAATTTGGCGGGCAGTACGAGAATCCGGAAGTCTTCCACGATATCACGAATGGGTCGAATCCGAACTGCAACTCTGGGGGCTTCGTGGCTGCCAAGGGTTGGGATCCGGTCTCTGGCCTGGGGTAAGTCATTTCGCAATTCCGAGCCGTCATGCTGAGCTGACCGATGCTGTGTATTAGATCGCCCAATTACCCCAAGCTTCTTAAGCTGCTCTTGAGTCTGCCGTGAGGACCGTATTTCTAGGTGGCTTCCAGGGTAGTTCTTTAGATACAATTAGCCCAACGTATGCGAAGCTGATGGTTCTCCATTGCGACTTCCACTGCTCTAACCAGCTTGTGAGGTTGCCTCAGATGATGCAATGCCCAGCCTTGTAAACGATAATAAGCTGTAGTAAATAAAGTATTACGTCGTCCAGTTGTATCGCACTTGGAAGCAGCGTATGAACTTACGTTTATAGATTATAATCGTCAATTTCGTAATTTTCATGATGATAATTCTTTATTGCAACGAAGGATTAACATAGTTATAAGCTCCAATTACGTGTCGTCTAATTATCCTGTTGTTTGATGCCGTAGGGACTTGGCCGTTACGCCCAAGGCCAGGCCAAGAAACCACCAAACCGCCTTTCCAGTCTTAATTAGACGTGAACCTATTCAGATGAATTACCCAGTTCCTCTCAAAGAGATAAAGCTTGGGATGGTCTAGATTGTACCACCCATGGCTAGTATACTAGCTTAATACTATCAGTAGTTCCTAATATAAAAAGAACTGGCGTGACCTCCTGCTTCCCGACTCCCTAAGCGGAGACGTCGCCTCACACGCAACTATTTGGCCCCCGTCAAGCTCGCGACACAGTGTGCCCGACAGACCCGCAGTCGTAAACAGGATCTTCACCACGCGACCGCTTGACTCGCAAGCCCCGGCAAGGTCTCCCATCCTCCTCACAAGAGCCTCCAACTGGCCGGACGTGACGTCTTCAAAGTCGTCCTCCAACAGGTTGAGCCCGTCGACGACGAAGAGCAGCTGGGGCAGGCTCACGCAGCCGACCGCATCCGAAAACAGCTCCAGCGCCAGGTCCCAGGTCCGCAGCGTCCCGTCCAGGGCCGCGAACCTCTCCTCGCCGAACGCCAGGGGCGCCGCGGCGAAGTCGGCGGGCAGCAGCTCCACGGCTTGCCGGATCATCGAGTACAGCAGCGCCGTCAACTCCGTCGACTCCCGCGTCCTGCTCGGCGGCGGCTCGTCGGCAGATAGCTGGCAAAAGTATGAGATGACGGGGATCCCGTGCTCCCGGGCTAGGGTTATGTATGTTGCGGCTGAGGACCGGAGGACGCTCAGGTGTTCTGGTTGGTATCGGCCGTGGGCGTAGAGGATCTGGGATTTCAGGGTTGTTGTGAAGTCGCTCAGCCGTGACACGAAGGTTGCATCTGCACAGAGGTGGTGCGGGATGTCGGGGAAGGGGAAAACGTGCTCCCAGTTGCAGTATTCCTCGAGGTGTCGAGACCTGTATTTGATTTCGGAGTTTTGATATGGTTCCTCGAGTTCGGCGTCTATTAAGCTTGAGTCGTCGCCGTGGGGAATGTGTCTAGCCCCCTGGGGGCTTGGTAAGGCTACGTATTCGAGTTAGAGACGCTTGGTCAACTTCTCATGTGTGGGAATTGTGGCGAAGGCTTACGAGATGAGTTGTAAGAGTCCGAGTGTCGCCTGTCATCAGAGGTCTCTCGCGAAGCTTGAATTGTTAGCAGGTTCGTGATCGCTCTCCCCGAAATCTCCTGCCTCATCCTTTCGTTGTACTCCACCATCATACTCTGTAGACTCTCCTTTATCTCCTCCTGCGAGTTCTTGAACTGGCCGAGGAACATGCTCTGCAGAAGTCGCGCGTTGGTCTCCTCCTGAAGCTTCCTCTGCGTCTGCTCGGTTTCAACGAGTTTGACGAGATACTTCACAGCCCAGCGTGTGTCTTCCGCAAGCAACTTGGCAACCCGGACATCGGCTGATATGTGTAGCTGAATCTGCTGAGATAGCAGGAGGGAAATCTGCCTGACCTGGCCCAGGTCTTCCTCAAATATCCGCTGTACACTCTCGTTGAAGCTTTTCAGAAACCTAGTCCGGCTTCGGTCTGTGTACCATTTCATGAACTTGGTGAGGTATGAGAAGACGCGGCTATAGAGCCGCATGGCGAGTTGCTTGAGGGGCGGGCTGTCGTACACCTGGCTCTTCTGCACCATGGCAACAGCGTCGTTGATGCTGACAACGCCCTTTGCGAAGGACTCTGTGATTGCTGTGTAATTTGCTGAGGCCTGCCGAGTGGTGCTAGTCAGCGACGCTAGGACTTCCCTTCTGGCGATACTCTTCGAACCTTGATGATCATGCTCACTGCGCCGCCAATCAGCGAAACGTACTCGCTTTCCTTTGGGAGCATTTCAAGGGCCGTTGAGTGGTTATTCAAGCCATTGCACATCTTCCGAATCCACTGCTTGGTGCGAGCCATCTGACTGTCCTTGTTTTTCGCATCCCACTGGGCTTGCACGGTCGACACTGCCAGCTCGACTTCAGACCAAGAAGTAGGCATTGGTGCAGTTCTCAGCTCTTCGGGGACGAGGCCCTGGAAGCTCTTCATGCATTGCATCAACTCTTGCCGGGTTTTGTCAAACAGCGTCTCGTCTTCTGGTCTCCAGTTTGGAAGTGTAAGTGCCCGAAGAGCAGGCCGATGTCGTGGTCATGGCTAGACTAACCTCGTGTCAGAAAAGTAAGCCTCAATCCGGCGCATTTCCCTTTCGCGCTCGCGGGACTCTTGCTTTCTCTGCTCTATGAAATCCAGCCGAAGCTGGTCGAATTCTTCTGTATCCAACTCGGCTCTGCCTCTGATCTCCATCTCCCATGAAAACTGTTTCACGAGGACACCCGGCCCTGGCGCTCCTTCGGGATTTTCCATAGCTTCGGAAGGTGGAGGAACTCAGCTCTGACGAGGGAGAGAAATTGGCACTGGTAGACTGGGGAAAAGGCTACATTATGGACTGGCGAGGCAGAATCATGGAATGATGGTAAGCCTGAACGGAGGCAGCCAGCCGAACAAGCACCGTTGGCATCGAACGTGAAGAAGTAGATATACACAGCAGAGGGGTTCACAGGACTTCCTAGTCTAACAAATCTTGCATATGGTGTAGCCACCCCTGTATGTTGGGTGAACTCTCAATGGATGGAAATTTCCAGGTTGCGTACGAAGGATCAAGCTGACCCGCCCCCAGCCACATAGCTGCACATGCTCAGCCAACGCCAGGGTTATTACCAAGCTTTTGGTCCACAGCCTGCTTGTTAGGCATCATGTACTGTACCTACGTATGCATCAGCCATGGCTGAAAATGCTTTGGCGCCCCCCTCCGCGTTTTCGTTGTTCCATCTGGACAACGAGGCTCGCTTTTGACTTTTCAATTCAAGACCTCCGTCCATCCCAGGAGGTGCGTTTGTTTGATTCGGGATCCTCTACCTACCTCCGCAATAGAAGCAGTTGTCAGGCCGAAGATCCAAAGGTCTCTGGACACGCACGCCGAGCCAGGAGATCGCCGGCTCGATAACGAATATCGCCCTACAAGATCCGTACTCGCGCCCTCACCATGTCTGAGAACCAGACGACCGAGCATTCTGCTCAACCTGGTTCACAGACAGACGACTCGGGCTTGATCAAATATACAGTCGAGTATATGAGTCGTGTCTCGGAACAAACAGTCGCCAGCGAGGACTATAAAGGCGAAGCCAATGCTCTAGAGGAGCCCCCAGTAATGGAATATGTCGAGGTCCGGCTAACCAATGAGGCTATTGCCCCGGGTTCGGCAAATGGGGGAGCAGAGAAGAAGAAATACCATGAGCACAGCAAGGGTCATTCCTACATCAGGATTCTATCTCCGGCTGTGAATGAGGCTCTACGATGTGTGGTTGATTATTATCCGTCTGTACATCTGTCCGGCACGAACATCAAGGTCCTGGAGCCGTTTGAAATCTTGGTGTTTTACGAGCGGGAACTGACCGAGTACCGCAATCGCCTGGACAACGGTCCACCTGAAGAGGAATTGGGCCATTGCGCAAATCGCTACGCTAGCAAGCACATCGGTATCGTCCAGGACTTTGTCAGAAAACGAGTCCAGATAGATGTCGAAGCCGAGAGAGAGCGTCACTCGAGAGGATTCGCCACATTCGACATGCTCTGGCTTCTCTACAAACCCGGCTCGGACTGCTACTATGACGCGAGCGATATTGGCGAACACGAACCCTATGTGGTAAAGGACGTCAAACACTCCCTGGTCAACGGTGCTGCAAACTCGTACGAGTTAACGTGCTGGAACATTGACGGCACCTCGAGTTGGGTGGGAGCTTGCGAGGTCTCGAGTACCATCCAACGATTTGCTGGGGAGAAAGAGATTGTTTCGCTCTGTGCCTACCCATGCGAGTACCTGCGCTTCTCCAAGGACATCGCGGAGGGCGACCCCGAGAAAATCAAGGAGCACTTCACGAACCAAGGGAAGAAATGGTACGCACTCCGGCAGAAGAAGCATTGCTACGCCTTCGACGGGTTCACATATACCATCCCCAGGCGCATGGTAAGTATTGGGAATTCCTTCCAGCCGTCGAGGCAGCGGTCTGACAAATGCTTTCCCTGCCCAGTACACTGGCCTCGTCATGGTGGATCTCACGAACTATGCCTGGTGGATGAGTGGCGCTAAGACAGACGGATCCGGGTCATATGACCGAGTCACGTTGGAGGACGACGTAGCACACCCTTCGGCCCCGTTGAGGATTTGCTCCTGCAGTCGGTGCGAGAAGCTAATATACCAGCACGCGGTCAAGCCGAAATTTGCTGGCTACTCTTTGATCAACCCCCTGACTGTCGAGAGCCTGACCGACCACCAATACTTTCTGTGCGACCGCCTGGTCGAAGCCTTTGTGTTCAAGCTCAGGGCGTGGCGTAAGTATCAAGACCCGCCGTATCTTCGTTTTGCTTATAGCTTCCTTTCTGACATGTGGAAACGGGTGGAAGAACATCTCCATGTCTCCGGCTTTCGGGAGCCATCCTTCGACAAATCGCTCTTCGAGCACCTCGTCCTGAAGGACACCACGAAAGACATGATCAAAAGCCTAATCGAAGTCTATACTCGAGATAGTGACTTGCGGTCCGTCGTAGAGGAAAAACCGTTTATCAAGATCAGCGACGTTCACAAGGATGTCGGGACGGCACGAAAGGACAAGACGTGGTCTGCCGACTTCGTGCAGGGCAAAGGAGAGGGCCTGACAATTCTGCTTCACGGGAAGCCCGGCGTCGGCAAGACTTACACCGCAGGTCAGACATCACTGACTACCAGGCCGTACTCTGGCCCGATCCTACTAATAGCTCGAAACTGACATCCGACGCAGAATGCATTGCCGAGTACATGAAGCGCCCCTTACTTCCCCTGACGTGCTCGGATATCGGGGTTCAGCCCGACAAGATCGAAAACAGTCTCGTAAACTGGTTCAAGCTAGCCGAGAACTGGGGCGCCATCCTCCTCATCGACGAGGCGGACACGTACATGGAGGAGAGGCAGCCCCAGGACCTGACGCGCAACCACCTGGTGGCCGGGTTCCTGCGCGCGCTCGAGTACTTCAAGGGAATCATCTTCCTGACGACCAACCGCGTCGGCACCTTCGACGAGGCCTTCATCTCGCGCATCCACGTGCCCATCTACTACCCCCCGTTCCAGGACGAGGAGCGCATCAGGGTGTGGGACACCTTCTTCGAGAAGCTGGAGCAGGACCGCGAGACGACGATGCGCATCCTCCAGTCGACAAAGGACTACACGCAGTCCCAGGAGCTTCAGTCGCTGAACTGGAACGGCAGAGAGATCAGAAACGGTACGTAGGCTATCTATCCCGGGAAACCAATACCATAATGGCCCAGGCCCTGATTAGCTGACGTATTATTCCTCTTTCGAAAATTCTAGCTTTTCAAGTCGCTGTTGCTCTTGCGGAAGCTCAGGGTCACAAGGACAGCAACGGCCGCGTTCTCGTCAAGCCGGACCATATCAAGGCCACGGTGCACATGTCGAGGGACTTCAAGGACTACCTGGTCCATGTTCACCGGTACGGCCCGGACAAGAAGGCGGCGATCATGGGCACTAGGTTCGATGCGTACGGGAAGGCCGACAAGGGTAAGGAGCCCTCTGTGGAGAAATACTGAGTAACAACGACTCTGGTGGATGCGTTCCTGCCGCTACAGTGAGTGTGATCTCACTAGGTGTGTTAGGTATCTGCCTCGTACCTCTATCCTTCGTGCGGGTACACGACTGGATAATTTCTACAACGTGGACAGCCAAACTCCTCAGCTTCTCCCTTTTTGTGGGATCTCATTTATAGCTTCCCCAGTCCAAAGGCGGTTGAATCTAGTGCTCCTCGTCGCCTTCATTATAAACTCACGAGTGTAGGTCTATAGCCTGGATATTTAAAGGCAACCCACCCACACACTTCCTAGTCCTCGGGATTCCGAAGGGTGGTTTCCTCACTAGTTGACAAGCTGAAGCCTCAAAACACCTCCCCGAACGCGCACATATAAACGCTGCGAGGTCTCCCAAAACAAGACGCCCGATCATCAGAACCTCTAATTAGCCCTTGTACTGTACTACCCATAAACCCTTTCCAAAACTTGTGTCGACCGGCCATATTTCTTACCGGCTAAACCACTTCCGCTCCAGCCACCGCAGCGGGACATACAACCCCGCGCTCAGAACAAACGCCACCTCGAACCCGATATCGCCCGTCGTCCTGGCGATCGGCCCCGTCCACCACACCTGGTCCATGCATGGCACCACGAGCGCGAAGCTGAGGACCGCCGACGCGACTGCGGCGACGCCGACGGGCAGCAGGCGGGCGTCATCCCAGGCGGCGACCGCATACGCGGCGGCGTCCCCCCGCCGGAAGACAAAGTGCTCTGCGCCGAAGACGCCGACGAAGGCGGCCGACCAGTAGCCGATGAGCGACACGAGGTTCTCGAGATTGTCGAAGAAGTCGGCGGCGGCGCGGATGGCCACGGGGACGACGACGGCGGTGACGACGATGGAGAAGACGTAGCGGGGCACGCGCGCCAAGCCCGGCACGAGCGTCTGGAAGTTGAGCGTGATGGCGTACATGGTGCAGGCCACGTTGCCCAGGAGCGTCAGCGCCAGCACCACGACGGCGAACCGCCCGAAGCCGCCGGCCGGCTCGAGCATGGCAGCGAGCACGCCGCCCACCATGTTGGCGTCGTAGGCGTCGCTCCAGGCCGGCACCGAGGCCACGGCGCCGCCGATGGCGGCGCCCAGGGTCATGAGCAGGACGGTGGGGATCACGACGCCGAGGTAGCCGTAGGCGAAGATGCGGCGGGTCGGGGCCGACGGGTGGAAGTAGGTGGTGAAGTCGGAGGCCAGGCAGGCCCAGGGGATCATGTAGGAGGCGACGATCATGCCGAAGGAGAGCACGGCGGGGGCCGAGGCCGGGGCGGCGGGGACGGCCTGGTGCCGGAGCTGGGGCCCGCCGCAGCCTGTGGCGACGGCGAGCATGAGCAGGGACGGTGCCCAGGCGACGGTCTCGTACCAGTGCAGGACCTTGAAGCCGAAGAAGGAGATGGTCATGCCGCACAGGGCGACGATGACGATGCCCACGTCCGGGCTGACGCTGCCGTTTACGGCCGCGATGCACTGGCCCCCCACGACGCAGATGATGACGGTGAAGCCGGTCAGCGTCGCGAGGTTGCAGAGGACGGGGATGGAGACGAGATATCGCCTGCTGGGTGTCAGCCGAGGGGCACGGTGATGGGGACGGCGGTTGAGAGGGGAGGTCGCTCACCCGAAGCTATATCTCGCCTGTATCATCTGCCTCATGCCTGTCTTTGGCCCGAGGGTGCCAAGGTATGCAGGTGCAAGTGAGGAAAGGAGGGTGAAGAAGAGAATGACGAGTGACGCGTCCCGCAGGCTTAGGCCGTATACCAGTGTCCCAAGCATGCCAAATGTGACGCTGGCCATTGCTGTCAGTTACTGCCGTTGTAAGGGGGCGCAATACAAAAAAGACTCACGCGAGGATGTTGGTGTTCGCCGACAGCCATATCGTGAAGACATTGAAGAAGCGGGTAGAGGTGCGCTCCTCTGGAGGCACAGGGACGATACCACGACCCTCAACGCGACCCTTGGCGAGAATTCGATAGAAGAGATTGGTTGAGCTGGCGTCACTCGGCGGTCCCTTTTGTAACGTCTCTTCTAAGACGGGCACCTGCTTCTCAACATCCCCATCGGCAGGCCGCGGCCTTGTGGCCTCATCGGATGAAAAGTCTTCTACCATGGTCGAAAATTGGGGGTTGAGCCACTCCCTCGTCCACGGGCTGTTTAAACACTCTCAAATACCTCAGAGCTCGAGAGACCCGCTGGTCAGGTAATCGCCAAGGTGGTGCTTACTGAGAGAAGAAGAAAAAAATGAGCACGTACGTGGGGCCCGCCGAATTACAAGCGACGAAAATTTGATCGGGGAAAACTGGGGTACGTACCGGACCCGACGCCGCTGAGGTGCCCTTATTAAACCGGGTCGGGCCGGTGACCACCACCCCTTTTTGGCATGACGCTAGGTCGTCAATGACTGGCATTTTGCTCCGCTGTCGGACCGCTGACTCGCCGGACGCCAAGTAAAATCTTGCTCTAACATTGGCCTCAAGATCCCGCCCGGAAGGTGAAAAGGCCGAATTTGTCACTGTTTGCGTTAATCTCAGCCCAGCACTGTTGACCCGGTAATACCCGCGGACATGTATATTCTCGACGGTGATTTGACTAGGTGACCTTCCACTAATACGTGTCTCATTGCATTTGTCATAAATGCCCGGCCTCGCTCTGAACCATCTGCAACTTCTCCGGGCCCACAACAGTTGGACAGTTCGAAATAAAGGTGATCGAAGTGCATGGAGGTGAGAAGATATTGACCCCAGCGTCATATTGGCCTGGGGAGTCACAAACCTCTCAGTTGCTGTTAGGACGCCAGAGATTGAGTTTGGCGGTCAAACGAACTGAACTCGAGCAACTAGATCATCAGTAGCACGATTCACGTGCGGCCTGGCTTCAGTAATGATAGCCGTGGCCGATTCGTGCTATTGGGTATCCTCTATTTATCTATAGCTGCCACCGTAGTAGAGACCCAAGCACAGCCAACTCAAACCCCAGGACAGCATTTATATAGGTATCTGCTTCTAATTGATTTACGTAATATACGTTGGACGGGGTCCAAGCAATACTCAGTAAAAATACACAATCTGGCGTGATAATTACCCGCTGCCAGTTACCCAGAGACAGTGGGCAAACATAGGGACAGTAGGCGAAAAAAAGGGACAGTAGGTGGCAGTGGGCGAAAAAGGGGACAGTGGGAGAACAAATCTGGGGACAGTGGGAGAACAAATCTGGGGACAGTGGGAGAACAAATCTGGGGACAGCAGGAGAACAAAGTGACAGTGGTCGAATAATTCCAGGGCTGCTTCTATTGTTCGTACTATGGTAGAGTTGTCTCGTTTGACACAAAATGCTAGAATACCTACTACACTACGTCGTCTGCAGTCAGGATTCATGGATCGCTTCCAAGGGCCCCGCTAAATGGAATGGAACCTCGAAGTCGCTTCACCGGCCGCAGCCCCCAGAATGCCAAAACGGGAGGATGGATTAGGTAACATGGATGGCACCACCTATAACCCGGACACCAAGCTCGCCTCCATCCAGCCCGGTGGCCACTGGCAGACCGTCTACGACACGCTTGCTCCCCACGGTGTTGTTGTCACAGGTGGCCGCGCTGGCACCGTTGGCACTGGTGGGTTCATCACGGGAGGCGGCAACTCCTTCCACTCGGCCTCGCACGGCATGGCGTGCGACAACGTCGCCAACTTCGAGGTCGTCCTCGGTGACGGCAGTATCGTCAACGCCAACAGCACCCACAACGCCGATCTCTGGCAGGCCATGAAGGGCAGCTCGGCCAACCTCGGGCTCGTCACCCGCTTCGACATGTACGCCATCGACTTCCCCGACGCGCAGAACCCCCGTCATCTGGGGCGGCAACCTCATCTACGACCTGTCGGCCGGCCCCGCCGTCGTCGACGCCATGGTCGAGTTCGCCGACAACGTCCACAAGGACGAGAACAGCTCCTCCATCATCTACTGGGCATACATCCCCGCCATCGAGGACACCCTTGCCACAGTGGCGCCCCCGGCTTTTTGACCCTTACTACGCTGCGGGTAACATCGCTGCCGACACCACCAAGATTGACCTGATGTCCTCAGTTGCCAATAAGCTTGGCTCTGGCCAGCCGGCTGGTTTCCGGTATATCTTACCGTTTGCATACTAATTATTGTCTCCTCACCCCGCGACCCCCTGCTAATCCCCTGATATATAGCAACGTCTGGTTCACCGCATCATTCAAAAACAACTCCAACGTCATGAATTACGCCGTAGACAAATTCTACGCCCTCAACGCCGAGCTCGAGGACCTCCTCACGGCCGAGTCCGGCTTCAACACGCTCTGCATGTTCCAGCCCATCTCCAAGTCCATCGTGGACAAGGGCGTCCGCAACGGCGGCAACATCTTCGGGTTGGAGCGCTACACCTCGGGCGGCAGCAACGGCATGCTGTTCCTCGCCACGCTGGCCATCAGCGGCGCCGACCAGGAGGCCCTCGCCCTCCCGCTGATGCGCGACTACACCGCCGATGTCGAGGCCTTTGCGAGGGCGGAGGGCGTGTACTGGGACTGGAAGTTCCCAAACTACGCGCACAGCAACCAGGACCCCGTCGCTAGCTTTGGCGTCGAGAATGTCGCGAAGCTGAGGGCTGCGTCGGCCGCGTATGGCCCGCTGGGCGTGTTCCAGAGGCTCCGCACCACGGGCTTCCATATCCCCGAGTGAGGACGGGAAGGGATGGATGGTGCGCGTGGGATTGGGCCTGGGGCTGCTCTGGATAGACTTGTTTTTAGTTCCACCTCCCCCTTTTTTTATATCGTGTCCATTTTGGTTGATGTCTGCTGGTAGGAACGAATTGGCTTGGATAACGACATTGATGAGAAGAAAAAAAGGTTGTGGGTATGTCATGACTTCTAGACTGGACTAGACTTTTGATTTCCCTCACATAAACAATTAGTTGATAGAAAGAGTTAATATCATAACACTCGCCCTCGCCCAGTGTCTTCTCTTGTGAGAGCTAGTCTGTCTCCGTGTTCTTCCCTTGTTGCAATGGTGTACGAATAGGGAGAGTGACATCGGGCGCGATCTGGGTACACGCCCGTTGTCGACATGGGGCAGATGCACGCGAAGAAGCACTTTTGAATCTCCTTCTTGGCCAGCAGTCCTTTTGTCGTTCGGTCGTCAACAACGGGGAGGGTTCTTGAAACGGATGGTTTCCGGTGTGCCTAGGGTGGGGGTGGGTTGAGAAGTGGTACTAACGGGGCCTTGTTGCGCTTTAGCTCTTTCGCTGCGTCCCGACGCGAAGTGTGTTTGCCGAGGTCATTAGGGCCCCCACCGAGATGACAAGTGCGGTGAGGGATCGTCCCCTTGCTACTACGCAGTACTGTAGTCCCGGAATGCGCGCTCGGGAGTTGTCTTTGGTTGCGGGCTCCGCGGAAGGAGGCTAATTAGCGGGGAGGAAGAGCCTAAGACGCCATACTAGGCTCTAGCTTAGAAGGATTTACAGAAAATGGAAGCCAAGCATTCCAATGACTACCCCTGAGAGTCGAATGATTTCTGCATGAGTGGGCATATACAGACATGGTTACCCCAAGTGATCCTGACAACAACATCCATAGGTAGTCTTCACCACATCTGTGGGTTCACGTGACCCATCGGGTATGGTGGAACTTCAACTCCGTGTTCGGAAAGGGGATACATCCTAGTCAACTAGGTATGGAACTTCTTTCGCCATTGATTGTCGTCTCCTCCACAAGGTGGCTCCACCTGTCATGACCGGGATCCTTCCCGTGATGGGTTGGGGAATGAGCAGCCCTTGTCGTGCATGTTGTTCATCTCACTCTTCAGTTGGTCAAATGACTGAGGTGACACAGGCTTGACAGGGTCTGACCAGGCACGGGCCACCCCCGATCGACGAAAGAACCCGGAAATATGAATCCTTCGTTCCACCATCAAGGGGCTGCAACCGTGCTTCTTCAGAGGCAATATCAAGGGCCATATCCCGAATGGAGAGACGCTCTGGATCCGGCGGCGTTATTAAGATCTTGGATGCCGGCATCCAATTCCCTGCTTTGGCTGGCAGTAATTTCTTCCAATTTCCAATGTGGCACACCGTAGAAGCTCCGTTGTTTGATGCCTCGTCGTCGTTGGCTGCGGCAACTTAGATCTTCAAATCAGCCGAATCTCCTGTTTGAGATATAGGGCAACCACAAATAGCATCCTTTCATAGCCCGTGGTCAGATATGATCGCCTCAGCCCCAAGTTGCACAAAGCAAGCCCGTGCCAGTCCCAAAAGTAAAGATCATCTGGCATATCCGGGCTGGCTCGCGATCTGAAACCCACGACGTTTGATCTCCCATTGCAGTCTGCTGCCTGGCATCCAATGATAGCGCCAACCATTGGACACCGCATTAACTGGACAACGTTGGACAGGTCGCACAGCCGGGTGCCCCATGCTTGATTAAACTCACGACGGCCAGAAGCGCGGAGGGCTTCATCCCAACTTTCTTTCATTCTTGTGTTATTCACGTCCGCCAATTTCTTCGTCACGCCGGCTTGTCTTTTTTTTTTTTTTTGACTCTCGCCGGTCCTTTTTTTTCGTTCTACCCTTTCTCAACTGTCGCTTCGATTCTCTTGCCACCGTGTTGAACATGATTTGCAATCTCCTCTTTTCTTTGGTTCTGGTGTCGCTGGCGAGCGCAAGAGTGCAGTTCTTGGTAAGTTGACACCCCAAACCGTTTACCCGGTTGTATAAAGGACACCTTCTAACTGTTGCAGGGAGTGAGCATTGCGGGAGGAGACTTTGGATGCGAGATTGATGTGAGCATGCCCTCGACGGGACCGGGGAGGAAATGGTTGGATACCGTTCCCCTGCTAATACCTTCGATTCTGAAAGGGATCCTGCCCTACTGGCTCAACTCAGCTTCCTCTGAGCAGTCTGGGTGGGGGCGATGGGGAAGGCCAGATGAAACATTTTGTCCAGGATGACAACATGAACATGTTCCGCCTGCGTTCGTAACCCCTGGCCCCCGAGCTAGACCATCCAATGCTGACACACTGCCCAGCCATATCATGGCAGTTCCTGGTCAACAACAAGCTTGGCGCCGACCTCGACGCCGGCAACATGGGCAAGTACGACCAGCTCGTGCAGGCCTGCCTCGCCACAGGCGCGCACTGCATGATCGACATCCACAACTTCGCCCGCTGGGACGGCAGCATCATCGGGCAAGGCGGCCCGACAGACGAGCAATTCGCCCGCCTCTGGTCGCAGCTGGCGACGCGGTACGCCTCCTCGGACCGCGTCGTCTTCGAGCTGATGAACGAGCCGCACGACCTCGACGTGGCCATCTGGGCCCGCACCTGCCAGGCCGCCGTGACGGCGATCCGCGCCGCCGGCGCCACCGCCCAGATGATCCTCCTGCCTGGCAGCAACTTCGACAGCGCCGCGACGCTGACCGACCCGGTCGAGGGCGGCGCCGCGGCGCTGATGGCCGTCACGAACCCGGACGGCGGCACCGACGGCCTGCTGCTCGACATCCACAAGTACCTGGACGTCGACAACTCGGGCACCCACGCCGAGTGCGTCACCGACAACGTGGCCGCGCTCGCAGGCGTCGCCGACTTCCTGCGCCGGGCGGGCCGCAAGGGCCTGGTGAGCGAGACGGGGGCGTCGTCGGACGCGACGTGCGTCAAGGCGTTCTGCGCGCAGAACGCCTTCGTCAACGCCAACTCGGACGTCTTCGTCGGGCTCGTGGCCTGGGCGGCGGGGGGGTTTGACGGCTCGTACCTGCTCAGCCTGACGCCGAGCAGGGGCCAGGGCGGCGGGTTCGTCGACAACCAGCTGGCGGCACAGTGCGTGGTCAAGACGTGGCTGGACTCGAACGAGACGGTGTCGGTGCCGGTGCCAGTGCCGACGGCGACGACGGCGAGGGGGACGGGGACGAAGACGGGAACGAGGACGGCGACGGGGACGAGGAGGGTGACTATGACGGAGGCGCCGACGGGCTCGACGGTCATGATTGTTACCATGACAGGTACGGCGCTGAACGACGAGCCCACCACGCTGTTGATGGATCCGGGTGCTCCGACTTTGCCCCTGGACTCATCACCACCGGCTCCAGGGCTGACGACTTCAATAGGGACTGGTGCATCGCCAAGTGAAACGGTGGTAGCAAACTGGGTAGGGCGCATGCAGGTGCCGGGGGCATTGTTGGTGTTTGTTTTACTAGGCATGGCTGCTTTGGCCTAGGAGTTGTCAGTGAGACGAAATGATACCCTTGCATTGTTTGACAGTGGTTAAGCCCCATGGTGCAAGCGAAGTGTCCGGTTGAGAAGAGAGTAGCAGCGGTAGACGAAGGAGGGAAGGAAGGAGAAGCTGTCTTGATATTAGAAGGGTGGTCCTGTGAGTCGACCCTGCTACGACTATTATTTATTAAAATGCTTTCGTCAGAAGCACATGTCAGGCGTCAACGTTGCGACAGTGAAAATAAATCATGTAATTGAGCACAGATAACACAGATGAGGCAAAAGACCTGAAAGGAAATTAGTCCAGGATTATCGAAATTGTGATGTTGAGGAACTTGATCCTGGGATCAATTAAGCTATGGTTGAAAGGTGATGAACCAGGGGGATTGCTTGATGTTTCCAAAAGAGTGCCCAGGTTAGTTGCAGAGAAGCCAAAATTTAGACAGTAAAATCCTAGAGATAGATTCAGAATCTAGTCTCGATAAAGTGGCTTACGTGCTGGTGTTGTTTTCATATCCCCGTTTTCATAATATTTAACTTGATGGCGGATATTGTATACTTTTGGGGTGGAAGGGAGTGTCACGGCCTCTTCCTAGTTCGCTATTACTGTCCATACAACAAGCCAACGGAGCCCTCATTCATATAAGTAGGTACGTTGGCTTGCAATAGATAACATGCTTTTATGAGTCGAACACGTGGGTGGCACCCTAATAGACCCCAGGGCATCGATGATGACGCCGTGACCGGTAGTATGGTGGATCTTCATCAGGACGCCTCTTTACATTCATGGAGAACCTAGGCAACTAAAGTTCCGACAACAGAGACGGCGAGACGGTGCGATCACTTGCACAGCGGGATGCCGAGTTCGTAGCCGTCTTTCAAGGTGGGGGGGCATACAACAGACGACTGTCCATCGAAGTAGAATTATTCGTCCGCCCGCCACCTCACCGTCCAAGATTCCCAACCACGCTCCCCACCATGACGGCAACCTCCCTATCCCACGCCCCAGCCTTGTCCGCCGCCCCATCGCCGATTCTCCCCTTCCCCTTCGCGCCGACAGCGACCGAGCTCGGCAGATGACTGCCCCTCGCCACACACTCCCGGATCGCCTCCCCGATGCCGCTCTTGTTCGCCCTCAGCGCCCTCGCCGAGGCCCCGCCCCGGCCGACAATCTCCTGCACCCTCGGGGCCAGGCTGCCGGCCAGGGTCCGCCAGAAGTACGAAGCCAGGGACCCCGTCTCGAGGTACGCCAGCAGCGGCTGCAGCAGGTTGTTGTCCCCCTTATCCGGCAGCAGCAGGTGCGCCGGCGGCCGGGCACCCTCCAGCACGGCCTCGAGGGCGACGACGTTCTGGCAGCGGGCGGCGACCTCGGCGAGGGCGCGGTCGAGGGCGGGTAGTGCGGCGAGGGCGCGTGCGAGGCTGGCAATGCTGCTCTGCAGGGCGGTGCGCAGGTACAACTCCAGGGCGTGTAGCATGAGGGTCGGCGACCACCGGGTGCGGGGTTCGCTCTTCCCCGCGGCGGGGTTGGGGCCGGCGGGCGAGAGCATATAGAGCGCGTGCAGGGCTGAGACTGTGCGGGCGCGCGTCTCATCCGCCTGTGAGAAGGTGGCGGCGGCCCCCGACGCCGTGCCGATGGAGAACTCGCGCACGATGCGCTCGGCGCCCTCGCGGACGGACCGCTCCGTTGGCTCCACGTAGCCGGATTGTAGGGTGCGAACGGCGGCGATGCGGTCGAGCCCAAAGCCCTCGGCGCCGGGGACGGTGGCGTTGGAAAGCATCTCACGGAGGGACAGGAGGGTGTCGGCGCACCTGACGAGGGCGCGGTGGTTCACTCGCCTGGGGACGCCGCTGGGGGTCGCTGATGTGGATGACAGCGCTGACGGGGACCCGATCAGCTCGGCATGCTGAATCTCCAGCTGGCGGCCTAGCTGGAGGCACCGCCCAACGGCCCTCCCGAGCCTCAGCGTCTCCCACAGGCGTGAAGCCACCTGGCGGACTTGCTCGGCTTCGGCATGTTTCTGTATTACCTCCCCCTCGAGCTGCTTGTAGCTGTCGTTCAGAGCCTTGATCTGGCCATCGAGTTCACCCACTATCCTCGTGCTCGAGTCTGTCTGTTCCTTGGTGTGTGTGAGGAGAGGTACGGCCGAGCGCGTGGTGAGGAGGTCAATGTGCGAGTCGATTTCCTGGATGTCGAAAAGTACCCTGGACAGGGGTGTTGAAAGGTCTAGCGGGGCATCGTTTGGGTTGTTGGTGGAAAGAACGAGGGTATTCGCGAAGGATGAGGCGCTGAAATCCGGCGACAAAAAGGTCTCGTAGTCGATATACGACGGTTCATCGTCCTCCTTGGGGGTCGACATGTTGTGGGGGATTGAGCTGGAAGCTAAAAGTGGATTGCAGTTCGAGGTCGGCAGTAATACCCGGAAGCCACATTTTCGGCCCGTGCGTTGACGCGCCTCCCGTTGTGCAGGGGTCCCCCGCTCTATGGGTGTGGCTTCCGATGCAGCCGGGTGAGGCATTACATCAGAGGAAGCTGCGAATGTGCGGATGTATGTTCATGTTTGATGCGGCATGCAGGCTGAAGCGCCAATCTGTCAGGTCTATGCTATCTCATCTGGTCATTCATCTGTCTCTAGAGATAATAATCCGTAATCAAGAGAATAAAAACACTATTAGGGATTCAAGTGAGCCAACATTCCGGGAACTTCCCCAGCCACCAATTGGTATTCCCGAGCCCGTAATCCGTGTTTGCATATTCTTTGGTTCCCCACGCTGAGCGATAAAAAATTTACGAATCAGCCCGGGACTTCCGCCTCCCCACCCAGCCGGATTCGCCTCGCGCGAGGATCTTATATCAATCATATCAATTCAAGTTTGGTAGGCCCAACCTTGGCTTCCCTCGCAACCACTTTATTGCGCAAACCCAATTCCTCTTGCAGGGCGCATTCTAAAGTTTCCCCGCGACCTCACGCTTTCGTCGCGAACCCGGGATGTCCTAGGATCTACCCGACATCCGCGTCTTGTCGCCCTTCCCCCATCAAACCTCGCAAAGATGCTCTTCGACGCTCGCGGACTCATCGCCTTCCCCGGCGGCGACAACAGCAGCGACACGGTCATCGGCGGCGTACACTTCAACTTGACGAGCCTCGACCACTGGAACTACACGCTCTACTCCAACGGCACCCTGTCCAACGGCTCGAAGTGCATCCTCACCTTCAGCCCCTACACGCCGACCTTCCTGTTCTCGAACGGCACTTTCCTCAATGTTACGTCGTGCTACAAGCCGGTCAATCCCATCGGCACGCGCGCCGGCGTCGGCGTCGGCTTCGCCGTGGCCTTTGGCCTGGCCCTGATCCTGACCCTCGTCAACCTCGCGAAGCACGGGAAGCGGTACCTGCCCGCCGAGAAGCGCTTCCACCCACTCGGCCGCCGCTGGCAATGGTACTGGGCCATCTTCGTGTCGGCGACGGCCTTCATCAGCCTCATCACCAACGTCGACGTCGACAGATACTACCTGCCCGAGATTCCCATCGTGCTCAACGTCTTCTTCTGGTATCTCATGCAGCAGGGCGCCATGGCCGTCGTGTGGGAGGCCGTCCGGCACTGGGGGAGTTGGATGGAGAGGCAGATCGTCGACCCGAACCCGTTCGAGCTCAAGCAGGATGACAAGCGCTCTCGCTTCGAGTTCTACATACCGCTGTTCTTCTACTTCTGGCTGTGGCTGGTATGCGATTCCCCCCTCTTGGCCCCGACCTACCTCAATTAGACAGTAAAGTAGTATCACTGCTAACCAGAAGCCTTTCTCTCGCTTTAGAACTTCTTCCTCATCATCCCCCGCAGCTGGACAAAGATCGAGCACCAGCGCTACCCGGAGCAGATCCTCGACGTGGCCAAACCAGCCGCCACCGACGGGCGCTTCAAGGCCGCGGCCTTCTGCCTCGTCGTCTGCTGGCTCACCATCGCCGCCTCCCTCCGCCACAGCATCAAGCACTACCGCCCGCGCAACCGCGGCTTCCTCAACCGCCTCGCCGGCCTGGCCCGCTACACCCCTCCCCGCTTCCTCATCCTCCTCCCGCTCGCCCTCTGCGTCGCCGCCTACCAGGTCATAACCTCCTTCTCCTTCCCCAACAGCCCCCTCAACATCAGGCCCAACCTCGCCGCCATGTACGCGGGCGGCTACGCGCCCGCCCTGCTCATCATCCTCGCCAACGGCGTCTGGGGCTTCGTCTCCCCCAACGAGGACCGCGAGCTGGCCCGCCAGCGCCGCGCCCGCGGCGCCGAGCTCGACGCCGAGCTGGGCGTCGTCCACAAGCCCGCCTGGTGGCGCCGCCTCAACCCGGACTTCGTCGCCGCCAACGACTCGGGCGTCGGCATGCGCGACCGCATCGCCCGCAACGTCCGCGAGCTTGGCGGCGGCCGCGCCACCGCCCGGAACATCGACAGGCGCGTCCAGCTGGGCGCCTCGCTGAACTCGGCCGATCTACTTCGGCAGGAACAAGGCGGCGGCGATGCGGTCGAGATGTCTAGCCTCCGCCGCACCGGCTCGGTCCGCTCCACCGTCGGCACGCCCGCCGCCGACCTGTACGGCGGCAAGTCGGACCGCCGCCGGACGGAGCGCACGATGCAGCTCGCGGCGGGCCTGCTCTTCCCCGACGCCGAGGGGCCGCCGCCGTACCGCAGCGGGCCGCCGTCGGTGACGGAGGGCGGCGGCGACGGCATCGGCAGGGGCAGGGCTGGGCCCGAGTCCGCGGCCGGGGGTCAGAGGCCGTCGACGCCCGGGCGGAGCAATAGTACTGGGACGACCAACTCGATCACGGCTGCGCCGCAGCAGGTGAGGAGCATGTTGGACATTTGAGGAGGTTAGGTCGGGGTGGGGAGTGTTTTTTTGCTCTTTTTGGAGGGCGCGATATATGCTGCTTGGAGACTCAGGGATATGGTACGGGGCCAGCCAACCCTCATCACCATCCTGCTTCAAGATAAGTATGCTACACGGGACGGGACGGGGTTCAGGGCTCATTCATTCATTCACTTTGGAAATATCGGATCGGTGTACATAGCGGCGTTTGGCGGAGCGCCGGTTGGTTGGGGTGTGTGGCAAGGCGAAAAAGGGCAAGTACGTACGCACGGGTGGGTGGGCGTTTCGTGAGAATTCCATGTGTATATAGATAGGTATTCATGTATAGACACCACTGCATAAGAAATACGATGAATTGTCGTCTAATGTCTCGTGTCTCGACTTATTGTCGAACCAAGCTGATCCCAGCCCCGGCCAACGGAGGCCAAGCACGCGCCGAAGCGAATGCAGGGGAACCAGTTCCCACAGGGTATAAAAGCCAAGGCAGTCCCGTCCACCCCAACGAACGAACGAACGAACCAACCAACCAACCAACCAACCAACCAACCAACCGACCGACCCGACCGACCGACCATCCATGCTAATCAGATATCCTCCCTTCCAAGCCCCCAGCATGGTCATTTCGTATCACATCTGCGCCATTAAGTCGTTCCCGACGGGGTTATCTCTCGATGGGGTTCCCTGCCAAAATCAAACGACCAACAACAAAAAGAGAGGTAAAGAGATCAACGAGAGTACCCCGCAGGCACTGTAGGTGTTGGGAATGGTGTTTCTCCAGCCCATAATGAGTCCCTCGCGTCGTTCTGTGACCTTGTCCAAGTTTCCCATCCCGTGACTTTGTGCACACCCTGTCTCTAAAGTGAGTTGGGTATCCCGTCCGTAGCCTCCAACCGTCGCGCCAGAAAATCTCAAAGTGATGATAAGTAAGGGGAAAGGGGTCATAACGTGGCGTAACTTGTGCTTGGAGAGGAAATATCAATAAACCAGAGTCAAACCGGGAATCCCTCTAAGGCCACGTGGAAAATCGTCAACTGGGTTCCAACTGCGCCAGTGTAAAAAAAAAAATAAGAAATACCAAAATACCGAACGGGAGTCTCGCGACGAAGACGACATCTGAAAGTGTGGAGAACGAGCGAGGAAAGATGTTGAGGGAACCGGCCTTGATGAGCCGAGATGCAGCGAGCGATGATTCTTCGTTATCATGCAGTGAGTGTAGAATGGTGGTTAGAAGACTGGTATCTCTTGCGTGAATATGCCAATATGCCAACCGTCCATGGTGTAAAGCCAATTTCGTATCCGATATCCAAACGCCTTGCCGGAACCGAAGCCAGAGAGTCAAGAAAAAGTAGGCTAACGTGGCTAATGCGGTCCAAGGACCTGAGCATCTATGTCGGAAATAGCGATCGTGTGGTGTATCATGCGCAAAAGGCCGGTGACGGGCCAACAATTCATGGGTAGTATCCATTCTTCCTTTCAGGACCGATCCTGATACTTATTGTTCTGGTAGATCTCCGTCCTGGTACTAACAGGCAGTTGCTGTCGATCCCTCACTCGTTGCAACAGCGACCAGAGCCTCAAGTCGCCTCAGAGAATTGGGGTCGCCGCTCGAGTGTCCCTGGCCCGCGGTGGGGCCAGCAGCATGCTGGTGGATGACGGGTTGATGATGGTCTCGCCCGGGAAATCCCTGGAATCCGCTCACGTTAGGGTGGATAATCCGGTCAACGTGCGGCCGGCCTTCCGGGATTGTCTCCCCAGCCGGGCGGACGGCCACGGGCCCGTGGTACCAGCCACGCCTTTTGAGCTCCCTAGGGGTGTTGATCAACGGCGCAGACATTGTGTGGTGGTGTCGGCGGCTGGTCATGGGAGGACCATCCTGAGGGACCTGGACAGTCTTCACGTCGGCATTAAACCGAACAGTAGGCTGGCCGGAATTCGATCGGTTTTGCTCTCCCTGGGCGAGGACGGCCTGGCTGGTCTCACTCGCCCATGAGCCGGCGCTGTCCCGCGGCGGAGTGTTGAGGTCGAGTCTCGTCAGGCCCCGATGGAGACCCATGTCCCAGTGAGCAGTAACATTCCGACGGTCCTCGGAAGCCGCCTCGGCAGACGGAAGTAGGGTAGGCCGGCTCGGGGACTCGGAATCGATCATCATCGGGGACGGGATGCGTCTCGGCGGCGTGAGGGGATGATGCTGGGGGATCGGGTCAAAGGATTCGATGCCTGGGAGGCGCACAGACTGGTGGGACTGTTGAGCCGGATTCGCTATGGGCAGGGGCACCGGCGAAGGCGTGAGCTGGGACGGAGTGATGACCTGGTTCAACCGGCTCCCGCCAGTGAATTCGCGGCTGTCGGGATGCCATGTTCGGCGGCGCCAGGCTTCGTCTGCTGTGCTCGAAATGGACTCTCGCCTAGACCAACTGGCATTGGAAGTGGTAGGTGACGATAGAAGGCCGCTGTTATCTGTCGAGAACCCTCCAGCACCGGGCGAGTTGATCATGCCAGGTCCAAAGCCAGGTCTGCCAACGTTGATACCGTGTGGAGAATGGAATGGGTTGCTGCCCGAGGGTACACTCAGCCGTCGCCCAGGTGTCCTAGACCCAGCATACATGCTATGGGATCGTGAGTGTGACGAGATCGGGGAGGCGACACCAGAACCCCACCTGGGACTGCTCTGCTCTGTTGAGAAGGTCGCCGAAATAGGAGTGCTCCAGTCGCTCGGGGAGGGTTGGCGGTAGAACTGGGGGTCCACCGAGGTCCGATAGGGGTCGAGCGGCATCCGAGAGCGCGGGTCGGCCATGACTAGTGGGGGCGGCCGTCTTCGAGCCTCGATGGTACTGTAGTTGGAGCTGATGGAGGAAGCACTGGTGATACTGGATGTGGACAGCGACTTGGAGTGGCCGCGGCCAGTAGATCCGATACTGCCGGCCGTCGATGCTCTTGCCCTCCCGCCTACCTGGCGCACTCTGTCGGTCCTAATCTGTCTCTGAAATCTTGTTCCCGTCGCAGCGAGCGAGTCGTTGGGTATGTCCTCGTTTACATGGACTGTCTGGGCGTGCTGTCGCAAGTTGTCGAGCCGTGAGAATCTTCGAGAGCAATGGCATTGGAAAGGGCGTTCGCCCGTGTGTTTCCTGGTGGGCGGGACCATGTCAGCATTCCCAAGAGCCTCACAGCGAGTTAGTCACCTCGAATAAAACAAACATACCTGATGTGTCTGGCCAGGTGCTCACTTCTAGTGAAGCTCAAATTGCAAGGCGGGTAATCGGTGCAATAAAAGCGCTGTGACTTCTTCTTTTTATTCGATCTTGAGCCGTCGGCGTTCACGCTCTCGCCATCAGAAGCCCCATCCTCACCATTCGCGCCTTCGCCGTCCGACTCATCCATATCCACATCTTCGGAATCTCTCGACTTTGCCGAATGTTGCGAGTTCTCCCGCCTCGGGGAGTCCTTATCGGCCGACTCCGGGAGCTGCACCGAGTCGGGGAACGGTGATGTAGGCAAGGGTTTTTGCCACGACATGGCGTGTCCGTTAAAGCTCGCTCGCGTCGGAGTCGTCGCATCGTCGACAGCATCGCGTTGCTGCTGGGGTCGGGGAGTTGTGCCGGGTGTTGGTGTTGTCGGCTGAACCATCCTCGTTTCCGCGCTCTCCTCCCTCACCAGCCCCGGCGACAAGGGCGTGTTGACGGGTCGAAAGGACGAAGTCATCATGCTGGGCTAGCGCGGGGGGAGTTGGAGAGACGGGGAAAGATGCGAAAGAGGGGTACGGGGGTGTGAGAGCCTTAAGTAGCGACACAGGGCTCTGCCTGATGAGGCTGAGACGACCAAGGCCGCGGCAGGGGTAAAATGCGGGGGGCCGCGGCCAGCAAGGAGCGATGTTTGGGAAAGATTATTGGGGGGTGGCGGCGAGGCGGATCGGAACGGAAAGCGGAATATGGGAGGGCGGAGGGAACATGGGAATCCCGAAAACTTTCATTCGAGATGATTTGTTTTTGTGGAGCGGGAGTGTTTCGTGGTAATTGGGAAGGCGGAAGAGGGAAGGCGGAAGAGGAGGAAATGGCGATGCTGTTTTGCGTAAGATGGCCGGATGGGTAAGCCCGATCGGTCCTCTCTCTCACTCTCTCTGGCAAGGTACTCAAGAGGTTAAGAGGGGGGTGGGACAAAGTGGAGAATTATCGAGGCGAGGCCAAGGGGCGGGACAGGCACAGGCTGAAGTGGCTAGGATTAAGATTTCTGCTGCTGCGGCTCGCTGTGAGGTACGAGGCGGCGGGGGATTTCCGGTTTGCGGGGCTGTTGCAGGAGATAAGATATATACGATGGAAAATAAGAACCTATATCCCGTATTCTCACGTACGTGGGAAAAAGGAAAAGGGGAGAGGGGAAAACAGGAGATTGATGATTGCTTCCTCGCAAGCAGTTTATCTGGCACCAGCAGGTACTATGTAGTAGGTCTTGTGGCGATGTCCCCTGTGCCGATGTGGAGAACTAAGGTAGGTACAGATACTATAACTTAAATACCTATAGGTAACCATGATAATGATGACAGCGACTGGGCCGGGCTGGCTGGACTGGCCGCCTCTCGATCCGGCGCTGGGGACAAGGAATGCATCGGTTTGCGAACTAGCTCCACCAGCCCTCACGCCGGGCCCAATGCCGTGCTCCGTAGAGTTTGGGCTGATGCGAGCTATCTTGATCTTAGGACGAAAGCGTCTTCTTGTTGGTCGGGCCTCCTTTTTGACTTTTCCTTGCCCTTGCTTCGTGCGCGGACTCCTTGGCCTGAGTCAACCCAGCCACCTCCAATCGCCGTCGGGGAAAGCAACACAGGCCACCTTCCAACGCAGCCAATACCAAGTGAATACTCGAATCCCGCCCCAGAATTCGGAGTATTTGTCAGGTTGGAAATCATTCTGCCGGGAACGCAGTCAGGCCGAGATGGAAGGCTGCACGGAATCGAAGGCTGAGGGTTTGGCCGTTGTGAATGGATGATGACGATTAAGGATATATGATACTATCATGACTGCGGCGCGGGAAGGATGAGGGTAAGCTGGAACCTAAAAGCGTTGTAGCTGGGGAGGAGTCGCCTCCCGGATGGCTTGGGATTTTGATGACGGAGAGGTCTTCCGGGTGTGGCCCTGTAAACTCCGCTAACCTGTAGGTACTGCACCTGCCAATAGACAACAAATGCATTTATTCTTTCCAAATTTCCATTTGATCACAATGACTTTTGCACCGTTGGTGCGATGGCTGAGATGGCTGAGAAGGGTGGCAGACGGTAGACGGCAAGAGCATCAGGAACAAGAATCAGGAAGGAACCAGCAGAATTGAGGGGGGAGGGGTGGAAATGGATGACGGATTCGCAGATTCGCTGGGTGGGTGTGAAGAGTTAGAGGCAGGAGGGGCAGTTGACGATGCAGCAGCCCAATCGGGTTTAGCGGGGGGCCCCCAAGTCAACAACACACCTGGGGAATGAAACCTGTGCCTGAGGCAAACCATCTACTGTGGAGTACCTGAGGATCTCTGTCTTTCTCAATTCCTTCCCTTTTCCTTCCATCTTTTAATTCGTGAAACAATGTCTGAACGAGGGAATCAACTAGGTAGGTAAGGGGAGAGACAGTCGCAGCGTTGGGAGTTGGAATGCTTGGAAAACTACGGATTTGAGACAAACCACTGAAAAAGGAGTTTGCTTCTTTCTCAAGTGCAGTGTCACTCACATGAGGTACCTGGCTGGTAGGTACTCCACGCAGAGTGCCTTGCCAGTATGCCAGGGGCGCGTCCCTACCGACTGCATGCTGCGTGCCTGTGAAGGATCACCTGGCATCCAGATTCCAATATATTATCGGTCATCCTGCTTCCCTCGTTTAGTACTACTTGCTCAGTTGTAGTGGGTTAGGGTATTGCCTCTCCACCCACTGAGTTCGATGCTATATCCTGGCCTGTTATTTTTGTATCTTGGTTACCACCAAGGTTCCCCGCGCAGAAGGCGAGACGCGTTTGACTTGGGTCGGGCCACAACCATTTCCCAGGTTTCCTCATGGTCTAGGCCTGCCTATATTTAAGGGTATCATTGTCGCGGAGCCAGAATACCACAGATTGTTCAGATAATTGGCGATCTTGGCATGGAACCTAAAGAAGGAACGAGGATCCATCAGGTGGCGCATCCAGCTCACGGATTTCAGGGCAGGGAGGGGTTACAATCTGGCGGGATGGCTTCGGTTCTGGGGGGAAGGTCGACCCATTGCGTCATAATCAGGGTAGCAAGATCTATACCGCAGTACACCATGGACATGGGTAGAGTACCTTGCACCAATGTACTCTTGGCGGCGCGGATCTTGCCCAGTTGATGTGATGGTGGATCTATGGCAGGTACCTACGGATCGGTGCTCAGGTATTTCAAGTCCGGATGCGACAGAAAGCGGCGAATCCACCCAACACCCCCATGTGCCTGGCCTGGACTGGTGGGCTGCAGTGGAATGCACCAACGACAATATGCATGAGCGAGGCACATCCAGGCTCAGGTGATGCTGCCCTGAGAGCCTGCGTCGTTGGCCGACAGACATTGCCACTCGGGTCACGGCGTGCCCATTCTTATTAATACATTATGTTACACCCACCAGGGTGGTGTATACATATAACCACACGGCGACGTGGCAACCTACAGCAACCCATGGACCGGAGATAAGCGGGAGATGGGTGTGCCCCGTGCGTAAGCTCAAGGTGCGTACTCGAGGGAGGTTGGGTAGGTACAGTTGGTTCCTGCTGATCGCGGAGCCTTGCAGCCGAAGTACACGTACCAACCGAAAAGGGTACCCGGGCCCGGCGTCGGGTCCTAGCCACGCAGGAGCCAAACGCAAACGTAATGATCGCAAACCCTATTGTTAGCTGCTCATCCCTCGGTACCTGCCAAGCTTGGCCTACTCACAAGACGCCAGGGCGCCAGTCCGCAAGGTTTCAGGTTGATGACCTGCGAAGCGGCCGACCAGGGCACCGGAAGGCTGGGCAAAACCTACATTCGTATTTCTCGACGAGCGACTCTAGACCCCCGCAGGGTGCTTGTCTGTGCTGTGCAACTAAAGTACTGGTACGTAATGCAGCCGCCTGCAGGTGAGTGCGTTCAAGGCGGTCAGTCATGGACGCATGGGATTTTTAGTCCATCACCCGGAATTCTAGGTCTATGCTCATGCATTGTTAAACCCTTACCGTACATAGATAGGTACCTATTGACTGCTGACCGCTGATCCAGGGGGCATATCCTTCCAAAGTTCCAAGATACCCGCCGTCCCGCACTACCCCGCCCCCACCATAACCTTTCCGGGGGGGGGGGGTTTCTTTCGACAAGCATGAGAGGCGAGAGTGGCATATATTAATTTCTCCTGGTGACTCCATATGTCAGCCTGTTATTATGTTTTTGTTCCTGATCCGACTCCCAGCCCGATCGCTGGGGTGATGAGTCACGAACCACTCAGCACCACCACATTATCGACAGGTAAATAACATCACAAAACCTACTTCTCCATACTTGCCTTCTCCAAATGCTTAATAACCGAGAAATGAGGTCGAGAGTGGGACCACCATTTTTCACATGCAATCTCACCAGAGTTAACCTACCAAGTGACCAAGTCTTGTGACGACTCCTGGGGGGAAACCTTGGAGTTTCGCGACGGTCCGAGGGCGTACGCAAGCCTCCCGGTCGGTATGCGACGAGTTCTTTCCCGCTCCACAACTGTCTCGGGAGTCAGTTTAACCTTGTATACATTCCAGTCAGCGATAGTTACAGAGGCGTGTAGGCGTGTCGTGCTTATAATACGCATTTGATCAATCACTCCGGACCTGCCCACACTTGGGGATTTACATTGGAGGTAGATTACTACTACTGGCTACAATCCACAAGGTCTTGATTGACACCGTATATCACGATATCATTTAATTACCTCATATTTGCGCCTGGGGTCATTTGACGTACACCACAGCTCCACCCGTTTGACCAACCACTCAACTTCTTTGGTCCGCTGTGTTGCAAATATGAACCAGTCCATCTGCTACCAATACCTTATCACTTATTATTCATCTCACGAGCCACTTGGAAAGCCTTCAGACAAATGGTTAACCCAGTGTTGAGATCATCTTCATGTTCTCTTCCTTGCCGATTCTGAGATTGGCCGTGAGTGACTGACTGAAAAGGTCTCATGCTATATCATTCTCGAATAGCCAGTCAAGACATGCAGGACTTGAGAAACTCTGCCTTTACTTAAGCTAGTCTTGGGTTGCTAGCTCTATCATCTCACCACTAACTCAAGCTCTCGGGTAATAACAACTGTCTCAAGCCATCTCCTAGCCCTGACATATCCCCATGGACTCCTTGTTCCTCTCCCTCAGAGAACAGCAATTCTGTAACGGCTCTAGGTTGGGCGGTCATATATGCTGTATTTGTTACCCAGCTAAACAGCCTGAGCTGCTTCAACACTGCGCTTCTCACCGCAGACAAGGACGTTTCGAGCTCCTCAACCACAGACCAAGCACAGGTGAAATGGACGAAAAACAGAGGACTACTGAAAATAGAATGATTTAATGAGTTCAACAATCTATTAACGCCGTAATGAAATAAAATCGTGCTGCTGCTCTTAATATTTTATGTGAGATGTGGACAAAGGGGGAAGGGAAGCGCAACTCCATTTTACCCCTTTCAACAAAACAAAAGGAAAGCAACAAAGGTGTGAAGCACCTGTGTGCGACTCAAGCTGCAGTGTCATTCTTTAAAGATAAGTTAAAGCACCGTAGGATGTTCCGTAATTGATTTAGTTATCTCTTAGTTCAAAAGAGAGCGGCCTCAAATACTGCCCCAGGGGTAAGGAACACCCTAACCGCTTCAACGCGGACGCTATTAGATTCGAAGAGACTCTTCGTTCTAAGATCTGGACAGGAAACCATTCGCAGACCACCCGCATAAACCTGACATGGCTTTGAAAAGGGGTATAAGGGGGTGGCCCGTGCCCACCGGGTGGGAGCAAGGGAATATCACCAAGATTTCCATACTTAATTAGTCATTAGACTGATCAGACGTCTCCTGTTATAGTTACATGTGTCTTTTATTTAGTAGAGACGGACCGCGGAAAGGGTGTGGCCCCTGAACTGAAGTTGCAGTTCGCGTTGCCTTCGGTTGCTATTATTTGTTGCTGTTGAATACTGTCAGTAGACTGGACATTCAGTGGAGTAAATTTCAGGAGAGTCTCTCTGCCATGCCTCCGACTTTCAACTGTAAGCGCTACCGAGAGTTCTGGGAGGGCTTTGTTGGGCGAGATGGGAACATAATTGTGGTATCACTTCGGGCATCAAATTCATGCGTCAACTCATTTTATTTGCAACGTAATCAAACATTCATTTTGTTTTGGTGTCGCTGTTCAGACATGCAAGCAAGTTCCATTCCATCCCTCCTTCCCAACAGCCCCACTCGAACCCCGCACCCTCCTCGCTCAGAACCTCCCCCTGTTGAGGAACTTGTTCGGGATATCGACATACTTGGCCCTCAGGTACTCGCAGAGGTTCTTCCCGAGGGTGTCATACTCGCTCGTCGAGTTGAACCCGCGGTCGAGGTGGTCGCGCAGGAGGAAGTGCACGGCGCGGATGCCGGGGATCTCGAACCGCTCGATGCTCTTGCCCTTGTCGCTGCCCTCGAGCATGGCCTTGATGCGGTCGACCGTCAGGACGCTGCGCAGCCAGTCCCACTCGTCGTCGTTCCGCACGTAGAAGCCCACGTTGGCGTCGCTGGCCTTGTCGCCCGACCGCCCGCCGACGACCCAGCCGAGCGGGCCCCGCGTCGTGGGGCCGAACTCGGCCAGGTCGACGGCGTTCGCCGTCTCGTACGTCTTCTGGTCGCGCGGGTAGTCGGCCCGGGTGTTCTTCTGCACGGGGATGTCGATCGACTTGCCGGCCCAGGGCAGCTCGACGCGGTGCTTGACCTCGGACTGGGCCAGCAGGGTGACGAAGTACTCGTAGAACGGCTTGCCCTCGGACTGGCGCTGGTCGTTGCCCAGGCTGGCGCCGGGGCAGCTCTGCAGGAAGTTCTCCATGCACCAGCGGTTGAAGCCGGGGACGTCGAGGGTCGACTTGTCGACCAGGCTCTTTTTCTTGGTCTGCACAAAGATGCGGAAGTCCACCGTCGCCACCTCCTGGTTGCGCGGGTTCTCCGGGGAGTAGCCGTTGAGGGTGAATTTGAGGCACGACAGATCCTTGATGGCCGGGCCGATCGACTTGCGGATCTGCCGCTCCGTCCACTCGGCCTTGGCCTCGAGGTCGAGCCCGCACAGGTAGTAGTGGAACTCGGCCTGGTAGCCGCCAAACGCCGTGATTCCCACCTTGGTCGTCGCCGGCGCCGGGAGGCCCTTGACGCCCGTCACGAGGACGCGGTCCTTCTCGAGCTGCGTCATGACGATGCCCTCGAGGTTGGCCGTGACGTCGGAGCCGTAATAGAGTGGGCCCTGGATCTCGTAAAGGAGCTGCGAGGCGACGGTGCCGACCGAGATCTGGGATGAGGGGAGGGATTAGTTAGCAAGGCAAAGCTCTCTTCTCTGTCTTGGCCGGGTAGCCACTGCACTTACCTCTCCGCCGGTATTCGCTTCCTTGGAGAGAATGCAGCTGCCGTCTGCCTGGACTTCGGCGATGGGGAAGCCGACGTTCTCGCAGCCGTCCATCAGGCTCTTGAAGCCCGAGTAGTAGCCGCCGCAGACGTATGAGGAGCACTCAATCAAGTGGCCGCAGATCAGTGACCCGGCAATCTGGTCCAGGTCCGTCTCACGGTCCCATCCGTGCCACCACATGGAAGCACCGATGGTAGGCGCGGCGTCGGCAACTCGGCCGGCAATGACGATATCGCAGCCCTGTCTCAAGGCCTCCGCGATACCTGCACCGCCAAGGTAGCATCTGAGAAAAAAAGAGGGTGTCAGCGCAACCGCCTCGTACATTTATTAAGAAGGGCGGGAGACAAAGAGAGAAGACATACTGGGCGGCGAGGATGTCGTCAAAGCCCCATTCCTTCAGGGGCTTCCCAGTCATGAGCGAGGTGAATTCCTCTCCGTTCGCGTACAGCCTCCTGACAGTCTCGGTGACCTCGTCTCCGCTGACCCAGCCGACCTTGAGGTCCAGACCCTGCCTCTTCACCTCCTCCTCGACCTTCTTGGCCAGCAGCTCGGTGTCGCTGGCACCGGCGTTGACGGCCAGCTTGATGTTCTTGGACTTCATGTACGGCAGGGCGGGCACGAGGTTGTCCATGAAGGTCGGGTCGAAGAGGCCCGGGGTGTCCTCGACCAGCTTGCCCTCGGCGCGCAGGCGGGCGTTCTCCTCCTTGGCGGCGCCGTGCAGGGTCATGGTGCACTCGGACAGCCAGTCGCCGATGATGCAGTCGACATCGCAGTTCTTGGCGATGTCGCCGATGGCTCGCTGCCGGTCCGAGAACCCGCCCGAGCATCCGGCGATGCGGATTCCGCGCTTTGCAAACGGCATGACTGGCTTGGTGTCTGGGGCACGCGTGGGGGTGAGGGAGGGTGAGGGTGAGGTAGTTGGATGTGGTAACTCAATACCTCTGTGATAGCTCACCGGGAGGGGGATTGGTTGATTGGGAATAGTGGGTAGTGGTGTGTGGTGTATTGTGTGCCAGAAACCATCAACCTCGGGGAAATCGAGGCAAACAACCGTCCATGTTTTATAGCAAACATGGCTGAGCCGGAATCCCGACTCCCGAAACACAGGATATCGAGACCCTCAGGAAGAGAAGATGCGGGAACCATGCTCTCCGCATCAGCCCTAATGACACAACTTCTCGATCCCCTTTGGAGGGGTCTCCTCTCCAGAGTTGGCGGGGCCGCGGGGCTACGCGGGGCTAAAAAGGGTGTGGTGACAGATCTGGCCCACCCCTCCGGTGAGGTGGATGCGGAAAATGGTATCCACCGGGCAGCTAACGCAGGGGACCGTACCTCGATCCAGCACCGGCGTCTTCTTGGGGGGAAAACAGCCTAGTCAGTCGTTCTCGTTGACGTGGGCTGAAGGGTGAAGGGTCAGCAAACAAGGGGATTGCTCGAGAGATCATTCATGAGGCTTCCACCTTGTCATATTTGGCCGTGGTCAGACTCAAAGTTCGCTGAACGTGTTGAAAGCTGCCAAGATTTCCGGGTGCATCCCAACATGGACTATCCAATGTCACAGGAGAGGCAGAGAGGTACTAGCTCGCCCCTAAATCCGCCAAAGTCCGATCTTCAACCCACTCACTCTGCCTACGCATACGATGAACCAGAAGCCTGGCCTCTTAGCTCGGAGCATTGATTCCATTGCTCCATCCTACGCATACCAGAAGCTACTATGAATCATTACGATTGTGGAGAATAATCACGGCTGAAATATCACCTCGTAAAACAAGTCAAGCAAAGTTAGATGATGATCAGTAATTTATCTCCCTAGCTGAATAGCAAAACGGGGGGCTCCTTTGAGACTGCCTGTATATTTCAACGCCGCGGCCTATTACCTAGACCGAAATCGTGCCGTACTACCAGATGGGCCCATGACCATCTAGGATCTAAACCGGCAGGCAAGGCTGCCTCGTCTCCCTCTATGGGGAAGGCATCGATATGTATGTATGTATTGTACATACAAACACCATTTTCCAGTGGAGTAGCCCTCAAAAGAGGAAACGGAAAATGAAAATGAAAAACCGATGAGCCAAACCCTGCATACACAACACATAAACAAATAAACAAAGTATGTACCACGGGATGGATGCTCAAGTCCTGCGCCAACGATACCCGGCCGCATCTTCGACCCCACGCCGCCATCTACCGAGGGGGCATCTGCGGAGGCATTTGCGGAGGCATTTGCGGAGGCATTTGCGGAGGCATCTGTGGAGACATCTGCGGAGGCATCTGCAGAGGTCCCCTAGCGGCGGACATATGCCTCATGTAATCGGCCGGGGGTGCTATTGGGGGTGCCATCGGTGAAAACGACGCTCCTGTGGCGACGAACGTAGGATTCGGCCTATTCATGGCCCCCGGCGGGAGGATCGGGGGAGACGCCGCCCTTGTCGTGACGACCGAAAGATTTGGCCTATTCGTGGGTTCCGGTGGGAGGATCGGGGACCTTGCATCCACCGGCGGAGGGTCGCCGGACCTGCCGCCTCCGCCGTCGCCTCCGCCGCTCCTCGCCAAGGCGACGTGCGCCCGCGCAATGGCGCCGCGGATGCAGTTGAAGAGCTCTTCGGCTCTCCCCAGCCGGTCCTGCACCTCGACTAGCCTCTGGCGCAGGGGCGGCAGCTGGGCCGCTTCCCTCTCCGCGTGCCCTACCCGAGCTCGCAGGTTCTCCACCTCTTGACCCGTCGCCGCCAGGATCGCCGACCTGGAGGCGAGCTCGGACTGCAGGCCTGCGGCGTGTTTCTCAAGCTCCTGGTACTGGCCGATCAGGGTGGAGACCTTCTGGTCCAGCGTCGCCTTGTCCCCGTCGGGGAGGCCGGGATGGTGGGCCAGGAGCACCGCCGTGCGCTGCTGGTCCTTCCGCAGTCGGGAGAGCTCCATAGACCTGCTCTTGGCAGTCTTCTCAATGGATATCCTCGCCTCCTCGGTTGTTCTCAGATCCGTTTCGAGCTTGGCTGCCTTCCGCTCCAGCTCTGCCTTATCCTCCCAGGTCTTCAAGCTCTCATTCTGCAGGGTCTTGAGCCTCTTGAGCGATTCTTTTACCGAAACTTGAGCCTTCTCCAGCGCCTGTCGTCCAGCGTCGCTCTCGGAAGCGAGCTTTTCCTTGTCCACCCGATACTCCGCAGCTTGAGAAGTCAGCGTCTCGAGTTCGCTTCGGAGATGATCCCGCTCAGAGGAGAGGGCTGCGATGGTATTCTGGGCCTGCCCCCCGGCCTGATCCTGCTCTTTTCGGAGGCGGGCTATCTCGGCGGTGAGCTCGACAATTGTTGTCTGCATCTCGCGCTCCTTGTCGGCGAATTTCTTCTCAGTAGCTTCTCGCTCCTGGGTGAGCTTATTGCAGTGCTGCTGTGCCAATACGACCCGAGACTCGGCATCGACAACATTCTTCTGGATGGTGTCTCTCTCCGAAGCGAGCTTATGAACCGTGTTCTGCATCTGGTCGAGCCGAGACTTCATCTCGAGATCCTTGTCTTTCAGCTTCTTCTGAGCGGCCTCTATCTCGCGATCCTTCCCTTGCAGCTTCTTCCGAGCAACCTCCGTCTCTGACTTGAGCCTGGAAATTTCCTGCTGCGCCTGCTTGGCCTGGGCGTCGGTCTTGTTGGCCGTGTCTTTCAACGTCGCCTGGAAGGTATCTCGTTCCTTTGTGAGCCTGTCGATGTCGTTCTGTGCCTCTGTGGCTTTGGCGTCGGCGTCGCTGACCTTTTCGTCCAACTTCTTCTGCAGCGCATTTTTCTTAGACTTGAGCTTGATGTTCTCAGCCTTGGTCGTAGACACGTCGTTCTGAAGCTTCTCGATCTGTTCTTCCAGCTTTGGCACATCAAGATTGCACACCTCCTCGAGAGCGACCCTTGCAGTCTCGAGGGCGGCGATCTTGGCGTCCTTGTCCTTCACGGCTTGGCGGATGGTTCCATTTTCGTTGGCCAGTTCCTCGTGCGTCTGTAGGAGCTTGCTGATATCGGATTTGAGGACGTCCCTCTCGTTTCGCAGGCTGCTTAGCTGCCCTAGGTTCTTCGCTTCGGCCTCCTGCTTGTCCCTCATTGCTAGATCTAGCTTCGCCTTGGCATTCGCTTCGACCTCGAGCTTCTTCGCCTCGACATCCTGCTTGTCCTTCATTGCCTGATCGAGCCTCGCCATGGAATCCGCGGCATCCTTCTCCCAATCGGCAATGTAACCAGTAAGAGCAGTCGTCTTGTCCAACATCCAAGACTTGATTTTACCATTAATCGTCGTAAGTTGTTGGGCGATTTCGTCGGTTGTGAGACCCTCGTTCTGGACCTTGCTGGATGTTTGCTCAACTATGGCTTTGAATTTCTGAAGCTCATCCAGCGCGCCCTTCTTCAGAGAAGATGGGAGGGCGAGTGCCAGGGCGGTGGCGGAATCAAGATTGTTGAGAGTCAGCGACTCGATAATCTCCCGATCGTGAAACGCAAAGGCGTTGAGGAGCGTGGCCTGGGACTTCTCACGAACCCGAGCCAACTGCAATTCAAGGTCCTTGATTCGCTGCTCGTACTTGGTTGGTTCATCGGCACTGGTATGGGTGGCTTCAGAGATTGAGAGCAGTAGCTTGGCTCCATCGGGTCCATTGTTGACAACGTGATGCACCTGACCTTTGGCTGGTGTGGCAAGAGGTAGGACCTTGGCTGGTGTAACAGGGGGATCGGGGCTGGAAGTATCGACTCGCTTGGCAGGAGGTTCTTCTGAGGGAGACGGGAGCGGTCTCTTCTTTGACTCCGTTGGCGTGGAGACCGGGGTGTTGCCGCGCAGAGGAAGTGTAAACTTCCCACGTCGCGATTTCGGCCACCGAGCACCCGGAGAGTTGACGGCAGTTGCTTGGGTGGTTTTCTGCTCAAACTTCACAATATCCGGGATATGTTTTGGCTTCGAGTCAACCTGCCGATCCCATATTAGATATCATTCGAAGTTGCTGGTTTGAAAGATGGGGGTTTGTGGGCAGCAGATTTGGGATGGAGAGTAGGAAAATAGTGGCCTCTTGGGTGACTGATGCAGGATCTGAAAATAGATAGGTAATATATCTCATCGGCTGTGTGTAGAAGAAAAAAAGCACTGATGAGAGAGGTGGGCAATATTGGATCATGGAAGCAGGACATGACCGTAGGGAATTTGATGAGTGGAGGGTGAAGCAAAAATGGCGCAGAGGCTAGCAGCAGGATAATTACTTGCTCGCGGTGGGTGTTCTAGAGGGCAGGGCGCAGAGAGCAAAGGAGACGGGGCCATAAATATACCTGAGTTTTGTCATCGTCCGACCAGTCTTCCTTGACGATAATGCAATCCTTGGCATTGGGAAGTGTGTCTTGAGAGCTACCGCTGGCGAAACTACTCGCCCTGGAGAAGCTTTGAGATCCGGGCATGATGAGCCGACATGGGGTGGATAGGGTAAACCGGGAATTGAATTTTGGGGAAGATGCGGGGAAGGAGGAAAAGATGAAGTAAAGGATGGGGGAATAAAAATCGGCGACTGAGCTGCTCGGCAAGAATTGTTTGTTGGTGGTTTCTCGCTGTAGGTTGATGTGGAGAGGGTCGGTTTGTTTGGTTGTCGGGAACGCCTCACCTACCTACCTACCAGGCTGTGGGTGACGGCATGGAGGAGGCACAGATAAACACAAAATCCTTGTCAAATTATTGATAAAATGACAGCTTGGACGAGGCCGAAGAAGGAGAAGGAGGCAACCTGGAAGTGACTGGAATGAAATAATGAGAACTGAGGTGGTTGCGCCTTCCCGTGCGTACTGTGCCTACCAACGGGTAGGTATTTTTGTACTGAGGTACCCGGAGGTAGGAGGTATTGTAGGTAGGTAGGTACCTAGGTAGGTAAAGGCTCAGCCTGTTTGTCTTCAGGTAATATGTCTCGCTGCCACAGATCTCGAATATACCGATGAAGGATCGATTCGATGGCATATAATTTGGCATCCGAATTGGCGTCCTGGTAATGAATGCGCACTTTCTCCCTCTCCTTACTCTTCTTGACCGGTTCGGGATCGTGCACGAGTCAAAACGGGAGGGAGAGATAGGAAGAAATGGGGTTGATGCCTGACAACCACCAAATACCTACCTACCTAGGTAGATAGATACCTAAGGGACGAAGCAAGGGAGAGGGCATGGGAGAGGGCAGGTGCAGCCAACCAGGTAGCCAACCAGTGGTGCCAATCAGAAGAAAATTGGATCCAGGACAGAGGCAGGTAGCCGTTTCGGTTTTCTCAGGTTGCTAGGTGAAGCTGTGGAACCTGCAATTTTCGTTTCCATCCCTCCTTGGCTTTGTGATGTGGCTTACCCGATCCTGGTGAATTGATGCATGATAGGGCAGTTTTAGCGGTGTGGGGCCCTAATGGCAAGCCACGGCTCTGAAAGGGGCGTGGTTTCCACCCAAGAATTATCCACGTGATATATGAGATCTGGGATATTTGTATGGTATTTGTGATTTGACCGTCCAGAGAAGCCTTTCCTGAAAAGAACCTACCTACCTAGGCATGCATGATGGAATCTCTGTTTGCTAACCATCTGTTCCCATGAGTGGTCGTTGGAGCTAGCGCCCAACCGCCATCTGATAGCTCTGATAGCTCTGAGCCTCTGATAGCTCCCGCGCAGGCTAGAATGCCGATCCATAAACTTCCCCACTTAGTCTATTATTTCTCGGCTTTTAACAGGCGGGGCCTTATTTGCAGACTGTGCTAACTTGAAAAGACATGCTTGATATGGAAGGTCCATCCTTGTTCCAAATGACAAATACCTTACCCCTCACAAACGAGCTTGCAATCCAATGTGGAAAGAATCATGGAGATCGGATGAGGTGGTTAACGTCTATCCTCCCTCCCCCCAAATCCGCATTTCAGAACGTAATGATTATGGAAGACAGGAAAATAACATTTCTGCGCAAGGGTGGTCACGGTTGAGTATACAATAAAAATAAACCCATGCCCCAGCCGTTCCCCAATCTATGAGATGCTTTACAAGCAAGCATCACGAACTAACTACCTACCCATGCGCTCAGTACCAAACTTGTGGGCTCGCACGCCGCCGCTCTGGGAACTGCTGGCACCGGCTGGCACTATGACATGGCCCTCGACTCGATAGTAAAACTACCCGATATAAGATAGAATGTTGTAAAGAAGTGGGAAGGCTAAGAAGAAAATGTTAGCCCAACACTGAATATTCGTAAAGGAAACGGCAAAGACGAATGAATTTTGATATCTGTCATCTCTTCTCTTCAGCGTTTTTGCCTCGAGCCATTCCTAAGGAAATTCCAGAATGCGTATTGTAATGATCTAAGATTTGTGACTGATTCCGTCAAGTGCCTCCAGTATAATCGAGTTTACCCTGCGCACATAATAAGCCTTATAAGACTCTGACGACAAATGCCCGGCCACTCTGCGCTGGCAATTCGAGGACACCATCCATTGCAAGTCAATTAGTGACCGGATAACCAGATGAGATAGGTGTATCTATGGCGAGGAAGGCATGTTCCGCAGATTCGAGTTGAACGTCAACGAATTGGGAGGGGAGGGGAGACACTAGGTGAATATGGTCACGATGATTGCGTCTCCTGAAGACGCGGACAGGATGACCGAGAGAGAAGGGGCCTCACCCTTTCCTTACCTTTCCTTCACCATACCTGGCCTCTGTAGTAGGTCCTCGATTTAGACGATCCGAGCGTGTCCGGACGCCTTGACTTGTGATGGAATAGTGAGATGAGAGGCCTTAAGTGTCGAATTTTACTCCGTCCCTAAGGCACATAGCATGATCCCGGTTGGGAGTTGAGATACGCCAATTACGCCCAGATCATGAACGAACCCCATTTCCTAGAGATTGTGAAGTCGACAGAATTCAAATGCCACGGCGGCTAACCAGCCTTGGGCTAACCTTGATGGTCAATGGTGGCCCGGCTCAGTTATAACCATCCTCCTCAGGGAGGTCGCGGGCAAAACATTTCATTCATAGTCACGCTCATGACCATACACTCACCCAACGCATCCTCCCTGCCTAGAGTAGTGTTGAGATGGTTTCTTTATTGAGGATCAGCACGGCACTTTAAGGTACACAGCCCAACAGATTTCCCGGGGGTTTCTTTTTTTCGCGCCGCAACTCGGCCTCTTAGAGATCTGGAGACATGACTTTCGGATGCTGATAGGCTTGATACCCAAATGTAGGTATGGATATATGTATATCATAATAATGCCGATGGTTACACGGCATCCTGCAGTCTGGGCACCGCGATGCAAACGGGGGGGGGGGGCAGAGTTGGGCCCCTCCTGCTTTCACGAATAAATTGACACGACATTCCAACTGCATTTCAAGAATCGATTCGTTTACTGTCTCTGCATAGCCCGAGTTCTATCAGCCGACCACGGCCACCGCGCTATATTTGTCCCTGTTTGTTCACCGTCCCGGTGCAGCTGCAGGCCTTTGGCAGCGTCGTTATGGGCCGGGTAGGTATGCATGTTGGGAGATAAGCTACGACGGATAAATAATGATTGTGGAGTACGGTTCCAGAACATGATAACCGACCCAACCAAACCCGGCGCAGCCGTCGTTGGATGGGAATCAACTTTTGGATGCGCAAGGCTCATGTCGCAGTTCTCCCGTTTTTTATTACGCTCGCCGACGACGTGCGGCACCAAATCCACCCCCTTGCTTCTAGCGGAACAGCACTACCACATCATCATCCCACCATCCCACCAACCCCATGATTCCCGTCCTCCCACTCGCTGCTGCCTGTCGTACGTATCTGTAGATGCAGGCACGAATCAAACACTGTCTACTGCCATCCATCATTATGCCGTCCCCCACCCTGGTGGCTGCGGCAATAGCCGCCACCCTGCTCCTCGCCGGCGCCGCGTAGGCAGGCTCGCTGCACCCGCGAGCCTGCACCTTCACATGGACCGCGGCGGAGGGCGGCACGTGCGAGAGCATGTCTGCCGACTAGGACATCACGGAGGCGCAGTTCATCGCCCGAAACCCGTCGGTAGGCGACGGCTGCAAGAACGGCCTGGTCCCCGGCACTGACTGTTGCCTTGACCCCGACACGTTGGTCCTGGCGACCTCCTCGACGACTAAGCCCACCTCGACGGCGAAGTCGCCCAACAACCACCACGACGGCCCCCAGCGGGTCCGTCGCCGACCCAGAATGGGATCGTTGGCATATGTACCGAGTTTTACAAGGTTGTGTCCGGGGACACCTGCGCCAATATTGTGTCGCACTATGGGACGTTCACGATTGACGAGTTGTAAGTTTTCTCACTACATGTGTGTTAATTACAGCTTTGCCTTCTGACGAGAGCATCAGTTATAAGTGGAACCCTGCCGTCAGGAAGGACTGCAGCTCCCTCTTCCTGGGATACTACGTCTGCATTGGAATCCCTGGCACGCCCACCACTTCAGCGCCGTCGGACCCCACGCCGACTCAGGCCGGTATCACCAAGAATTGTGAGTCAGGACACTGGCTATCTTCGGCTTGGCGCGCCTTGCAATGCACTGCTGACTGGTGGACCTCCCAGGCAATAGCTACTACCTCGTCAAGTCCGGAGACATCTGCCAGAAGATTGTCGACTCGCACAAGGGGAAGTTTACCTTGAAACAGTTGTGAGTTTGCCTCATCCTGTCGTGGCTGGGAAGAAGGGGGTGGATATAGGATACTGACGTCTGTGATTTCTCAGCTATTCGTGGAATCCGGTTGTTGGTGTAAGTTAAATTATTTCACAGACACACGTCTGCGTCGGCGTGAAGGCGGCGCGTCGTATGGTGCGTATGTGAGCTTGGTGTGCTCTGGTCACCGCTGGACGGGTTTTGGCGCCGAGAACAGATGACAATAATAGGCTTCGGTATAAAGACGGACCACTGTCACATTTCAATGTATCCAAAATGTACTTTTCTAGTATTTAGTTTTATGAGAGTAGATTTTTAAGAAGTTGGCTTGATTGCTCGCTACAAGTGACCAATGACAGTTGGGAAATGATTGGGGTCGGGTAAGACTCCCTGAGACGGTGCCAATGATATGGGTGACTGCTCCAGTTCAGTCATACCAACAATTACTACCAACAATTAACTCGTGTAATTAAACCTACTTGAGGCCAGCCAACTGTCCATCCGACATAAAGTGCGACCCCCCAGCACACCGGAACCCCCCTGCCTGTTTAATCCACTCGTACCCCATCGGACAAACCCCTGAAACCTGCAACCTCCTGCGCATCTCCGCCTCCCGGTTCCGCCGCGCCTCTTCCTCCAGCAACCTCTTGACGATCTTCTCTCTTGCCTCGCCCCTCGCCTTCCGGGCGGCCTCCTCCAGACGTCGGTGCTCCTCGTCCCGCTTCTCCTCCGCCTCGCGGTCCCGCTGCAGCTGCTCCCACACCGCGTCGCTCACCCCGGCATCTCGCTTTGCAGCAGCCGCTGCCGACCCCGAGCCGTCCTGCGGGTGGATGACGTCGTCAACGAGGTCGTACTCTTCGTCTTCCTCGTCCTCTTGCAACTCCCTCTCGACGACTGGATCTTGCTGCTGGGCGCGCGTCTCAATCTTCGTCGCCGTGTCTGCCGGTCTCCGGGCAAGCTGTCCAAGATCCACCGGCGCGTCTTGCATCCCCCGAGGCAAAGAAGCCGCCAGTCCACTCTGCCCCTGACGCTTCGCGAGCATGGCTTTTAGTTGCTCCACCACGGCCTCTCCGCGAACAGGAATGCGACCCGCAGCAATCCCCTCCTTGGACCTAATCGCGTCATTGAACACCCCCTGCGCGAGCGTGATGACGTCCCGCGCATTCGCCCACCCTTCCTGCACCGCCAGCGCGGCGAACAGGCCGCGGACCGACGCCGCAAACGACGTCGTGGGTGCCTCCAAGGCAGACAGGTCGAGCTCCACGCCCCGATCTCCCAGGACCGTCCTCCGGCCGTCTAGGACCCGGATGAGCAAGGTGACGCACTCTTCCGGCGCGAGGGCGCGGAAGTCAATCGCCTCGGGGAACCGCGAGGCCAGGCCCGGGTTGACGGCCATGAGGCGGTTGATCTCCGTGTCGTAGCCCGCCAGGATGATGATCAGCTTCTTGTGGTACCTTTCCTTTGTGACCGAGTCGACGAGCTCGTCCACGGCCTCCCTGGCGAAATGCCCCTCGGCCAGGCGATACGCCTCGTCGACGAAGAGGACCCTGCCGAGCGCCCTGTCCAGCACCTGCTGCACCTTAGGCCCCGTCTGGCCGACGAACTGGCCGACCAGGTCCGTGGCCGAGCACTCCACCACGTCGGCGGCGGCGAGGAACCCCATGTCGTAGAACACCTTGCCCATCTTCCTGGCCGTCGTCGTCTTGCCCGTGCCGGGTGGCCCGCGGAACAGGAAGTTGAACGGGACGCCCTCGCGCGGGTCCAGGCCGAGGGCCTTGGTCGTCCGCGCCGTCGACTGGTAGCCCTCGAGCTGGGCCACGAGCTGGTCGCTGCCGACGGTGCCCTCGAAGAGCTTGCGGATGTTGGTCTCGGCGCGATCGGCCCGGTCGAAGTCCCCGTCAAAGTCTTGCGCCTGCAGGACGTTGTCGGCGGCGGCGGCCTTGTCCTTGGCCTTGGAGAGTCGCGTCTGGTGCCGCGCCTTGGCGGTGTCCAGGATGATGTCGATCTCGCCGGCGTTGCCGAAATTGGGCCGGTTGCGAGCCCGGCACAGCATGTCCATGGCCACTCCCCGGGCCTGGCCGGTGGCTCGGTACCCCTGATTCTTGAGCTTGAGGTCCAGTATCTTGCCGAGCTCCTCGTCGCTGAAGTCTTCAAAGGTGAAAGCCGAGGCAATGGGGAAGCGGCGGCTGAGTCCCGGATTGACGTTCTGGAACATGGTCTCCATCTGGTCTTTGTATCCCAGGAGGAGAACACATCGGTCATCGCCGGGAACGCTCTGCACGTCGGCCACGATCGTGTCGATGACTGCTGTCTTGTACGGATCCGAGGTGGAACCCGGAGCGCCGCCGCCTCCGTAGAGACCGTAGGCCTCGTCGATCACAAGCACTTTCCCGACGGTGGCGGCGAGGATCCCTTTCGTCTGCTGTTCCGATTGTCCTAGGGCAGCCCCCACAAAGTCGGAGGAATTCTTCGTCACCACTGGGATTCAGTCAGTAAATGCACCCCTGAGCCGACACAGCAGGAAAATGGTCGACACTTGCCTTCTCCCTTGGATAACAACCCAAGCGCAACCAGAATTTCCCCGTATAACTTAGCAATAGTGGTCTTCCCAGTCCCCGGGTTGCCGAGAAACACCTTATTGAGGGAGTACTCGATGGGAGGCTGCTCATCCAGCTCCCTCTGGTAGTTCTGCTGGATGCTATCAACCAGAGCCTGCACCGCGTCCTTGACGGCCCCCAGGCCGACCAACTCCCGCAGCTTCCGCCACGCCGCGCACTTCTCGAGGGCCTCGGCGGGTTTCGGGCCTATCATATCCTCTTTCGTGAACAAGAAGTCATCCGGCTTCGCACCCGCACGCCTCTCCCGCTGCAGCCGATCCGCCTGCCGCCGGGAGATCCTAGCAAGGACATTCTGCACGGCCCTCGCATTAGCGAACCCCTCCTTCCCGCGCCCGCGCCCGATCCTCCGGGCCACAACCCGGCAGCACAGACCGCCGACCCCGCCGTCGACGCGCATCCGACCGCCGTACTTCTTCGCGACGCCGAGCTCGAGGATGCGCCGCAGCTCGTCGTCGTCGTAGTCGGCGAACGCCATCTCGACGGGGAACCGGCCCGGCAGGCCAGGGTTGTGCGCGAACAGCCCCTCCATCTGGCGCGCGTAGCCGGCCAGCACGAACACCACCTTGCCCGTCAGGCGCTCGACCTCGGCCAGCAGGAAGTCGAGAACGCCGCGGCCGCCGGGGCTGTTGCCCGAGGTCAGCTGGTAGGCCTCGTCGATGAGGAGGACGCCGCCGCCCGAGTTGAGGAGATCGTCTAGAAGCTTCTTGGTGCCGGCTACGCCGAGGTTGGCGAGGCCTGAGCCGGTTGTTTCTTTGAAGGTGGTGCCCGGGATGATGCCTGCGTCGGTGAGGAAGGCGGCGTAGAGGCGCGCTACTGTGGTTTTCCCTGTGTGCGGCGGGTGTCAGTGTCAGTTGCAATCAGAAAAACATGCTTTGATTTTGGACTTGGGGATGGATCCTTACCGGTGCCGGGGTTCCCAAGCAACGAACAGCCGAAGCGCTCCGAATCCAGAGACACGCCCTGTCGCAGCGCAGTGTCGACCTTGATCTTGATGGACAGGAATTCCCGCTTCACCTCCTCAAGCCCAATCATGCCCATCAACTCATCCAGCGGCCTACTCCCAGCCCCCTCAAACTCCTTCATATGCTCCCAATCCGCCCTAGCCGTCCCCGGAACGACAGGCCCATCATCACCACCACCACCACCACCCCCGGGGGAACAACCACCCCTTCCCTCCCCCCTCTTCTCCCTAACCACCCTCGCCCTCTCCAGCGCAGCCAACTCCCCCCTCGCCGCCTCCAACTCGCGCCCCTGCTCCCTCTCCTCTTCCTCGTACCGCGCCTCCCTTCTCCGGCTCTCGATCTCCTCCCGCACGGCGCGCAGGCGCGCCGCGTACGCCTCTTGCCTCTGCGCGCGCGCCACCTCCATGGCCAGGTCGCGCCGCGCCTGCCGCTCCGCCTCGCGGTCCTCTGACGCGCAGGCGCTGCATCCACCGCGCGGCTGCCGCGAGCACGGGACGCGTGTTGTGTGCTGGCGTGGGCAGGTCTGGGATTGGAGCTGGCTGCATGGGATCTTGGTGTGGTCGGTTATGCGGTGGCAGCGGGATTTGCATTTGTGGATTCCGCATTTGAGGGTTGCGCCGCTGGGTTGCGAGGGTGGTTAGATTCAGGGGGGAGAGGTCTTGGGCGGGAAATAGGGGAGATACACACCAAACTTCCGAGCATCCTCCGTCCGGGCAAGACTTGGCAAAGTCGACAGGCTCCTTCAGTAGCGCCGTCCTGTCGGGATGTCTCTCGCACTTGACGGGCAGGCCGTCGTAAAGGTGGCCCTCTCGCTTCAGCAGCTCGAAGAACGGGTGCCACGTCTCCCTCCCCTTCTTGCTCTGCATAAACGTCTCCATGTTGCCGATTAAAAGCAGACAGTCGCGCGCCCTCGTGATGAGCACGTTCAGCCGCTCCGGCGCCGCCATGAAGCCGATGTCGCCGGACTCGTTGCTCCGCGTCAGGGAGGCGATGACGATGTCGCTCTCCTCGCCTTGGTAGTTGTCTGCTATCGTATTAGTTCCGGGAGGCCGCAATAGTAGATGGAAGAGGTACCAATGGTAGACACGCGGACGGGTTTCCTGTCAAGTTTTGCCGCCGCCTGGCTCAGCAGCCCCGCGCGGATCAACTCGAACCTGTCCAGCTCGCTGATCTCCGGGTCATGCTGGTTGCGGCGAAGGACTTCGGTCAGCTCCCGCACTTGGCCAAGGTATGGCGTTAGTATCACTATCTGGTCAGACTTATATCCTTGCTGGCCGAGATACTTGAGGCAGCGCAGCGCCATCTCGGCCTCGAAGCGGTTCTTCTTGCTCGCCTTCGTCCCCGCGTCTCGGCGGTCGCTGATTGCGCTGTCGATGTCTTCCATCTTTCCGTGGTTAAGGAACACGACGCGGTCTTGCAGCCCAATAATGGCCGGTCGGCCGCTTGTCTTGGGGCCGTCGTGAAGCTCGGGGTAGGTCAGCTCGCGCGGGAAGATGGATATCTCGGGAACCATCCGGTGCTGTTTGCAGAGCGTGGTGTGCGGCGCGCCCTGCATGATCATCCTCTCAAACAGCGAGCGGTTCAGGTCGAAGCCGTCGCCCCTCTCGACCGTCAGGGCGTAGTTGTTGACCTTGGGTCGCAGCTGCTTGTGGTCGCCGATCAGGATCAGCTGCTTGACCGTCGGGGCCATGGCCGTCAATATGTGGCTCTCCAGGATCTCTCCGGCCTCCTCGACGAGGATCACGTCGGGGCTCGCGGCCCGGATAATCCTCGAATATTTGGCGGCGGCGGTGGTCGTGCAGCCGATGATCCGTTTGCTCTTCAGAATGTGGACGTTGTTCTCCCCGAATTGCGTCTCGATCCTCTCCTGGAAGTTGTTGTATTGGCGAGCGAGCTCGTCGATGGCGCCTAGGCGCTCCTCCACCATCGTTCTCGTCCACCTCTCAAGGTGACCCTCGCGGACGGATTTGGTCATGGCCCAGACCGCGCCCTGATTCTCGGCAACATCCTTGAAAATCCCGGCATCTTCCCCTTTCCTCCACCGCTGGTAGAGGTAGCTGGGGCCAACTCTCTTGCCTTGTCCGCCAGCGCGTCTCCACCCGCCTTTGTCCACTGGAACGAGCAGCGCCTCGTAGAAATGGCGGTCGTCGGCTGAGAACTCTAGGTGTTCCGAGATATCTGCCCACGAGATGGAGAGCTGCTGATAGTGGGAGAACGCAGTTTTGAGTTCGTCGGCAGAGTCCCCCGCGTCTGATTTGAGGTCGTTGATGATATTCCAGGTCGTTGGCGCCCGTCTGTATAACCTTGTCTGCTCGGTCAGGAGAAGGGGTAGAGTTGCTGGTGTGCATTTGGCCTTGGAGCCTATTCGCACTATGTCGTTCTCGGGGATACCAGCCTTGGTCAAGTCCTCCAGAAATTGGTTCAGGGCGTGGTTGGTATAGCTGATGACTAGTATCTTGCAGGTGGAAAAGCGGTGAATACACTTCGCAATGTGGGCGCCGATGAACGACTTTCCAGTTCCTAGCAAGGCGACGTCAGCGAGTGGACTACCATTTGTTCGGGGTGCAAATTAGTTATCAGCGTGTTAATTAGGTACTTACCAGGGGGTCCTTGGATCAGGCTCACTCGCCGCGTTAGGGCACTGAGCAGCGCCTCCGTTTGGGCGCTGTCAAATTCGACCCCGGATTTAGCCAGCCTCAAAGACTTGGTACCACGTTCTTGCACCGTCAGAACAAGGTTTTTTAATCCCTCCGGTGGATTGAACTCGAGTTCAGCAGCAGCTGGGTTAAAGAGGGGGTCGTGAAGTGGCAGCTCTGTGAGTTCCTTCAGGCCGTTTAGCACGGGCTCGTAAGCAAACACAGGTGTGTCAATGAGGATAAACTGGACTTGCTTGGCAGTCTTCTGGTCAACTTGGAGGGCGAGGAGGGCCTTGTGGAGTCCCCGGTAGTCGGTGAACTGGAGCAAGACAACAGGCGGGGATTTGGCAAGAAGATCGGCATCCCGGTCGATGAAAGCGAACCCGTAGCACTCGTTGCCGCGGCACAGGACCCCGAACGTCTGGTGTTTGAGGAAGCTCGACTCGACCTTCAGGAACTTCTGGCGGCTTGTAAGATCCATGTCCTCGAGAAATTCAAGGCCGTCGTAGCACTCCACTGCCAGGCAGCACTTCTTGAACCGTCCCATAGACTCGTCGCCAACGTTGATGCTGACAGGCACGAGGCCGCCCAGGGCCAATGCCTTTCGCTTCCCCTTCTTCTTCCCAGTAGCAACTTGGATATCTTCGCGCAGCTCGCCGAGCATGTCTTCGCGGAGAAGGCGGAATTGGTTGTCGAGGTGAACGCGGGTGCGGTCGGGCAGATCCGTGTCGAACACCTCTCGGACGGTTTGGTAGTAGGGGGGCTGGGTGGAGAGGAGCTCGTCTGTCGTAGGGTATATCTGGATGTCCCGGAAGTTGGCGTGGTCGTTGTCGTGCCGCCCACCTGGACCGCCGATCTGAGGACCCAGACCCTGGCCAGGTGAGACCCGGAGCTGCAGCACGTGTTTGATCTTGTAGCCCAGTTCGCGGGTTTCATGGGATTCGGCCTTTAGCAGACTCTCTCGGCCCACAATGATCTGGACATCTGACAGAACGTCCACCTCAGTGTTCCGGGGGAGCGAGACAAGCTGCAGGGCAAGCCAGACAAATGGATAGAGTTGATCATGCGGGATATTACCGATTAGGAACATATTGAAGAGCATGTTCCACACAGTCGGGGGGTGAGCAATTGCGAGAAGCAGTTGCTGGAGGAGCTGGCCGTCGGCAAGGGCTTTAACTCCAGGGTCCGAGAGATACCTCAAGAAGGGAAGGGCGTGGGAGAGGGCAAAAGCTGACGAGAGATCGACACGGACTGCATCTCTGACGGCACTGACGCCAGACTTGCTGGCAATGATGGTTTCAACGCAGGAGCCGGGAGGCTGGCTGTTCTGGATGGCCTCGAGGAACAACTTGGCATCCACAGAAGCTCTGACGGGACGACTTCCGGCGAGGACATCGCGAAACAGAGCCTTGAGACGGGAAGCGCGCCGAGTAGCTTCTTGATTTGATGACATCTTTGAAGGCTGCGCCGGTTTATTCGGTTTTCTGACTTTGCGTAGGTTGGTCGATGAGGAGTGAGTTGTGATGGAGATGGGACAGGCGTGTTTAGACAGTTGCATCAAATAGGAATGAACTATCACACATATTAAGATCTCGAGGAACGATTTCGGGGCCCATTACATTCTTTGCGCTTGTAGTATGGCACAATTCAGGCCCCGTTTTCGCGGCCAGATTGGGCGGGAGCCTGGAGGCAGAGACCGGGTTGTTGGTTACTCAACGTCAAGCGATACCTACAACTGTCTCGGCCTGCACTATCTCCAGCGAATCAGCGATATTTTGGGAGAAAGGCGACTGTGAGTTGGCCGGCCTCCCACATGGTGCATATTGGGGAGAAGGCCCTGGGCCTCCAGCTGGATAATCATTGGACAGTCGCAGCAGATCCCACCCTGCCAACGTACCCCATCCAAAATGGAAGCCGGCGAGGGGTGTGAGAACACAGCGCTCGAATCCACTGGGCCACAATGAACCAAAAGACCCCGACTTACGACACTCACGACTACCATATTGCGACAGCCAAACTCAACCTCCAATCCGGCAAACCCGCAGACTTGTTTCGAATGTCAAGCCCATCGAAGTAATTAATGCCACCGGCCCTTGTACGGGACGGAGACTTTGTTCGTTGGTCATCTTAATAGCACTCGGATACAAAAATAAACTGGCCGAAAAGTCTCCGCACGCGTGTCTTTATATATTTATCAAAGGTGCAAACTCAAAACTGAAAACCAAACCCACAACAACATTCTAATTACCAAATGTCTCGGGATATCCTAATCGTCGGCGCTACAGGCCAGCAAGGCAGGGCTGTAATCAACGCGCTGTTTGCACCTACTGCTCACCATGGTCCTCCAATCCGCATACTTGCCTTGACAAGGTCTGCGTCATCACCAAAAGCCCAAGCCCTGCAGACATCCTATCCAGATATTGTCTTGGTCGAAGGCGACACGCGCAATCCAGCACCCATCTTTGCAGCCAACCCAAGCATTGCAGCAGTCTTCCTTGTCACTGTCCCTCCAGATGAAGAGGAGCAGGCACTGCCGTTCATCGAGGCCGCAGTCGCATCCGGCACGCATGTAGACCATGTTGTCTTCACCAGCGTCGACCGAGGCGGAGATCTCGAGAGCTGGACTCATCCAACTGAAGTGCCTCACTTTGCCGCAAAGCACCGCATCGAGATACGGCTACGTCAGTTGTGCGACAGCGCGGGTAGACGATGGACTATCTTGAGGCCTACCGGCTTCATGGATACATACAACCCGGGCTTCTTTGGCAAGCTCATGGCATCGCTCTGGAGAACAGGCGCGCCAAACCACATGCGCATGCAGCTGGTCAGCACGCACGACATCGGAATCTTTGGCGCCAAGGCACTGTCGAACCCGGAGGAATGGGCGGGGAAAGCAGTGGCTCTGGCAGGCGACGAGCTCAGCTTTTCCGAGCTTCGAGATATTTTCGGGCGGACGGTTGGCAAGGAGTTACCACAGTCATATAGTGTACTGGCTTGGGTAGTCTTGTGGTCGGTGAAAGATGCCCGCAAGAGCTTTGAGTGGTATAACACGGCCGGCCATGGAGCAGACATTGCTAGCCTCCGGCAGCAGCACCCCGACTTGCAGACGTTTGAAAAATGGCTTCAAGAGTCAAGCCAGTGGAAGAAGGATAATGGTGTACTTTAAGAAGCTTGGTATAATTAATAGCTTGTCAACCTGAAGTAGTTCAGACTGCCGCTCTATCTTCGGTGCTAAGCCGCTATTGACAGTAGTCTTCTTCGGCTTGCTAACTTTGCACAAACTATGGCATTTGGGAGGGGACTTATCACTGCGCCCCCCGCGTGGGCACATTGAATGGTCTCTGTATTTTGGGAGACCGGTGACTGTGAGTTGGCTGCCGGCCTCCCGCATGGTGCATATCAAGGAGAAGGCTCTAGGCCTCTGGCTAGATAATCATTGGACAGTCGCAGCAGACCCCACCCTGCCAACGTACCCTGTCAGGGATGATTTGTGAGCCCATCCAAAAAGCCGGCGATGGGCCTCTGCTCATCAGGCAACTGATTCGGTGGGATGTGTCAGGCTGTTAAGTCATCGAGTTTGCATGAGCAAATATTCCGCGGGGGCACACAAAAGAAAAATGCAAAGGAAGCAAAGAGGTTAAACTGGCCCAAAGTCGAGGCAGAACAGCACCCAGCTGAGGAGCCCTTAGAAAACGACGGCCGCGCATCATGGCCAACAAAACGTGCATGTCTGGGTGCCAATGCCACCAACGGTTACTGGCGTGGGCAGGCATCCGTCAGCATCATTGGAAGCCATTGAACCCCCACCAGTAAAGCCTTGCAAGGCAGTCTGACCAGTCAAATGTGATCCGGCATGTAGTGGACAAATTCCTGAGTGGCAACCATTACAATGGGGTTTGAAGAAGGCCAAAGCCTTCCCCCAGCCTTCTTCCCCCAGTCCTTTATCCCAACCACGTTCTCCAGCTCTGGACTGGTTACTCTCTCATTCCTGGCACCCAAAACAGCACCCAAAACAACTGCGTCACAATCATGTCATACTGGACCCAGCGCGCTCAGTCTTATCAGAGGGGACGTTCAGGAGGAGGAGTAGGATCGCGTCCAAGAGGTGGAGGACGCTGGCGGAAGGATGATGATGTCCCTTCCACACCTTCCCCGCCTCTTGGCTCCCTTATCTCGTCTCTCCGGAAGGACGATATCGACGACGCTGCGGAAGGGCTCGCCAAGTCCGCAGTAATCCGAGACTGCAGAACAGTTGCGTCATACAACTGGCTGGAGAAGAAGGGCTCGGAGGCGACTGTACTCGTTCCTGGTAGGGTTGAACCACTCCCTCTGGGTAGCTTCCTCTCCTCACAATCATCTCTCAGGCAAGCCTCCCCTGTGGACTCCCCTTCCAAGATCAGTCCAGCTCCAAGAAGACAGCGGGACGTATTTCCGCGATAAGAATGCCGCTCGGTTTCCCACTCATCCCCTCGAACCCGCGGTCGTCACTTGCCTGTCCGAGGCTCCCAAGCTCCCCGCCGGAGTCGACGTCGTGGCCTGCGGGAGCACACTGGGCAACCTCCTCCGCTTCATTCGCGGGCAAGACAATACGTTTCGCATACTTGTGGAGAAGGTGCATAGCACCGTCTTCTTCGTCCGGCGTGAGAATTCCCCTACCGAGACCATTCCTGGCGTCCGTGGCTATGGCCATTCGTTCCCTGACGCGTACACAACCTGGGAACCCGATGTCAAGGGATCCGCATCCCACCAGCGTGTCATCCACTACAGCTTCGGCGGGCTCAAGTTTCTGGTGCGGTTTGAGGCCGACGGGTACGTCAAGGGGGCCTTGGATAAGCGTGCTGTTGGCAAGGCCGTAGCACCTTCTATCGACGACCTAGCCGGGATCCTGTCCGACAGCACAGTCACCTCTCAACTTTCGTCATCCGCATCTGCACCCCCATCTAAGCTGCAGATAATGCCCGGCGGAAGCACCATCGACCAGGGGCTCGTCTTCGATCTGAAGACCCGAAGCATCAAGTCACAGGACAAGGACCATCTCGGAGACGAGCTACCGCGGCTGTGGGTGTCGCAGATCCCCAACTTCATCCTCGCCTTCCACACCCGAGGCCTATTCAAGAAAGAGAACATCCAGATCAGGGACGTCCGAGAAGACGTGAAGAAGTGGGAAGAGGACCACAACCCCGACCTGGCCCGCCTCGCCGAGCTGATCCACCGCGTCATCGAGATGGTGTCCGCCGCACCAGGTGGCAAGCTCGAGCTCTGCCACCGGACCGTCGGGACGCTGGAGGTGCGGAAGCAGCTCCCCGATGCTGGTGATGCCCTGTCACCCGAGGTGAGGGCGAAGTGGGAGGAGGCCTCGCTCGATCAAGTCGCCGTGGCCGACGACAATGTATTGTTTGCTTGGGATGGCGCTGCGGAAGTGGATTATACGGCCTGCTCCGCGACTTGCGGGTATTGTGGGCAGTGTACCTGCTGAGGTCTGCCTTGGTGTTACCCCTGAATTCATTTCTCTAATTTAACCAGGCCGGAGATTGAAATATGAACAACTATGTTGAACTTAATATTGAAAATACCTTCCCCATGTTTGCTTCCATTCTTGAGAAGGTGCTGGTGGCAACTTGATATCAGTGATATATAAGGGAGGTAGAGTAAATGAAGCACATTGCTAGTCCCAACTACCCTTACTGTCAACTGTTAAACATTAACGAACTACATATTGTTCAACAAACTTAAATGGGCTTGATTCCTTGGATGTGAGTGCATAAAATTCTGAATCGCGAGATCTGCTGTGGGTTTCGCAGTCATCATAGTAATGCAGCAAGTGAACTCAAACTGATGGCAGTGGGATATGGCGACGTCGAAGGAAGTCTGTTAAGCCAACTGTACCAACTTTCGCGGCTATTGAAAACACACTGGAGGTTGCATATTGAGATTGAGGTGATATCAAGTTGAATCACCTGGCATAATGATAGTGGACTGAATTCCCAGCAGGGCGCCACGGACATTCTACAAAAGTCCGATCCTCAGTTTCCTCGAGTCGGGCTTCCCCACTGGCCGGCCGAGCTCATCACGCGGCCCGTTGCTTTCTTTTTTTGCTTTTCCTTTCCTCATGCGGTATTCTATACCACAACGAATCGGCATCGATATAATTCCAATCTCCGCGAAAAAATATTGTTGGCTCCATTATCTTGTGCTGAGTTTCATGTCTCCCGGGCGTCTCCCAACCTCAAACCCTCATTCTCCACGTACAGCCTTAAACCCGCAAATTGACCAACAACAAATTGCTTCAGGGATGGCCTCCGCATTTGATATTAATTCCCTATTCAGGGTCGATGGTATGGTTGCCGTCATCACGGGCGGCGGAACGGGTATGAATCACGTAGACCGCAACCCCCGGCTCCTCCAGGGAACCGATCCCCCAACCAGACTAACCGCCCCAACCCAGGCATCGGCCTAACAATGGCTCGCGCCCTAGCCACAAACGGCGCACAAAGGGTCTACATCCTCGGCCGGCGCCTCAACGTCCTCCAAGCCGCAGCCGCCGCTACCCCGGGCCTAGTCCCCCTGCAATGCGACGTGACCTCCAAGGACTCGCTGCAAGCCGCCGTGGACCGGATCACGGCCGAGACGGGGCACATCAACCTCCTCGTAGCCAACTCGGGCGTCGGCGGCCCGCCCAACCGCTGGGACCCCAACCTCTCTGTGCGCGACCTCCGACACGCCCTGTTCACCTCGGTCGCCCCCTCGGCCTTCACCGCCGCCCTGGACGTCAACGTCACGAGCGCCTTCTTCACCATCACCGCATTCCTGGAGCTGCTCAACGCCGGGAACGGGCGCGCCGTTGACGGCGAGAGCGGGTCCTTCGGGGGCCCCGGGCTCGGTTCCGTCGGCGGCGGCGACGTGCAGGCCGTGCAGAGCCAGGTCGTCATCACGAGCAGCATGGCCGCGTTCAGCAGGGTGAGTTTGTCGCCGCCGGCGTACGCGGTGTCCAAGGCCGCGGTGGTGCAGATCACGAAGCAGGCGAGCAGCATGCTGGCCAAGCATGGGATCCGGGTTAATGCGCTTGCCCCTGGGTGTAAGTTCATGGTTCTCCCCTTTTTGTTCTCCCCCGGTCTTCCCCTTTGGCTGAGGTGCTTACACTCGGCAAGTGTTCCCCTCCGATCTGGCGGCGGGTATGATAGGGGACCGCAAGCCGGAGCTGGAGCCGTACGGCGACCCCAAGTTTATCCCCGCGCGCCGCTTCGGCGGTGACGAGGAGATGGCGGGGACGATTCTGTACCTCGCCAGCCGGGCGGGGTCGTACTGCAACGGTCTCGTGCTGCTTATTGACGGGGGCCGGTCCGCCGTGATGAGCTCATCCTACTGATAGGCGAAGGTGGTCTCTCGTGCCCCCTGCCTTGGGCATTGGCGGGATCTAAACTGAGTGGGATCATACTCATTTAACGGTCAAAGGGTAGGAAAACGACTGGCATTGTCCATCCAAAACGGGAATACATGAGGTAGCCTCTAGATACAGGTATTGGATACAACAAAATCTATTTTGAAACAAAGCGACGATTTTTCATCTTTTTTTTTCCCTTCCCATTTTCCTTCATTTCCCTTTTCCTTTCCCTGGGACAGATCAAGACCAGAACATGGTCAATCCAATCAAGGTCCCTCTCTACCCTTCAGATCTGGTCTGCGAGGGGCTTCGGCTCGCCGACTTTAGGTCATGCTTCTTCACAACTTGCCTGCAAACACAAAATCTCGTCAGCAATTCACGTCTTTCTGCAAATGGAAAAAAGGGGTCAAGGGATATACTCACAATGTCGACCTATCCCCCGAGCTCCTGACCATAACCAACTGCTCCTGCCTCACCCTAACAGTCTGCTTCTTCCCCCTCGTAGGCCCCCCACTCCCCGATCCTCCCCCCCGGATCCTAGGCCCCGCCTCCCCTGCAGCAGTGACGACGACCCTAGCCCTCAGCCTCGCCACCCGCGCCCCCTGCCTCGTGGCCTCCGCCGCCGACGCCTGGCACGCGGCCCCGAGCTCGGCCACCCGCCCGTTGGCCTCACCCAGGCGGCCCGCGAGGCTGCCGTTCTCGCCCACCAGCGCGGCCACCTGCTCCTCGAGCTTGGGCACCCGCGACGCCTGCCCCTCCAGCTGCACGTTGTGCGCCTCGAGCTCGGCCACCCGCTGCTCGAGGGCGGCGGCGGCGGCGGCCGAGGCTGCGGACGGCTCGGCCGCCGCGGCGAGGTCGGCCTTCAGCTGGGCGTTGGCAGATTCTAGTTCCTGGGTCTCGGATTGCAGCTTGGCGACCTCGGCTTCCGAGGCGGTGATGTCGTCTTTCAGCTGGGTGATTTCGGCGGCCTGGTCTGAGACCTGGGTCTTCAGCGATGTGGTTTCCTCCCGGAGGGCGTCCCGCTCGGCGGTGAGTGCTGTGATCTGGGACTGCTGTTCCGCCTTCTCGGCTTCCAGGGTCTCGATTGTCGGGTTGGTGGTCCCTTCGTCGTCGGCTTTGAGCTTGTCCACCTGCTCTTGGAGCTCTTGCTTCTCGCCGGCGACGCTCTCGAGCTGGGTGTTTAGGCCGTCTTTCTCTCCTTGCAGGGCCTCCAGCTGGGATTTCAGGTCACTGCTTTCGCCCTCGAGGGTTTCCACGCGGGCCTCGAGGCCGTTCTTGTCTTCCTCGAGGGTCTCGACTTGGGCTTGGATGGATCCCTTCTCTTCCTCGGTGCCGGACAAGCGTTCCTCGAGCTCCTTCTTCTCTCCTTCGAGGCTGTCGATGCGGGCCTGGAGTGTCTCCTTTTCCTCCCCAAGTCGAGATAGTTCATCCTGCAGCTCCTTCTTATCGCCTTCGAGACCTTCGACTTGAGCCTGCAATGTCGTCTTGTCGGCCTCGAGTTCTTCAACCTGGGTCTTCAATCCCTGGTTCTCCTCCCCAAGGCCCTCCACCCTCTTCAACAACTCCTCCTTCTCCCCCACCAACCCATCCCTCTCCCCCTCCAGCACCTTCACCCTCTCCCCCACCGGCTCCGACTCCGCCCTCACCTTCTCAAGATCCGCAACCACCTCCGCATACCGTACCTCATGCGCCGCCGCCTCCGCCAGAAGCGCATCAACCCGAATCCTCAGCGCATCCCCCGCCATCTCCGCCCCCGTAATCCTCTCAAGGAAGTACTCCTCCCGATCCGTCTTCTCCCTCCCCAACGCCCCCAGCCGCTCCTCAAACCCATCCCTCGCCTCCTCCGCCTCCGCCAGCGCCTTCTTCAACCCATCCCTCTCCCCCTGCACCTCGACCAGCGTCCTCGCCGCCTCGCCGACCCGCAACCCCAGCTCGTCCAGCAGGCGCGTCTTCTCGTCCGCCTGCGCGGCGAGGTCCTGCGCGCGTGCCCGCTCCGAGTCCAGCTCGTCCTGCGCGTCGGCTAGGGACTGGGCGGTGGACGCGGCGCGGGACCGGAGGTCGTCGGATTGGCGCTTGGCGGCTTCTAGGTCGGATAGGAGGGTGGTGGTGCGGGCTCGCTCGGCGTCGCGCTCGCGCTCGGCTTTGGATTTGTCGTTGTGGAGGGAGGTGAGGCGGGAGAGGGTGGTTTCGAGTTCCTTGGTGGAGGTGGTTTGTTGCTCTAGGAGGGAGGAGGTCTCTTGTTTTAGGTGGTCGATTTTGTCGAGGAGGAGGGCTTCGACTTTGTTGCGGTGCTGGCCGCTGATGCTGCTGCTGCTGCTGCTGCTGCCCTCCTGGCTTGGTGGTTGGGAGGGGACTTCGATGTGCAGCGTGCGGTTGGCGGTCTTGACTGTGATCCCTGTCGACTCTGGTGGGCGGGAGACCTGTTGGGCGCCCCCAAAGCGGTTCGCCAGTTTGCCCTCTCCGGAGGGTCTGGGAGTGTCCCCGCCGCCTTCGGAGGCGATGGTCGTGGCACTGGTGCTGGCTGAGAGCAGGGACGAGTCGTCCCCCTCGGTGTCGGATGGGGACGAGCGGTGCCGCGGGAGGGAATCGGTCGAGACCCCTTGTGACTGAGACCTCTTCCGGATGGTGTATGTCCGCCGCGAGTTGGTTAGCCTTGCGGCTGGGTAGTAGAAGGCCGGCCTCTTTACGGGCGGTGGAGTCGGTGCCTCCTTCAGTTCCTCCCGGGAAGTCGACCCGGCATCTGAACCGGCACCGATTGTGGGTTGGTTGGAGGCCATGGATATCTCGGACAGATTCGAAAAGCTCCTCCTTGAGAGTCGAGGAGGTGTTCTGAACTGGCGTCGTTCAGGGGAGCTGGTCCGCCCGACCCGTTGACGGTCTCTCGTCATGGGCCTCACTGGTGGAGGGTAGGCCATGGTTGTGTCGTATTGTCGACGGTAGTGTCGCGTGTGGATGTCGATGTGCGATAATAATCAGCGCAAAAGGTGTGTATAAGCTGAAGGCAATGTTGGTTTTGGTCTTGCAATTGAGTCAGGTAGCTTGTGCTTCCAGAAGATCTCGAGAGGAAAATAGAAATGGTGTTGTTTTCTCATGGTCTTCGGGGAGGAAACTTGGAGTGTGAACTAGAAAAGCAGGAGACTGGAATGCAGAGGCTGAGAGAACTTTCGCCAGTGCATGAGGCGGGCGCGCTTCGTCGAGTAAAGTATCAGAATTTGTGCATTGCCAGGGTTACGCGGTAACCAGGGCAGTCCAACCGGACTGGTCCATGGGGTTCTCCTGCATTCCCATGGCAGTGACGGGAGGACCGCCCTTTGCAGGCTGCTCATTTTGGGCACCAACTTGTCTCTGCAATACGTCAGTGGTTGACAGTTGGGTACCCACGTGACGCTGCATTGGAACACAGACCCCTGATTGGGCTTCAGCGGGGGAGGTTGGGCACGCCTAAACCAGGGTTTAGAAAAGATTGTGGCACAACCGAGAAAGGTCCTCAGTCACGACTTGAGGCTCCAGTAATTATTGGGCTTCACTGGGCTCTCCCGTCGTGCCTGCAGGAATTCACAAGCGAATGGAAGCGGGCCTGACTACCCGCCACCTGTAGCCCCAGAAAGAACCCAACCCTCCGAAGGTGCATGACGGAAAAAGCTGCATTGCCGCCCCACCACCAAAGGCCCTAGCCGCTGCGTTTGTATGGAACAGGTACCCAGCAGAGACGGGCCTCGACAGGCCTCAACCCGTGTGGGCCGCGGCCTGCTGGCGGGGGATTGGTTGGGCTGGCTGTCCCGGTTGCTAGTTGTTGTGACTCAGTCTGTGACCGAGCAGCCTGCCAGCTTTGTTTGCCGGTAAGGTTTCCGCTGACACGAGGCCTGCCTGCTGTTGATTTGGTCTTGTCCCGTTGATCGTTGCCCTTTTCCCATGGCTGAGCATTTACAGGCATGGACTGACCTCGGAATCAGCTCACGCCGCGAACAAGCCCAGCCACAGAGCCAAGGTATTTTTGGTGAAATCAGGCGGTGCAGTGCCCGCGGCGGTTGTACGCTGCTCGCGTGGTCTCCCCTCATTTGCTGCTCAGCGTCACAGAGTGAGCTCGTGTCTACGGATACCTCGGGGCTGGGGGTACGCAGCATCTGCCTGCCAACTGTGCTGCCTCGCAGGTACCGAGGTGGAGAGGGAGTCCCGGTTTCTGTAGTGATGTTATGATTTCTTTCCTTGACACGCCACTGCGAGACATCTGACTCGTAGTAGGGTGACGTGACGCCTCCTTAATTTGACTCCTCGACTCCTTGGCCTGCTTCGTCACCGTCACCCTCGTCCCCCATTCGGCGCCTTCCCTTTCTGCATGTACCTGAATTGGGAATCCCAGCGAACGGCAGCCAAGATATGCACGAGCATCGGATAGCACTCTAACTTGGGTTACGTGGTTTACAAACAGGTGCGTGATTGTCTCCATAGGTATCTATACGTCAATGTCGTGTTGTGGCAACGTAGTCGGCCGCGACGGCAGGGACACCGGTTGCCAGGGCATAGCTTGTCAGCCTCGACAATCAAGCCCCGAGTTCCGTTGCGTTATTGTGAGAGGCCCAGACACTCCACCAATGTAAGATCGGAATTGCCCGTGCCTGGCAAGCAACTGACTCGCCTGCACATGGATATCCTTGATTCTCCAGCGTCCATTATGGGTCGCCCACCCCCCAATGCCTGTCTAGGGGCAAATAGAGTACACTCGGACCCGACAACACGCGCCCACAGGTTCCACAAACATGCCACAGGGTATCATAGCTTGTACAATCCGAGAAAAGAAACAACGGCGGCCACATATCACGACCCAGACACGTCCGACTCGCCACCCCCCAACGCCTCCCCAATGCCCGGGAACTCGAATCTCCCCGCCCCACCGCCAGCGGTCCGCATCTTGATCTCGTAGATGCCGACCCCGCCGTCCTTGTCGCCGACAAACAGCGTGCCCCCATCCTCTGTGAACTGCAACACATTGACCTTCCCCAAGTCAACTCGCAGCGCCCGTCCCGGCGCCTCCGCCTCCTCCCCACCGCCCCTCCACGCCGCCTCCCCGCTCGCCACATCCAGCACCACGATGCCATCCCCGCTCGCGCTCGCATCACAGTACGCCACAAGCCGACAATCAGGCGAAACGCAGCACGGCCCTTCGGGGACATCAAACAGCCTCGTGCCCCCCTCCGTGAGGTCCCACACCAGCACCAGCCTCCTCCTCGTCGCGACCGGCACGCGCTTCGTCTCCCCCTTCGCCGTCACAATGTGCCTGTAATTGGCCGGCAGCCACACCGACACCGCCGACGACCCGTAGCACGCCAGACACGCCGGCAGCGCGCCCAGGAGCTCCGGGTGCGGCGGCACCACCCACTTGTACGGCCGGTGCGGGTTGCCGTTTCCGTTGGCCTCGTCGTCTCCTCCGTCCTGCGGCGCCGCCGGGCCCGACGAGTCCGTCTGCCACGCCACCAGGATGCACTTCTGCTCGTCGGGCGGGGCCCGCGCGCGCGGCCCGGCCGCCCCAACGAGCAGCGGCGCGGTGGCCGAGTACGCCAGCTCGGGGAAGTGCGGCACGAACGGCAGGCCCGCGCGCGCGACCTCGATGCGGCGCGACTGGACGTATGGTCCCGGGTCGGCGCGAAGGCCTCGGAGGCGGGGTGCGCCAGCAGCAGCAGCAGCGGCTGCGCCGACGACGGCGAACAGGTCGATGGCGTCGTCCTCGGCGCGGTAGACGGCCAGCGGCCGGTTGTCGCGGGCGTCGTAGGCGTCGGCGCGCGCGCTGGCCCAGCGGGCGGCGCGGTCGATGGACTGGACGCGGCGGCGCCGGGACCAGTCCCAGACCTCGACCGTGTTGCCGAACGAGGCCGATACGGCCAGTAGGGTCGACGCCTCCGATACGATGGCGTGGCTGCGGATGAAGTACATGCGGGTCCGAGGGCCCGTGCGGAACTTGGCCCGCGGGCTGACGGTGGATTCAACGCCGCCCGTGGTCACGGACCAGATCTTGATGCTGTGGTTGGCGTGCTGGCTTGCGAGGATGGTCCCGCTAGGCGAGATGTCCAGCTGGAAGATCTCGGGCGCCTTGCCGTCCGAGAGGCCCTCGACGGGGACGAGCTCGATCTGCTGCGCCTGACGCTTGGCCTGCCTGTCACGGCGCTCCCCGGGGGTGCGGGGCAGCGGCGAGGTCGGCGGCGGTTGCTGGGCGGCGAGCTTGGTGGCGACGGGGGTTCGGTCGAGCGTCGAGGAAGACGCGGTCGACGGTGGCGTGCTGTGGCGCGCGTCCGGGGCGGGGGTGCGGACTTCGGCGGGGAGGCGCACTGACTGTCTCCTAGAGCGGAATCTGGGGAGCCTGCCCATGATCGAGGAGGTTATCGAGGACACTGTGCTGTAGGGTGATTCCGGTCGGGAAGGGCCGCCCTTCAACGAATGGTGGAATGGCAACAGTGGAGAGGAAGCAGGAGTGAACGAGTCCATAACGGAGTAGGTGCCTGCCGTCGACATCGAACTGCGATACATGCTTTGACTTACGGCGTAGTCGGACGATGTTTGGAAGGATGTCTGGTCCGAGGACAGTGCCGAGTTCCGGTGTGAAAACTGTTCCGACGCCGGGCTGGCCGGGACGTAGACAGACGTAGCCCATCCGTCCGGCGGGGAGAGCAGCGGCGGAGGGACAGCCGACCGACTACGCTGCTCCGCTAGTGGTGGCTTTTCTGGCGACCCAAACGGCTGCTGCGCCTGCTGGGGGCTGTGGTGATGTCGCGGCTGGGGCCCTTGTTTCTGCTTGCGGTGGTGCTGGGGTTGAGCCTGCTGCCTTGTTTGAGCCGGACTCACAGTCGTGTTGCCTGGTAATTCGACAACCTGCCTCAGCGGGTTGCTGTGATGGAGATCAGTTGGTGACTTCCTCGGGATGTGGTAGGAGTAAACTGTCGGTTTCAGGAACTGTTCCTGGCTGTTGTAATAAGGAACAACGAGTTCCTGGGCAGGGAACCATGGACCACAGGTCTCAAGTGACTGTTCACCATCGAGTTCGACAATCGAGCCCTGTTTGGCAGCTGCGTTCTGGCTAGTTTTTGTGCCCGGCTGCCCGAGTTCCCTGGGAGCCGTGAATTTTGTTGAATCTGCATGGCTTGAGGGGGTCCTAGATGCTGATTCAGCCCTTGTCCACAGGCTTTAGGTGCCAATGGATGGCAAACAAGACGGTACGGTGACTTACTGTCCCTGTATCTCTCTGCACACAGCCGCCGTATAAGCGGCCAATTCGTCGAGGTAGAGCTCTAGCACCTTTCTTGAGTCGCCCGCTGCTCTCTCAGCCTGCGGGACCGTGTCTCGCAACTTGGAAATCGCGGCCAAGATCCTCTTGGACGCCTGCCGAGGTCCCTCTCCATCGGGAGAGGTGCCATCGGGCGATTCCTCGTCTTGGGAATATTTTCTAGTAACCAGCTCATCAGTACACAGGCCACACAATGCAGTAGAGAATACACAGAACGCTACAGGGCACAACGTGACGCGTGACGGTTTGTTTTGGCGATAAATCCCAGCAGACGGACAAAGCCAAGTTTCAGGTTTGAGGGAGGGGGAGAGAGGAGAAAAGGCGGGGATCACGCACAGGTGTGCCACATCATCGACAAGAACCAGGGCCTCCCGATGAGTCTGCAGGCCTATCGACAGCAGCGTCATGTCATTCCTGTCCCTGGTGGACCATCGCACGCGGGTGGCCCCGTCGTGGCTGCCGCTGCCACTGCCGGACGAATCTGCAACGAGGGCGGTGATCCTGGCCAGGATTACCCCGCAACCGCGCAGGACGGCTCGCACCCGCGCCTGCATCTGCGTCGGGACGGCGTGGTCATCGCGCAGAAGGTCCAGCACCACGTACAGGTCCGCCAGCTCGCGCGTGATGGCCCCGAGATCAGCCCGGGCCGACCGCACGGCCCGGATGAAGCTGGTGATGGTGAGCGACGTCGAGGTAATCGACGCGAGAAGGATGTCGATCGCCCCCGGGAGGGGCGGTGGGTCGTCCATGCAGAAGGGAAGGAAGCGCTTGTCGCTCGCTCGCTGGAATGCACACGCGCTTAATTGTCCTGCTATCACGCTTAATTCAGACAAATCAAAGTTGGGTTGGTCCCGATGGAAATGGAAATGAATGGGATTGCAGCGAAGCAGCGGGACCAAGAAGCAGAATTCAGCTGATGTTTCGTGACAGGGATTGACGGGGGGTTGGTGGGCGGAGCTGGGAGCTTAGAGCCTAGCAAGGCATCGGGGTAAGCAATCGGAACTGGGTGAGCTTTCCTATGGCTTGTGGGGTTGTTGATGGTGTCACAGATCAGACCAGGTGCTAAATTGAGGCATCGGATGGATGATGGGTCATGGACCTCGTCCAAGTTGCACAGCCGAATAACCCTTTTCCATTTTTATGCCACCACCGTGATAAAGAAAGGGGACAAAGGAACCCCCAGCATTTCCAGTTCCTCCGCTAGAGTTTTACACTAGAGCTCGCTAGCTAGGTAGTGTGGCCGCCCGCTGTCAAATCATCTGGCGGCCCCATGGGTTGACGCAGTACCCGAGTCTAGCTCGAGCAAGCTAGTAATACTAACCAACCCAGAGGTCAAACAAAGGAAAAGGAGGACACAATTCACCACAAAGCCCGATACGGAGACCGTGTGGAACGACACAGATGGGCATACAGAAAATGTACTGCGTAAAAACAGGTCGAAATTTGTTGGAGCGTTCTGGTTGCCGACCCGGCGCACAAATTGAACGTTGCTTCCCCTGATGGCTGTCCAGGGGTGGGGGGTGCCAGAGCAGCAAGGGGCAGGTACCTGGTAATTACGCGAGGCCGCCAGGCAGGTCTCCGATTGGTGAGTCAAGCCGAGTTGCCACGCTATTCGGCTCCGGTATTGTTGGTGTGGAACCCTCACCTGCCTGCCACATGGCAAAAGCCTCACTCGGCTACCTAGGTATACTGCCATTGCTTTCAACCATAAAATCACATGTACAGTACGGGTCCAGGCATACACTTTTGTGGCATGGCCTTGGAATAGATGGGTACATCATCACGCCAGGACCTTTTACCGCAACATGTGACTTTCGGGGCCGAGTGAGCAAGTCGATACCTCCTGATTTGAGTTGGCTGGGATAGACAGCAACGGCAATAGCAACAGACAGCGACAGCAAGAGCGACAGACGGCAATGGCATTAGCAATAGAGAGCAATGGCAATAGCAATAGACAGCGACAGCAATAACATTAGACAGCGACAGCAATAGGCAACAATAGACAGCGACAGCAACTGCCACCTGTGATATACTAACTGCCTGTCTGCGTAGCAAATAGCGCATGCCCCTAGAGAAATTCCCTTTATAACTTCCCACCCCTCAAGTTTACAGCCTCCCGCAACAGCGAGATGACCTCAGCTGGATCCTGGGCACCAAACACGGCACTGCCGGCAACAATCACATTCGCACCAGCGTCGGCCGCCTGGTCTATCGTCCCAGGGCCCAGGCCACCGTCCACCTCGATATTAAGCTCGGGATATCGTTTCCGCAGCGCCTGGACCTTGAGAAGCTCAGACGCCATAAACTTCTGTCCTCCAAAGCCAGGCTCAACTGTCATGACAAGGACCATATCTGTCCGCTCCTCCTCAAGCAGACCGTCCAGCACGTCCCACAGCATATCCACCTTTGTGCCCGGCTTGATTGCAATACCAGCCAGCATGCCGCACTCGTGGATATATCGGATCAGCTCGCGGGGGTTTGTCTTCAGTTCCGAGTGCGCCTCGGGGCTCTCAGCAGCCGAGGACATCGCCGCCTCATAGTGGAAGTAATACAAGTCACAGCCAGCGTTCTTGAACTCTTTCACCCATTTCTTTGGTTCAGCGATCATCATGTGGCAGTCAAACGTCCCCTTTCCATACTTCTGCCCAGGCTGATTGACATGTTTCCGGAGCTTGGCCACCACAGGGGGCCCGAACTTTAGGTTGGGGACGAAATGGCTGTCCATGATATCAACATGGAGCCAGTCTGCTCCCTGCTCGATAGTCCGCGAACAATCATGGTCGAGGTTGCCGAAATCGGTAGAGAGGATAGACGGGGCAATGATCGCTGGCGGAGCCATATTCCCAGACAGGCGCGAATGGGAGAAATACAGAGTTGGGGTGCTAGGAGCTAGGTGAGGTAGGTAGGTTGACAATGTTCAAGCACAAGCTCTAAGGTTCGATCTCTCCAACGGCCACCAGAAAGATCTGGGTCAGAGTCACACGAGAAGGAAAGCCTTTTGCCTGAGGGCCAGAAAACGACGAGGGGGTCTCAAGTTAAAGAGGATGATGTTGGTCATGATGTTCAATAGGATTGATTGAGATGGTGGTGGTGGTGTTGGATGCAGAGATGGAATTTCCGCGTGTCGTGTCCCGACCAGAGACTTCGTTTTGTATGGCTGGGAATTATGGTTTACAGCGTGACTATCGGCGAGTTGCATTAAGTTTGAGGTTGAGTTTGAGCTTGCGCATACCATGGTGGACTATTAGACATCGGCATTGAAAGTTTATTACGGTTATTGAGATCCAATTGGCAACTGGTATCGCCAGATTGAGTATTTTTACTGAGTATTGCTTGGATCCCGTCTAACGCAAATAAAATAAATCAATAACCCTCAAACTCTCAGCAGTATTCCGTACAGGTATGGAGGTAACCTTCCAATATCAAAGCTGTTGTCATGTGACGGCCTGGCGGATTCCACCTATGTGTGTATTGCATTACAAAAATCCCCGACCAATAGAGATTTACATCGAGTCTCGTCAGACAGCAACGTTCACCTACCCCGCTTTCTTCCCCCTCTCTCCTCCATAAGGCTGCCACGGAGATATTTCGAAGCTTGGAGCCAAACAAGGCAGCGTCACCCCCAGGTGTTCGGTTCTCCAGGAACCCAAAGTCGCCTTCATCGAGAGTTCTCATACCGCCGAACGTAGTGTGAACATGGAAGACCAATATTACCAGAACTTTGTCAGCAATCAAGTCACAGATGACATGCTAGAGAAAGCTGCGAAACTCTTCAGCGAGAATTATGGGACTTGGGGCAGGGGTTCACACAGCCCAGGTAGATATTATGACTGGAACTCTTTCTACTCGTGTCTAACGCCGTCTGCAGGGAAGCCAGTTAAACTTGGTACGCGTCAACTACGAGAGCAATATCTGCCCGAATCTGCCGCGACCTTCTACGCCAAGGTGAGCGTTGATGGGAAGCTTGCCGGAAATGCGTTTGCCTGCCGCTGGGAACACAAGGGCAAGACCGTCTGCTGGGTGACTCAATTGGTAGTCGATAAACATTACCGTGGGCGTGGGCTTGCGACTGGCCTTCTGCGGGCACTCAGGTTGGATGGAGACGACTCGTATGGCATCATGAGCTCTCACCCATTTGCCTGTTTGGCAGCCGCAAATTCTTTCGGGGGTAAGTGCATTCTTCTGTATCGTGGAGAATCCGAATTCTTATTGAGCTCCACTAGGTGTACGCACATTTTTCACTATTTGTACGCACTTTTTGAATTTCAGCCACACGGTTCCACTTATGCCTGCCGCTTACTAACAT